CTTTGCCCCAAAGTTTGGGGCCAAAGGAATGGCTGGTGCCCTGTGGCTTGCCAAACCCATCGAACAGAGTCCTTCTCTCCCGCCTTGGAACATGTTGGACATGCACTAAGTCCAGCCCCAGCCCTCCCTCCGGCCCCTTCCTTCGACTTTTACCCAAGACGCCCTTTGAAGGGATATGGAATCCGCTGTTTCCCATGTCGAGCTGCAACGCATTGATCAGAAATCCGGATAGGGGACATGTAACCCGATGAGATCCATGAAAAGCGAAAGCCTTGTTGCCGGCAGAAGCTCCAATGATACTTCTGCATTCATCGGATGTCCAATCTCTGCATTGCCTCTTTTTTGACACATCCAAAACTCGTCACCCACCTTCTCCTGGCCATTTCTGGACTATATGGGGGGTTGTACAAAATTACTTTGCCTGGGAAACCCCCCAATCGCCGGCCCCCATAAATTCTAGACATGCAATTGCGGATGGCCCCCATATACTTCCAGCTTCTCTGCCGTTGCCTTTAGGCAAGGCCGGCAGCTGAGCTCCCAGCTGTAGCAGCCCGACACGGCGCCCTTGCCGTGCCCCACGGCAGTGCATTGCCTAGGTCACAGTCACACGGAACTCGATGGACTGAGTTACGGCAAGGACGTGATGCGCCAAACAAGCCTTCGGCCAGGTCCTGCCTTTGCATCTCGCGCGCAGTCGACGTCACATTGGGTTTTAAGCACTCGAAATCAGACATCCATGTTTGCTAGAAGTAGAAAGCCCGGAAAAGGGGAGCATCTGGGCAAACGCCTACTTCTTGTAGCACACGGTCACCTCAAACAAATGGATGGAGACGCAGCGTGGAACGTATTTTTGAACATTGAACATCAATTTGACAAACCCTCCGCTCCCGCTCGCGCTCTCCTTGTCCCATGAGACACATTCACACCACTCAACGTTCCGTACTTGCGTAAAGCAAACTTTGGTCTGTCGTATTCGTGCCTGCTTGTTTGGACCCTGTCGAAAAGCAGGGCGGAAGGTTTTTTTGTTCTTCCTAGGTTCGGCGCGGCCTTTTTCCTAGGTTCGGCGCGGTGGTCCGGACCCAGAAAAGCTGCAAAGGGTTTACCTTTTCGAAGAAGCGGGCTTTGGAAGACGCAGGGTTGGTTTAGGGTGGTTTGGAATTAGTTTAGGGCTGGTGTAGGGCTGGTTTGGGGTTGATTAGGTTGGTTTAGGGTTGGTTTAGGGACGGACTGACCGACCGACCAATCCACCGACCGACCGACCGGGGCGACCGACTGACCGACCAGGGGCGACTGACAGACTGGGAGACAGACCGGCCGAGCCAAAACCCCAGCACCACGCAGCAAAACGGCCGCGCCAAACCTAGGAGAAAAAAACTCGGGGCCCGAAAATCATGCACCGACAAATAGTAAGCAGTGCGTCAGATTAGCTACCTGCACTGCTGAACTAATCAAAAAAGAATCTTAACAACAACATTTCATCTCTTTGCTTGAATTGGCTTTGAGGCTCAACCCCTTCCCCGCAAACAATCCAACGGCTCATGCAAGGACTCGTGCCGGTTGGCCAGGGGTCGGACCAGCAAAGCTTTTTATCGTCCTCCGCTACGGCCTGGGCTGCGTGCTGAATGATCAGCAACCCTCCCACCAATCCCAGACACTCCAATGTTGGTGCTATTTGCCAACATTCGCGCGAACGTTGGCCTGAGAAGGAACATTGGGGCTTATAGGGCCAATGTTGCTCTGAGAGGCATACATCCAAAATGTTGTTCGACAAATGCACGTTCGACAATTCTCCTGCGATTAAATCACGCCAAATCACGCCAAATCACGGTATTACATGAATGTACCCCAAATTTGGCATACATTTGGCCCAAATGTATGCCACAAATGGCACACATTCAGTCCGACAATCACGCCAAATCACGCTCAATCACGCCCAATCACGCCCAATCACGGCATCCGACAAATCATAGATTCCGATAAGCCCAATGTTGCCAAATTATGCCTACATACCGAATGTTGCTCTGAGAGGCTACATTTGAATGTTAGTAAATATGACCAACATGGAGTGTGTGGGAATTAACATGAAACCTGACAGGGGGGGTCCTGGAAGAACAATTTTCCTCGTAAATGAACCTTTTGTCAGGTTCCATGTTAAGTGGTGGGAGGGTGTTCAGGCTAGGCATGATTGTTATCTGGGTGGAGACATACCTTGTACGAAGGTGCTTGCGAGTTGAACGACGCGTTTACAAAAAGTGAACAATGGCTCGGAGCCGGCCCCGAGTCAATTTTACAGATCTCATGCTAATTTTGCAGCAAGTCGTGGTGATGATTTGCCTTGTGGTCACCAAGACAACTGAGGCATGACAAGGCAAGGCGCTCATTCCAATTTTCACCAGAAGGTGACGGATGCTTGGCCACATTTCAAAGATTTCAAAGGAAGGGCATCTGGTCTTGCGAGGGGCGAAAGATCAATCTTGCGGCCTCCTCTTTTGGTAAACTCTGAAACTAGAACTGCATTACTGAAAGAACGAAGCAAACACAGGCATTCAAAAGTTGCAGTTATATCGAAATTGTCCCATGGAAAGCGTGTTGAATGACTAGACACGGAGCTTTGTCTGAATTTGCCCTTGCTCCTTCTATTGAAAGCAGCATGTGAGATGCTGTGGCGAGGACAAGTTCTCATGACATGAACTCCTGATTCGAGTTAGGCCCAGTTATAGAATGTATATTTTATTGTTTGCCTCACTTTGAGTCACTGATAAAAAATTAAATGTATCCTAAGTCTACCCCAGAATTGGGGAAAGCAGGGGTTGAAGCGTCACGGTGCCAGCGACAAGATTTTGCACAAGGTGGCAAGCAACACCAACCAGAGTTGGGGCCCCAAAATGCAGCGTTCGGCTGTTTTAGCTATATCAACATGCAGCACGCCCATGCTTCTGTGAAAGGGAGACGTACTTCAAACCTAGAATCTCCAAGAACGTGTTGAGCAAGATCATGAAGCAAAATGTGGCAAGTCATAGCTGACACTTGGTGGCTTGGCAATTTGCTAGCACTATGCACCCTGCTCCTAATTGATCAAACGGATCCCCAATCAGCCATGGATTCAGTCAAAGGAAGCGTCTCTGATTAGCACAGCCTAGCATAGCCAAGCCAGGTACTCCAACAAGCCCAGAATGGGGACCATTTCACCAACGTCCTGCCGTGTCACTGTTCCGGGGACATCTTGACACTGGGGCTCAGGCGGGAGCCAGGCGGTCCCACATCTTGAAGTGCCCGTCTCTAGACCTCAGGCTGCTTCCATCCCGCGCCAAGAATCCTGGGCAACCCGTTGGAGGGAACCCAAAGGCTCCCATGCGAAGGGCACAGGATTCGATCTGCGATTTGATTTCCAGGCCAAAGCTGAGAATGGCCTGCCATCGGGTCGGACCCGAGGTGTTTCCTTCCCCAGCGGAGAAAAAAAACATGGCCTCTTCGGATCTCTGTAACCTCTGTCACGCCGGCAAGAGAAAGACGCAAGCCTGAACCGTTCATCTGTGTCTGCGAGTTCTTAGCCATCATTTCCGCTTGAGACATACTAGATGGGGCGTGGTTCGACTGAAATATGAATGGGTTGTCAAACCGTGGACTTGTGGGACCTTGTCTTTCCTTGGTTGACGTTGGAAGGGGAGCAATACAAAATGATTTTTTGGCGGTTAAGTGGTTGGATTTCAACCACTAAACCACAATAGGCAAACATGTAAAAGGTTTCCCAACGACAACCGCGTTTCAAGCCCCCTCTGGGGGTCCAAGCGCCTCCCCCGGACGAAGCCATGTCCAAGTCGAGGCCCCGGCGCAGTGAAGAAGACGCCCTCGTCCTCTGGACTCGCCAGGGCCACGGTCACCTGGGAGGACAAGAAGCATCCAACACGGGGAACCCCAAAAATGGCTGTGGCTCAAAAAAAAGAAAAAAGGTACCAACATGGCACCTTGGTAAATGGAACCAAAGACTAAAAGCTGCGGTTGGCCCTAGCTCTTGAATTTTGAGCCCAAGCCAGATGGGTTGCCCGGCTCAAGGCGGATGCTGTGAATTTCTAGCCCTGACTCGCTGTCTTCCGAAGCTATTGGGACACTGTTGTGTCGAGACCTCGCCATCTGGAAATGGAAACCAAGAACTAGCATAGTACTCGGATGGATAGTGGATTTCCATGGGAAAAACACATGTTCCAGGTCATATTCTCAGACGCCCCAGTGGATTTTCCGTGGAAAAAAAGGGATCGGCATCCTTTGTTGGTTGGTTGAGATTCAAGGAATCGGAACCCTTCCCAACAGAAAGGAAAAAGGGCTGAATCCACTGATGGGTAACGGACGGTAAATGGAAACAAGGCACCAAAAACCTGCGGTTCATAACCTTGGTTTTATTTTGACCATACCCAAGTCAATACTTTGAGGATGGCCGTTTCTTGCAATTTGAACAAAGGAACCACTTCTTTCTTCCTTGGACTTCGTTGCATACCACTTTTCGGGGGGATCTCGAACTGCCGCCTCTGTACCGTTCTGAACCTTGGAGTCTAAGCCTAAGAAAAAAAAAGCAACACGCACGGCGATGGCCAGGATGAAGAAGACGTCCACCAAAGGAATACGATAGTCAGTCTGAGTGACTAACAGGCGTCTCGCTTTGCACATGCTTGCTGCTGCGATAGGGGTGTTCAGTTCTGACAAAAAATGAACCATCCAACTGGTGGTTTCCGGTCATGTGAATCTTCGGGTTCATTGATTCCAAGCCCGGAAGATGTGATTCTCCAGAGAGCCAAGGCCTCTCTCGGCTGGGTGACCCGGCATCGTCTGCGTGAGGGTTGTTGCAAACGCTGTCCGGGAAGTAGCGCCCCGAGGCATCCCTGGTCCACCACTTCAGCATGCAGCTGAAGGCCTCAAACAAGAGGGAGGAGGGAGCGAGTGAGGGAGGGAGGTAGGGAGGGAAGAAAGGAAGGAATGCGAATTTGCCCCCCCCCAATTTGTGGTTCTGGATGGCTACTCAGTTCCAAGACAATGGATCCTTCGCAAAACCACGCAACAATCAAAATAACACGTTGACGGAATCAATTCCAGTGGCATTTACCGCACTTATTCGAAGGGCAACCAGATTCAACAGAAAGGAGCAGGTTGCTGGTTATTTGGCCTTTCGTTTAAATGCCGAGTTGTGAAGCAAGGGATCAGCCTCTTGGCAGAGTGGCCATGGCTTTGTTCGCTCTCTTGACCAGGCGACCCGGCTGAATCCGGATCAAACCGCTGCAGCGCCGGCGACACTCGGCTCTCACAAGTCCTGCGGCCAAAAGAAGCAAGGAACTGGCCACGCAATGAAGGGTCACTCGCGACAGGGTGTTTGGTGAAGACTAAAGTGACACCTCCTGGCAAGGACGTATCCTTGCTGTGGAACCACCTGAAAACAGTCTGTGGTTTGTTCAGAACCCAACAAAATCAGTGCCCTTGGTTGTCCGTAAAACGACACAGCTGCCAGCGAGTCTGACTTATCAACTGAGCAAATCCATAGATTGAGATACCCACTTGAAATGACGCTGGTGCACCTTGGCGTTTGGATCATCTCAGCTGAGCCAGGGGGTATGAATTTTGACGGGAGAACCACTTTGAGGTGGTGCCCAGGAACCCCCACCTAAATGATGTCCAGGGCGCCGCATTAAAGCTCAGAACCAACTTGGAGCCATCGTCCGCAGGCGACCACCAGATATGTGTGGCTCGTCTTCTAGGGTGGGCTGGTTTCAACTGGAAACCAAAGGGTTACCCAACCATTTTGGAGCTCACCTATTTTGAGCCAAACCCATATTCCACAAACTGAGCGCCAAAGCAGGACTCAATACGCAACGTGCCCCCGATGCAGCCCCGTACGCTGAGTCGGTCAAGATACATGTGGCATTGGTGCTGAACACCAGCTGCTGCAAAACCTGAAACGGCGGCCGGCGCGCGCGCGCGCCAAAATCGCAAAGGAATAGCCTCCCTACAGTGGCAAGCCCAGCACGCAAGGTCGACTCGAAGAAAGGTCAGCTTCAATTTGGTGAGGAGCAACATACTATCAATTTGTTGAAAAGGGGCACTTTCGAAGGTCCCAAAGAGAACTTTTACAGGAGACAGGGGTCCCAATGCGGTCTAAGGTATCAACTTGGTGGATTCCCGATCAAGAAAAGGTTTACACCAGGGCGAAAGCAAAAGGCACAAGTTCCTTTGTGGTAAGTCAAGGGGATGACTAAACCAAAGTACATTTTTCAGGTTGGTTTAAGGGGAAACCAAAAGGGCAACCGTAGTTGGTTCAACTCCTTGTGACAAGTGTTTCCCACCCCAACACTGAAGTGAGACACCCCAATATCAAATCAGCCGGTTTGTGAATCCTGGGCTCTAAGTGGCACATGTTCCCGCATCTCGGCGTGTCTCAAACACAGGTAGACAGAAAGCTGCGGTCCGGATCCTGGCTCGTACATTTGGAGCCACGCCCACTTCGGTTTCATCCCCTTTGCTTCCCGAAGACGGGAACTGTTGCGATTTTCTCCCAGCCAAAATGCCAACCCCGGAAGCACACAGGGCACCACCCATGCCGGTGGTCTGAATCAACTGAGCGCTCGTTTCACCCATTGACTTGGTTCTGCCATAATACAGGGGAATATAGGCAATTGAACCAGATAACCGAACCATTTACAAGGACAATTCTGGTTTATGTAGGACTTCTTCTTAGCTTCAACCACACCAAACAAAAGCCGAGCCAGCTACAAACAAGCTACAAAGGGGAACCAATTGTGGAACCGAGCCAACAAGGCTACATGGCGCCTTCCAATTGTTGGAGCCGTTTCCCCTTGTTGGTCCCACATGGCGCCGAGCCAACAAGCTCAACCTTTTGTGGAACCAACAAGGGGAAACCAGGGGCCTCCAAGCCTCGCTGGCCGGATGACCAAGACAGACATCCGCTACATAAATTTGGGCGTCTTCCAAGCTAAACCACGGGTAGGAACCGAACCAGCGACCAACATGGCCATGCTTCAAATCCCATGGGATCCCATTTTGGGATAGGTGAATTCACCACCCATTTTAGGCTATTTTACTGAGGATTGGGATGCTCACTGGGGGGTAACCGGGGTTTTGACCCATGGCGACATGGCCAAGTTGAAGTTTTTGGTCTCCATCGGCTTGGAGCAGGCAACTCTGTGTATAGGCGCCCGCGCCCAGCGCTGGGCCTCATCGCTGCTGGTGCTGCCCCCTCGGTCCAGCACCGCCTGAGTCACTGAGGCGCCGGGTGGAAGGCTCCTGGAGAAGGACTGCAATTGTAAAAATTAAAGGACCGGATAACCCCACATGCTATGTTTTTCCCAAGGATGTGAGTTCAAATGTCCACACACATGTACCGTGCGCCCCTTGTATGGATGCGATTACAGAGCAGGTCTAGCGCGCTTTTTTCATCGCAGGCGTTGCTAACCTACTGCAGCCCGAGCCGCTAATCAACAAAACAAAGCAAGTTCGAGACTTGTTAGATTATTGGCTGCGCCGCACGTGCATCTCAGGGAGGTCATCTTGCAGCTCAGCATCGGAGAAGATCTGGACACTTTCCCAAAGAGAAATAGCACTGTGGTATCCGTTGGACGATGAAGTCAAGCTTTTTCAGTCAGATGTCCATCTCAAGGCTTCTCCGCGGGGAACCTGCAGGGCCTGCCTTCCTGAAAGGTTCCAATGAAGGTGCGCGCTGCGGCTGGAATGTCGACAGAACGCGGACCGCTCCGCCTACATTGTGAATCCATCAGCAGCGCCGAGGGATTGGCAGGGCAGCCGTGGAGCAGCTTATCCAACTTGAAGAAGATGCCCCATGGCTGGCCTTGGATGTTCAAACTCATGGCTGTGAAACAACAAGGCAGTTGGAGACAAATGCAAGAAGCTTGAGCCGTGCGCAAGTGGTTGTGCTGCAAGCTTGGAAGCGGTGGGATCCACTCCCACAACGTCCTTCTCCGAGTTGGCCGCATCTCTCAATGCTTTCCCCGCCGCCGCAAGGGCAGACAAACCTTCTTGGGCAACGTCCTGCAAGTGCGCCAAGTCGAGCTCAGCCTCTCTCACCAATGCTCGACATGGCCCTCGCACTCGTGAGCCAGCTTTGCACACGCACGCTCGCCATGCGCCTTTGTGGCGTTCGATCGGCATCTTTGGCCAAGCGAACACGTCTCACACAACGATTCTGCCATGCGATCGAACTGCTCAACATTCTTCTGCAAACTTCTGACAACACTTCTGCAATCTTCTGCCAACTTCTGACAAAACGTCTGCAAAATATAAGTTCGTGACCCTGGACACAAAGCTTCTGCGAGCCCAATCTCAACATCCAACAGCTTGCCTCACAATGCACCCTGCCTCATGTACTCACAGCTCTGCACTTACACAAGCCTTGTAGACGACCCTTTAGACATCCGAGAAGTGTGAGTGAGTGTCAGTATGAATGCGAGCGAATGAGTGACAAAATGCTGCCCCTGCTACACAAACACACACCCAGATGCACAGAATGCTGCGCCTGCCACAACTTCGGCAATGGCATCTCCACACCCAGATGCACAGAATGCAGCGCCTGCCACGACTTCGGCAACGGCATCGCCAAAGTGCTGCGCCTGCCACGATTTCGCACGCCCCCCGCCGCGCGCGCGACAACATCCTGTCCCTCTAGACAGCTGCCGAATGCTACCCCTGCCACACAAACACACACCCAGATGCACAGAATGCTGCGCCTGCCACGACTTCGGCAACGGCATCGCCAAAGTGCTGCGCCTGCCACGATTTCGCACGCCCCCCGCCGCGCGCGCGCCAACATCCTGTCCCTCTAGACAGCTGCCGAATGCGACCCCTGCCACACAAACACACACCCAGATGCACAGAATGCTGCGCCTGCCACGACTTCGGCAACGGCATCGCCAAAGTGCTGCGCCTGCCACGATTTCGCAACGGCATCGCCAAAGTGCTGCGCCTGCCACGATTTCGCACGCCCCCCGCCGCGCGCGCGACAACATCCTGTCCCTCTAGACAGCTGCCGAATGCGACCCCTGCCACACAAACACACACCCAGATGCACAGAATGCTGCGCCTGCCACGACTTCGGCAACGGCATCGCCAAAGTGCTGCGCCTGCCACGATTTCGCAACGGCATCGCCAAAGTGCTGCGCCTGCCACGATTTCGCACGCCCCCCGCCGCGCGCGCGACAACATCCTGTCCCTCTAGACAGCTGCCGAATGCGACCCCTGCCACACAAACACACACCCAGATGCACAGAATGCTGCGCCTGCCACGACTTCGGCAACGGCATCGCCAAAGTGCTGCGCCTGCCACGATTTCGCAACGGCATCGCCAAAGTGCTGCGCCTGCCACGATTTCGCACGCCCCCCGCCGCGCGCGCGACAACATCCTGTCCCTCTAGACAGCTGCCGAATGCGACCCCTGCCACACAAACACACACCCAGATGCACAGAATGCTGCGCCTGCCACGACTTCGGCAACGGCATCGCCAAAGTGCTGCGCCTGCCACGATTTCGCAACGGCATCGCCAAAGTGCTGCGCCTGCCACGATTTCGCACGCCCCCCGCCGCGCGCGCGACAACATCCTGTCCCTCTAGACAGCTGCCGAATGCGACCCCTGCCACACAAACACACACCCAGATGCACAGAATGCTGCGCCTGCCACGACTTCGGCAACGGCATCGCCAAAGTGCTGCGCCTGCCACGATTTCGCAACGGCATCGCCAAAGTGCTGCGCCTGCCACGATTTCGCACGCCCCCCGCCGCGCGCGCGACAACATCCTGTCCCTCTAGACAGCTGCCGAATGCGACCCCTGCCACACAAACACACACCCAGATGCACAGAATGCTGCGCCTGCCACGACTTCGGCAACGGCATCGCCAAAGTGCTGCGCCTGCCACGATTTCGCAACGGCATCGCCAAAGTGCTGCGCCTGCCACGATTTCGCACGCCCCCCGCCGCGCGCGCGACAACAGTGAGTGAGTGAGTGTGAGTGAATGAGTGAGGGCGAGTGAGTGAGTGAGTGAGTGAGTGAATGAGAGTGAGTGAATGAGAGTGAGTGTGAGTGAGTGAGTGTGAGTGAGCGTGAGTGAGTGAGTGAGTGTGAGTGAGTGTGAGTGACTGAGTGTGAGTGAGTGTGAGTGAGTGAGTGTGAGTGAGTGTGAGTGAGTGAGTGTGAGTGAGTGTGAGTGACTGAGTGAGTGAGTGAGTGAGCGAGTGTGAGTGAGTGAGTGTGAGTTGAGTGAGTGTGAGTTGAGTGAGTGAGAGTGAGTGAGTGAGCGAGTGAGTGAGTGAGTGAGTGAGTGAGACGGAGACGAGCGGGAGGAGGAGGAGACGCGGCGCGCGGACGACGAGCGGTAAAAGTAAGAACCCCACACAAAGATGTGGGGAATAAGACGAGAAACGTCCATAAGTGGAGAAAAACACCACACAACAACACAACACATCTATAGCAATGATTCTAGGGGTAACTTTCATTTCCATTCTTTCCAGGGATCCTTCTGTCAAGACCTTGAGAAATGGCCTTTTTTTGTGTTTTTGTTTTTTTTAAGAACGATGGCTGAAAAGAATAGGGAATCGACCCCTAGAATAATACAAGAAACGTCCAGAAGCGAGTCATAATCAAAACCCGGTATCAAAATGGTCGAAACCCCAGAACCACGTAAAGAATTAAGAAGGTGGCAACTATTTATGGTTGGGATTGTCCCTTGCTAACGTTCATCACACATCTATAGCTATAAATGTATATCATATTAATATGTTTTATTGTTGGGTCTAAAGCGGTGCCAACCACACGTTCTAGAAGCAGACCCGAGTTTCTGTTTCTTAAGGGCACGTGTGCGCTGCTTTTGCGGACATGCTTTGTCTGCCTGAATTTTACGGAGCAATACAGTGGAGCAACCAATGCAAAAAAAAGGTCCCTGGTAGCCCACCGCCATACCCCACAAAAAAGGAAAGATAGTTGGTGTTTTGTTCGGGGTGCTGGCACCACGGTTTGCGTGGCTTTCTGGTAGTCACGGAGCAGAGGCGAGCAACGAAAGTTGGCGAAGACTTTTCCCAGAAAGAGGGAACCTAGCTTTAACCGGTTTACCAGAAAAGCCCAAACGTCATGCGGGCAATCAGGAGAATTTATTGTGCCTGGGATTGGATTACTCGTCTGCATTGCAGCATGCCCTCAGAACTCTTGCGCTTCTTTGCATACGAGACCTCATGTCTATTTTCTCGGAACACCCACTGATTTTCTTGCTTTTGGGGATCCCCAAGAACCGCCAGACCCATATTTCCCCAAGAAACAGATTGAACCACCCCCCAAGGCCGGATCCCGAGACGGGAACCTTTTTCCAAATATTTCCCCCAGAAAAACGGATTGACCCCACCCTCCCAGGGCAAAAAATGGGGATCCCCAAGACCAATATGTCCCCTTAAGAAACAGATGAACCACCCCCAGAAAACATTGCCAGATCAGCAGAGCAAGTCCCTGGAACCACCCATATTTCCCCAGATTGAACCTCCCCATATTGCCCCCAGCGCAAAAAATCGCAAGTCCCAGGCATGCAGATCTGTGGCACGCGGGCGCGCCCTGCGCGGCACATCCATTTCTCGCCGAGGCCGCCGCCGCGGCGGTGTCCGGCTCCGAGAGGAAGGCGACGCGGCGCCCGGAGGACGCCGCCACGCCGCCGCCTGCCCGGTGGCGAGTGGCGAGCGGCAAGCAACTTTCAGCTCCTTGGATTGGAGTGTTTTTTTTCTTTCGGGGTGGTGTGGTTTGGGTAGGTGGGTAGGTGGGTAGGTGGGTATGTGGTCTGTCTCATTTTTGGCAGTCACCGGATTTCCCCTAAAGCTGATCAACTTACTGGTGGTTTCCAGCAAAACTGCCACGTTTGAAGGTCCAAAAAAGGGATTTGGCGGTTCAGGGGTGTTGTGGCTTGGGTGCGCGGGTATGTGCCAATTTCTGCAGCTTGGATTGGATTGGTGTGTTCCGTACCCTCTACAAGACCCGGGGGTTCAAACCCCCAAACCGCCAATCCACGAAGGATTGCTACCGCCAGGGAGATCCCATGTTTAAACCCGTTTGATTGGTTTGCAACATGGGACCCCAAAAGAACTTATGCCAAATTGGTGGGGCTTCCTACAAAGCGTCCCCCGTGTTTTCAAGGCTTTGACATTTGTCCTGTTTCTCTGGGGATTTGCACAGCTTTCTATTGCCATGTTCCCTGCATGGGATTTGCCTCATTCCAAGTGAGGAAAGTAAACAACTTACTCACCCAGTAAAGTTCCAAGTATTCCTCTAGCTCATCGATTCCAATTGAGTTGTCTGCGCACAAAGTGTGCACAGCTTTGCAAGTGTTTGTTGTTTCTGGTGCCACTCGGGTGCTGCTGTCCTGGCAGTGCGTTCACTTAAATTAAATGAAGGCTGTATCAACCGCATGGCAAGCATGCGTGAAACCGTGCAACAGGCAATCCGTAGCATATACTGCAATTTCAGGCTTTCTCAAAGCAAATCGACCAGCATCAACCAAGCAAGAGTGCTGTCCCAATAGTAGGGCGGTTGCGTTGTTCCTGATGATAACGGGTCCCGAACTCGTGGGGAGCAGTTTCAGCAGGCAACGCCTGCCGAAACCACGTTGGATGTCCGAAGCGCAGTCGCAAGCTGCTGAGCATGGCATCAAAGCATCCCGACGCTCTGGGCGGATCCACAAAACAAAAACCACACGGTCTCTCTGCTCCCGCCTGCCAGCGGGTGCAATATCGGCAGAGGCTTCAGTGGGTCAGCACCACGTTTTCGCTTGCCTCGAAGGGGGCGAGGGGGCGGTCGACGAAGAGCCATCGGCTGAGATTGTCAAAACAAAAACAAAGAGCAGACCTGATGTCCTCAACACATACTGAACACTGGAATCCCGTGACGAAAGAAAGCCTGCAAAACAGAGTCTCCCCGTAAAAAGATCCACAAAGAATCGGCTTGGAGTGTCGATTGCCAGCCAGGGCTACGTAATCCAATGAGGCAGCTGCACAATAAAACCAGTCGAAGCATGTAGGCTGCCCGGATTCGACTTTCACTGTGATGGTTGGTAGATGGTCAACCCCCCACTCAGTGACAGGTACTGCAAGAAATGGCCAACGGCATTCATCTCGCGACATAATAGAGAAGATTCCTGTCCAATACTCACATCTGAGTTTATAGCGTGGGTTGGCTTCAACAGCCCTTCATCCTATCATGGACAGCCAGGCTTCAACAAGGCCATCTTATTGAATACCATGCGCATGCAAGCAGGCACGTGGTGCGTCAATGTTGAATATTACACCTCAGAGTGTTTCCCCGCACCAGTTTCTAGCTTTGCATGTGGTCCAATATCATTTCGCCGGAACCACAAAGAAAACGTGATTTTCCAACCACGGATCCGAAGCCGCGGCGCGACCGAAACATGCAGCCTAATTACCCCTCGGGTTGCGGAGCACGCACGCAAGATGCTGGACTTCGCGTGCAAGCGCGCGAACAAAAAGCGCACACGTGCTGCACGGTTGCTTTGTGTGTGTGTGGACTGGCGCGTGGTCCAAAGAAATTGCTTTGTCTATCGGTTTCAAGTAATCGGCTTTCAACCTCACCACAGGAACTGCCGGTGCTTTTGAGGTGTATTCTCTACGCCTCTAATCCTGCCTGCGCAACATTACATGCACATGGCGAGAACAAGTACGGTGTTTTAGTGCGGGACCCCAAGATATGTGTATCTTGAATATATTTGTGCCATAGTTTACTTTGTTTGTGTGCAAAATATCTTTGTTAAACCAACTTGAGCATGCTTGTCTTAATCGCACGTAGGCAACACTTCCATGCCTTGTTGGCTAGGAAGTGCACACTTGACACCCTTGCCAACATTTTCTCCGCTTCTTCCTTGCAACTTCTTACGAGATCCGCAGAGTTGAAGAAGGAGAAGGCTACCCCAAACAACAAATCTTACCATACGAAACGGCACTTTGTGACAACGGACATTACTACTTCGTCGCATGGGTTTTTAGAGTTTCTCGCACAACTCTTCCACAAATACTTCAGCCAATCGGGTGTAGTTCAAGCCGGCTTGAGCCAGTCTGTGTGGAGATATCGGGATCCAAGCACCATTTCCTCACCCCACTCCCATCACCCCGCAAGAACCACAGATTTCCCAGGTGCCAGCCCCAGACACAAGTACATCGACAAAAAATGTCAGCGGCAGATAAAACAAGCTTTGCGTTTCGGACTTGTGGATAAATGAAGAAGCTTCGTTTTTTTACTCGACGTATACAATTTGTTTAGGGCTACATTGGAGATAACTCTTCAGCGCTTCAGACAATGGCTCGTTTTGTTGGGGATTTGTTACTTTCTAACTGCATAGGTGAAACCTATACCTTGCTAGCGTGCAAGCAACCCAGGCTTGCAGAATCGCCTAGGAAGCGCGGCATTGGCCAGGCACCTACGCAAAGCCTATGCCGAGCCTGCGCAGGCGACCTAAGCACTACACTTTCACACACCGTCTGCATGAGGCTGCTGCTTGTTCGCTAAGCACAGGAGTCACGCTACCAACTACCTCTTGATGTTGGTTTCATTGAGGCCACCATGAAGGCTTCTCAAAATGGCAACGCAAGCGGTCCGATCCGATCAAATCCACCAGTCGCCTGGCTTCTGGAACACCTTCTCCATTGGAATGTCCACTGCGTGGATGTAGCGCGGTCTGAGAGGCCAACCCGGATCGAATGGGATTCGTGGGAGGTGACCAAATCCTGCCGCCTGCGGAAAACTTCCGTGGGATCTATGCCATGGAGTTGTGTGTTGCACGGCAGCTCTTGACAAAACTTCCTTGTTCCGCCCTTGAGATCTCAATCTGTGCATATCTTTGGCGCTTCCAGATGTCACAAGTAGCTGCCCTGCCAGCGGATCCCATGCTCAAAGAGTCATTTTTGTCTGGGTACCAACGGCACATCTGGCAAACATACCCGTAAAACACCAAGGGATCCACAGGCAACACATGTGAACTATGCTCCCTGCCATACCCTGTCTCGCCTTACATAGCCATGGATGCTGTCCACTAAGGCCAGGGAGTTGTCCTGGCCGCCATTCTTTTTTAAAAAAAGCCAAAAGCGTCACGCGAGAGATGTCCAGCCCACAGGTCATCACACCCACAATCCTGAGGCTCCACACAGCCCTGGTGGCCTTCAATTCGACCACTGGGGTATCCACGCATCCACGCAAGTCACTTCTCAGTGCAGCCCGCTCCCCAACGCCCGAATTCTCAACCCGCTCCTGGAGGCTGCAACAAATCAAGTTGCCCTCCCGCGACACCTTGCATCCAGCGCAAGGTAAAGAGCGCGAAACCGGCCCCCGGAAAAAGTCCGGAAGGTTGCAATAAGGTACCCCAATTGACCGCGCAGTTGTCACAGCTATGATTTTCCGGTATGTACAACTGGGGTGGGGAACTTGGAATGTAGCTGAACTACCCATGTACAGTGTCAAGGGAAGAGTGGCAAAGCAATGTGTTTGCGTTTCTTTCCGAAAGCCTTATCCAGTTCTACAGACAGCGGCGTTCGTACACATCGCGGTGAATCGCTAGCTCTCAGCGAGTCACGGTGATGTGGCGGAAGCTGGCGGGGAAGCGGGGGATGAAGTTCACGTTCTCATCCTCAGCTGACCGCAGGGGCCGCTCAAGGCAAAAAACTCAAGCGCACGCCTTGCGACCCATCCTGAGACTGTCTGCCCATCCCTCCTTGTTCTGCCATCAATCGCCGACAAACCCATGGGTGGCCTTATTGGGCATCCACATTGCCAACTTTGTAGGCGATCGGAACCCGTTGCTTTGAATCGAACTTGTGACAACCCCTTTGGGGTTCCCAGGATCATTCTGCTGGCAAGCCGCTTCCATGTTGCGAATGCACAGCACACCTTCGTCACCGCCGCTGAGCATTAGCGGGCCGCTGTGTGCCAGGGTGCGCACAGGACGGGCCTGGCTCGCCCGACCATGCTGAAAGCGAAGTGCCAACTGGAGTTGTCTTGCCGGGCCAGCAAAATGGACAATGGAAACTCATTAGTTCCAAACCATGATGGCTATCTCAGAAAGGATAAGCTTCTTGCTGGGAATTGCACCAACCCAACTGATCAGAAGAGAATGCGTCCTTTCAGTTGGAAAATGGCCCACGGTCCCGGCCTTCGCTTCAGTACTTTTTGTCTGTTCGCTGGGCAACGCTGACACTATCCCAGGCATTTTCAAGAAATTCATGTACCTGAAACGAGGAACTCACATCGGAAAGAGGTTTTCACACTCGCCTTTGGTGCTGTTGTAACCTGTTCTGCGGGATCACCAAAACTTGCCTAATCTTCTCCACACTCCAGCATGCGCCGAGACGCAAAGTAGCCTCCAGTGTATACATGGATGAAACGCACACCCGGTGCCAAAGCGAGGCATTTTCTCAATTACATGATAAACAACGTATCCCGCGCCGCTTTACCCCAGAATGCTGGCGCCGGCATGGACCGGAAGGGGTTGCTAAGATCAGCCACCCTTTAGTTGGTGGTTTGGATTGGTGGTTTGGTGGTGTTTTGGTGAATCGGAACCACCCTTAGCCTCCAAAACAACTCACCCAAACCAGTTAGACTGAAGCTGATGCAATATGGGCCTGAGTGCGACAAATAATGAGAAGTTCCCTGTTGGATGGGTTTAAAGGGAAGCTGCCTGGAACCCAACCCACTTTTGGGCATCGACTGAGACAAGCGTCCCGAGACCTTCAAAAGCTGTGCCAGGCTGGCGTGCCAATGCCAGCGAGCCGGCACCTGAGCAATCCGAAGCTGCATGTGGAGGAAGTGAGGCTTGGGTCCGAGCTGGGAAGCAACAAACAGTTGGGCGTGGGTCAAAATTAATCTACCAGGAATTGGACCGCGGGTTTTAGTCCATGTTTCCATTAGGGTCCATTTTGGGGACCTATTATTGACCCACAGCCAGTTGGACACGGACGAAGACACCTTGGGTCTTCCACGCTTAGCAAGCCGTGCACACAGCGCCACAGCGCTAAACACATGCGGAAAAAAAGGAGCTCGGTGCAAAGCCGATTGACATCGGCCAGCAGTCAGCATCAGCTCCAATTATGTCCAAGCTTTGAAGACAAGCAAGGCATCTTGAGCAGGAGGAAAGCCGTTGGCCGGGGAGTTTGATCTTCGTTTTCAGGGTCTGGTAATTGAGATACTCAGGCCAAGGTCGCGACTTTACAAAAAGCACCATTCGCCGGGTGCGGGGGGTTCTGAATCTCTGGTCGAGCAACCAAGCAAAGTTCGATTCAACTCTCCAGCAGAATTCAAAAGCAATTCGAAACAACAACGCCTCACATCGGGCTTCTCCTGTTAGGCGTAACCAACTCCAGTCTTGCCTCAAATACCCTCAGCCGCAGCTCCCTGGCTGAGAGCCAGGCCAGCAGAGTCTGATCCACTTTCTCCTCGTGCACACCCCACCTCAAGCATCGCGCCATGGGCGGAGCTAGTGAAGGATATGTGAGTTATTGAAATCGCCCGACAGGGAGTCTCTCAAAAGTGAAGAACAGCCAGCCCTTTTGGCTTTCAAAGTAGACGCCAAAGGAAACTCAGCCTGCCTTTCTTTTCTGTTGACAAGCTGTTTTTTTCTTGTTTCTTTCTAGGCATATGGAGACTGAAACCATGGCCAAGTTGCCGAGGATATTGCGGGATTGGAGGCGGCAGCGCCCACCAAAAGCAAGCAAGAACGAAGAAAGACCAAAACCACAAACAACAGGGGACCAAGCGACTGCCTCAGAATGTTAGGATCCTTGCGAGCTTGCCCCAAGGTGACTGCCTCAGGTGCCAGCCATGTCCACACAACGCCCAACTGGTCGCCCACCGCCACGTATCTCCTCCGAGGCAAGAAACATACAAAAACACAACGGGGGCTGCAATGACTAGTTGCTCCAAGTGAGAAAATCGGATGGCCAAATAGGGTGGCCCTGTGGGTGTTGTGGGAAGTTTGGGTGGGCCCAGGGACCCCGCCCCCATGTTCTAACCAAGCATACACTACAGTGTCTCCATGTCCAAAAACTCTGTCTCTGGATCGGTCGCTCTGAGCATGACGTGCTTGAACGACTTGATTGCGTCGCATTAAAGTCCTTCTACCAAGAGGCGCTCAAAAGCCCTTGTCGACAGCTCAAATCCGATACTCCAAGACAAGCACAAGGATACATGAAGTGAAAGTGCTTGGCGTCTGAGTTCTCACCTCTCAACCAACGCCAGCGGCCTTGCCCCACCCCCTCCAGGCCTGTGGGGATCGATAGACACCGCAGTCAAATCTCTCTTGTGGGAGTACCTTGCGAGTTCAGCTCATGCGAAGGGGGTCTGAGGCAATTGACGTGCTGGTTCTTGGTGGGGAATGGCATGGGAATGAACCTAGACATCCCTTGACAAAAACCGCGAGGTATGGTTTACAACTTGCAGGGGTCATTCCCTCATTCCCTGAGAACCAGCAAGGTAAGAGGTTGAGTTTGAAAGCACTGCCCCTTCATAACTCACATTAAAGAGAAAGGGCGAACATCCTCGGGATGAGTCGGACACAGCCAACACAAGAAACAAGCAAACACACATGACACCACAAATACTACTGCTTTCCTCATTTCGCAGCAAGCACTCTCTTTTTCTCCCCACCCCTTATTCAACCAAAGGAGTGCAATAATGCCCCAAAAGGTCACTCGATGTGCACGTATGTGCTATTGCATCTCATGCGTGCATTTGTATGCTTGTATTTATGTTTTGTTTGGTGTGTGTGTGTGTGGGCGTGCGCGCATGAGTGCGTGCGTGGTGGGTGGGTTCGTGGGGTGTGCTTGCTTGTTTGCTTGCTGGCTGGCTGGCTGGCTGGCTTGCTTGCCTGCTTGGTCGCTTGTTTGCACCTGCGTTTTTGTTTTGTGCGTGCTGCTTGTCTTAATGACATATGTCTCCCTTGATATCCCTTCCCTGCCTTCTGCAGGTACTCCAGCCCTCAGCCCACATGCAGAGGTCCTGCACTTATGGCGGTCCCAAGCGCTGGACACAGAGCAAACCTGGACGGGTCTCTCATCCCAGCTACTCAAACGCCAAGAAGAGAGGGTGCCCATCCCCACTGCTGCCGCCCCGTAGCTTGACATGGGCTCTCGGTAAATACTAAGTACTGCACAAACAACTGTAATTTCCAATAGGCGGCGTGGGCTGCGGCTTGAAGGTTGGGCCTTCCCCGGAGGTTGCAGGAACCACTCTGGCTGGGGTCGTGTAGGCTTGGCGTGATTGCCAGGAGCCTTGATAAATACAGTCTCAGGCCCTTGTTGGTCAGCAAACAAGAATGTCCATTGAAATGTCTACCCGTACGGGCCAATGCCTCAAAACGAGACCCCAGTCGCAAGAGGTTCCTTTTGGTTCAACTTTTTTACCTTCAACACATCTTGCTCTAACTCCTGCTTGTGGACTGTCTTTACCAGCCAAAGCCACTTGAGTAAATGGCAGCTGCTAACTGTGCGAATCCTATCTCTGTTACCCAAAGGAGCCAGAAATAAAAAGTTAACCTTTTGGGGCCATGACTCAAACATGGAACAAACAAGGGGAAACCAAAAGGTCAAAAAGGTGGGCTTTGGGCAAGTGAGCTATACTTTGAGCCTCCTTTCCGCCTTTCCCGGGCAGAACAACTCACATCGTGGAAATCGGATCCTTGCCATCGATGAGTGCCACCATCTCCTCCTGCACGTCGCTGGGCCCGCAGCAGGAGGCACCTTTGCGCCGTATCGGTTTTGGTCGCGTCGTCTTTTTCAAGGTGGGACCCCCACAACATGGCACGACGGTGGTTTGTTTTCTTTGGTCTCCCTTGGAACCGCAAACAAGGGGGTATCAACTCCAAACCGGACACGCTATGGCCACTCCCTGAGCCCAGCCTATCGGGGCCAACCCACAGAGTCCTTGATGGTTCAAAAGCTGGCAAAGCGGTGCAACCAGGGGGTGTCACGCTCCCAGCACCAGCTCAACAGCAAGAATTGCCTGGCTCGCGTCAGACCCAAGCCGAACTCTAGGTCTCACCTCTTCACTTCCCCGCCAGAGTGTCATTACTGTTCCAAGCAATGAACCTTGGGTACCAGCACTGACTCTGGATATTAGCTTGTAAAGCAAACAGCACATGCCGGGGCACGCAACGGATTGCAAAGACCTCGACACACCCGACACAAGAATAAACCTTCCATGTGCCATGATGTTGACCTCTATTTTTGAAAGCCCGCGTGCTCGCAAAATCCAAATCCCGGAACGTATGTAAATCGTATGTAAAAAACCCATCCTAAATACCCAAAACAATGGGTCAAACATGGTTTCAAGGTGGTGTGAATCGATTTTGTCCATCCACAGTGTGACCACGTGCTCAGTCTCCATTGACTTTCCTTCAGGTAGTGTAATGTTCAACTGTACCTCTTGTCACACTATCTGATATTTCAAGTATGGGCCATCTAAACATTACCCTTCAAACATGGTGCACAGAAAGAGGACTTCGTTTTGGTGTCGCCAGGGGAGAGGGAGCCAAAATGAGCGATGGTGCCCGCAGTTGTGACGCGGGACCTTTTCGGGTCTTGCCCTGCACCTCCACCCACCCACCCGCGAAGAGAATTGAACGAAGGCGCTGACAAACAATGTGAGGAATCTGGGATCTGCCCTCCCCCCGTTGAGACCTTGAGAGGTGGAGGGTGGAACCTTGAGAGGTGGAGGGTGGATTTCAGGTGAACCAAAACGCAACCCCTGGTATCAAGATGCTTTGCCCCGAACACGCCGAACACTTGAAAGAATTCACAAGGGGGGTATCCCGTAGCCTTCATTTACCCGGGGTTTGATGGCTCAGGGAGCTGGGGTCCCGCCCAAACCGAGTGCCACGCTTGGGCCCAACGGGCTTTGTAAGTTCCTCTGTTCGTTTCGCCAACAAAATCCAAACAGCCCAGAATTTTGGGAGCCAAAACCAGAGAGAGTTCAGAACCTTTTGATATACCGCAGCTCAAAAACTCCGAAGATAAACCACAAACCGCGACCTTCGCACATGTCACGCATGTCACGCATGTTCGCAACTTGGCACCAGCACCAAAAGCAAAGAGTCTCTTGGCTTTTGGCATGAACCAAAATTGGTGACTCAGAGGAACGGATCGGTTCAAAAACCGCTTGGTTCGATGTGAAGACACGCTCGGGGAAGAACCCTAAGCCCAGCCGAAGGAACATCCCGGGACCCCAGCTGATTGGCAGCTCTCCACTCCGCCTTTAGGCGAGCGGACGGATCCCCTGTGGTGTCGTTACATCCCACTAGAATAGCCTAAAATGGGTGGTGCACCTACCCCAAAATGGGATCCAATTGATTTTGACAACCACAGCCATATTAGAATACTGTGTTTGTTTGCTTCTGGCTTCCCCCTCACCAACCAACATTCTCGGTTGCTTTCTGCTCCCCTGCTAGAAAGTTCAACTTTTAGTGGTTTAATGGAAAACCCATTAGTTGGCAAAAAGTTGAGGTCCTAACATCCAAGCAAAATGCATCAATTGTTGTGGCCGCAACAAAACTTGTAAATCCCGAGCAAGGGAGACCGTTGTCTCCTTGCAGCATTTTGTTTGCCAGTTGCAGCTCTCACGCCCACGGCTAATTACCTACAGCGTGTGGCGCGGCATATGAGTGATAAAGCATCAAAACCAGACCCGGGCATCAAGCAGTATGCCATGAAACCATGGAAGGAAGTGCTAAAGCGATCAGCAGCTTCTTTTGTTTGTGGCTGAAAATGAGCCGACGCAAACCTCGTAGCCCAGGTCTCTATCAGGCTTACTCCAATGACCTCACAGGGGTACAACCTTGGCTTTCCCCGGAGAAAAAAAACAAAACCGCAAGCAGCACCCCCAAACACAAAAACAAAAACAAAAAACAAGCAGCAGCACCCCCACACATTCTCTATGCTGCCTTTCTGGCGGCTTGGTTCGGAGCACTGTCAAAATGAAACCACCAGGATACGGACCGCAGATGTTTCGTCCTTCGCATTTACCGATCGGGCAAGCCATTTCGGGGTTACCCGATTTTGACCCACCTGATTTCGCAGATACGCAGTGACCATGGGGAAAAAAGGGATCGGCATCCAATTTTTCGTTGGTTGGTTGAGTTTAAAGGAACCGGAACCATGCTCAGATGCCCAGTGGCCATGGGAAAGAAAGAATTGGCATCCTTTTTTTGGTCGGTTGACTTTCAAGGGAAGCCCTTCCTCCCCCCCTCCAAAAAAAAAAGAAAGAAAAAGGTTGGCACCACGCTTGGTCGGTTGACTTTCAAGGGAAGCCCTTCCCCCCCCCCCAAAAAAAAAAGAAGAGAGAAAGAAACAAGTTGGCACCACGCTTGGTCGGTTGACTTTCAAGGGAAGCCCTTACCCCCCCCCCCAAAAAAAAAGGAGAAAAAAAAAAGGTTGGCACCACGCTTGGTCGGTTGACTTTCAAGGGAAGCCCTTCCCCCCCCCAAAAAAAAAAGAAGAAGAAAGAACAAGGTTGGCACCACGCTTGGTCGGTTGACTTTCAAGGGAAGCCCTTCCCCCCCCCAAGAAAAAAAAAGAGAAAGAAACAGGTTGGCACCACGCTTGGTCGGTTGACTTTCAAGGGAAGCCCTTCCCCCCCAAAAAAAAAGAAAGAAAGAAAAAACAAGTTGGCACCACCCACTGAGCAACTGGGTGCTGCAGCTGGGGGCCTAAGATCCGGCCTCAGGGAGTCCAAGGACTTGAGCTCTACCCGCTCCGTGGAGGCGTCGCCGCCCCTCTGGCCTCGATCCCGGCGCTTTTGGAGAGATCCGAGGGGCCCGGGATTTGCCCCGAAACTGGACTCGTTGCGGGGCAAGAAGAAGCCGCCGATGGACAATGGGATGCGAAAAAGGGTCTCTAATTTCTTTCATGTTGCAATCGCCATGCACCTTGCAGGAGATTCCAATTTCAAACCTTGCTAGACCTAAATTAGTTTTAAAATTGCACCCCATTTTGCTAAGACCATTTCTGGCACCACAAGCCGGAACCGTGACGACTTGAGGGCTCCTGGAGGCTTGTATTTTGGATACATCTTGCTACATGTTTTTCGAACCACTTCAACCAATGGCAAGTGATCCTTGGGAACGAGTCAAGTGGTGGACCGGCCGAACGCTATTAATGGGGTCCAACTTCTTTGCGAGCTCTTGACCAAGGCTCTTTAAACGGGTGCATCTTTCCCTTTAAACCAACCCGCCAAAAAAGGGCATCAACAGAAACAAAAAAACAAGAGAAACCATCGAAATATGAGCAAAGCAGGTGCCCGTAGTCTAGGAGGGGTCACCACATTTCTGAGCACAAGTCAAGTCTTGGCAAGGTCTTTCCTTTAAACTCATCCAACTGGAACTCGTCCACACCCAGCAGTGGCCATTTTCAGCCGCGAGTCATCCGGTGCTTCAAGACGCGATGGCTCATGGCTCAACTGGGCTACCCTGCCGAGAGTCACGATGATCTTGCCCTCTAGAGGCCAATGAATATCTAGCACCTGAAATGTGGGCAGCCTCTCCGCTTCGCCAATCGTTTTCCCCAAGACTTGCCTCTTGAGCTCTATCTAAGCAAACCAGGCCTGTAAAAGTGCCACCAAAGCCCGCTGTACGGGCTGTTCTTCTCCCAAACCTGGGGTCAAAAGGCAAGTCCATCTTTCCCTGGCCCGCCAATCGATGTCAGGCAAAGATTTCCAGAGACAACCACCTCACTGCAAGGCATGGGAGAGGACTAGGCCCACGGCCTCTATGGTAATGTTGGCCAATCAATTCTCGGTTGCTTTCTGCTCCCCTGCTGCGAGTTTAGCTAGTGGTTTAATGGAAAACCCATTATAGTTGGCAAAAAGTTAAAGTCCTAACATCCAAGCAAAATGCACCAAAGGATTGTGCGAAGGACTCTCTGAACTTTGCAAGTGCAAAGCGAGTTTCGAACTCGAGGCTTGTTAAAACTGCGGTGCCCTGGAAATAAAACTTAAGTATACACAAGTTGATCGTCTTTGTCGAATTAAGTACAAAGCTCAGCAAGAGTCTGACGGAGCACAAGCTGGCCGCTCAGTGCGAGGTCCCGAGGCAGCTTCCTGCTGATTGGGCTGCGGAGTCTGGAACGTACAGGTCCCAATGGCAACTGCGGCGGCATAGGTGAACTTTGGATCTGACATTGTTCTCCGGCATGTTTGGTTCTGACATTGTTCTCCGGGTTTTTTTTTGCCATGCAGGCACGCCATGACCGAGAGACGTTCTTCGCATTGCTACTGCCAAGAACCTTTTGTGCTCTGCCGGGATGGTACTCAAGTTGAACCAGTTCACAGCCACAAACAGTTTACCCGAGACGATTCGCTAGAGATCTGCCATGTTTCCCATGGATTCACTTGTTGCGGGATGAATAATCGCCTTCTTCTCAAGTTGGGGGGCTCAACCCTGGGCATCCGCACCGGCTTGCCCATGTCCAGTCTCGAGAAGCGCGTTCCTGCCGGAGAAAAATCGAGCACTGGGCTGATAGACGAGGGCCAACGGTTGGAAACCAGCCCTACACCCAATCCTCTGGGAAAAAGCAAAGGGCTGGTTTTCACCTTCCCGCCATATTTTGCGCACACGCCTAACAGTCAACAAACAGCCACTGGGCTCTGCTCCTTCGCCATGGGTGGGTCGGAAACAATCAATTTGTCTCACCACTGAATATGTGCTATGGTCCGAACTCCTTTTACTTGGGCCGCGGTGTTCCATCACGGCACGTGAAGCCGTGATGCCTGCACCATTGACAATACTTTGGAGGGCACCCTTGTCATGCTGGTTTACCGAGACACGAAACGGACACCTTTTTTTTAAGGGGGGTTCCCCCTTTGTTGAGACAAATCCATTTGCACGCAAAGGGTAATCGCCTGTGTTGTTTTCATGAAATGCCACTTGCTGGTCCAAGCACTCGTCATCTAAATCGCGGAGTTGCTTGTACTCTTGGTTGATACAGCCGGCTCTATTTTCAACTTCCAAAGATGCAAATGTCACAATACATACGATATGTAACTGGTCACTGCCCAATGCTACCTCTGTCCGTCACAAAATCATAAGCACCAAAAGGTGTTTTGTTCCTGTTAAAAGTGGTCTGCCCAGAACCATGTCAAGAACGAGAAGGGCGGCCGCCGCTATTTACGGTTGGGCCTGTCCCCTGCGAAGCCTCGCTTTGAATTTGGGCTTTTCATGGATCCGTTCCGCATGCCCCCCACAGCGCCTTTGCCATCCCAAATGCAGAGCTCCCCTGACCTAGGCCAGCCGAGGGAGAAACCAGCGCTGGGGCATCGATGCATCCAAGTGGTCAAATGGAGTGTTCCCATTGACCCGGATGTTCGGCCCACGAAGCGAGGTTTACTACCCAGGTGACTTTGCAGAACTTGCATCGAAACATGTGTTTGAGGAAGGATCAGTAGACACTTCCAAAGGCTGAACAACCAAGCTACATGGGCCAGGATAATTGTTCCATATCTGCCATTGAGTAGCCCCTCAAACTCATGCAGCTGCTCAGCCTACTACGCCTACCCCATTGGCTTCTTATCTTCTTCAAAGCAAGGTATGTTGAGCACATCGTGCAGGACCCTTCGCTTGCCAACTTGGTCATTAAGGATCAACCTGCCTCTCTTGAATGCAAGTAGCTTGGTTGACGTTGGAAGGGGAGCAAAAAGTCAAATTTTAACAGTTAAGTGGTTGGATTTCAACCACTAAACCACAAAATCATCATACAAATGCAAAAACATGTGTCCGATGCTTCCCAACAGCAACCACGGAGAGGGCGTCTTTTCTCCGGTGTTCTCGGTTCGGACTTGGCCATAGCCCACCGCCACCAGGCGAGAACTTTTTGGCGGGAGGTGGTGATGGGGTCCACGGGGTCCCCGCAAGGTGCCAGTGGCCAACGGCTGGGCGCAGTCGGAGCGCTTGGCCCCTGTCGCGTGAAGCCGTGCGCTGAAAAATGGGAGTGGCTCAAGACTGAAAAAAAATCCGGGGGAGCACAGTGGCTTGGTCTACTTGTCCATAATATGGCAACCCATTTGGCTGTGGGTCAAAACCCAGGAAACCCCTGGTGAACAAACAAATCGGTGGCAAATGGATGTTCATCCACCCCAAAATGGAGCCATAGATTATACCCCATGGCCATTTTGAGGAAATTATCAAGGGATGGATAGAAGCATTCGCCATTGCCTACCCACTGGTTTTACAAAGGGTTCCACACCGTATGCGACATCGGATCACCGCTTTGGCACGGGGAGAAAACAAAAAGAACAAGATACATGATTGAAAGCTGGCCGGAGACAGCGCCCGCCAAAAATGATTGGCCAATCAGCTTGCTCTGGATGCGTACCAGTGACAAAACACAGGCATCTCTCGAGCCGACCCCAAATGTCAGGGGAAACCAAAAGAAACCAGCCAATTCGGGTTTCCCTTGGAGACAAGTGGAGACAAGTGTCAAAGGGCCAGTGGTCATGCCCTTCTTTGTGTCACTCAAAGCACCTTTGGTCATCCGTCATCCACCAAAAAGTCCGCCTAGGTGCAAATATTTTTAGGGAGTCTTCTACTGTTATATACAAATACTTACAGCACTCGGTGATTTCTTATCTTTGTACCGAGCTCTTAGCTCACTCATTGCTGCTCCAAGACTTTCGGTACTGCTTGGGGATTGCATACAACTCACCGCCTCAAGCTTATTGTTCGGAGTCCTTGAGGGGATAGCGGTATTCTGGGAACTCAGAATGACCATGCGTGCTTCTACCCTAAGGGTCATGACCCGACCCCCGGACCCTTGCATGGACCCCTCAAGGGCTCTCAAAAACAACCATTTCAGGGCCCAAAATCAATCGGGCCTTATGCTAGCCAAATTCTAATAGCGAATACCCTCCCTCCCACTAACATGGCCACTGACACGGGGTCCCTTCAAAGGGAATTTGATCTTCCAGGTACCTCCCAGGTGCCATGTTAGTTGGAGGAAGCGTAACGGATATTTCCACACAACTTCACACGTGAAAAACCGTCGAACGCAGACTCTGGAGCTCCTGTATACCGTAGCGTGGACAAATATGAAGGCAACAAATGCGCAAGATGTCTGAAATCTCTCGGTATCTTGTTACTCTTTGGCGCATCGAAGGCTTAATCTTTCAAGAAAAGCTGCTGAAGCAGTGAGTTTGCACTTCCGAAATTGGGAAGGTCCTCTGATTGTTACTGTTACTACTCTTCACCTCAAATCGGAGTGAAAGGCTGGTCAAACAAATCAGAACCCCGGAAGCACAATCCGCAAAATGCGCTCGACGCTGGCCCGGTTGGCCCCCATGACGCTTTTGCCATGCGGATTTCACGCCTCAAGCAATGTCAAACAAATTGCTTGCATGATTGCATTGTACTCCAATGTTGCATTTCAACATTAAATGAACGTCATGTGGCGGTAGCATGCATCAAAACAGCCTCCATATCCATCCCCTGGAGATTTGCTTTGTCTGAATGGCCCAAACGAAGAATTGCTCGGACCCACACAAAATCCGCGAACCCCGCGCCCCGGCGAGGCGGAAGACTCGTGCGCCTGCACAAACTGCGGTCACTGGCGACTCGTGGGGCAACATGCCCAAGGGCCGCCTTGTCCTGGCCTCGAGTATCGATTGGCAGAGGCTGGCAGTGTGCGGTGGCCTTGAAGTGAAAAACGTGGCGGCGGTGGTCAAAACCGTTTTGGTTGATCCCATGTTGGTTGGTAGGTGAATACACCCCCCCCCATTTTAGAACCTATTCTGGTGGGGATTGGAATGTTCACTGGGGGTACGGGCTTTTGCCCCATGGCCACATGCCAAAAAGAACTGCTTCAAACCCTCAGGGAGGCTCTTCAATCTGCAGAAAAAGAACCCCGGCAGATTCAAATTGATTTGATGAAGGTATCGTCTTGAACTCGCCGCCACTCCAATCTTCTGGATCGAGCCGTGATCTGAAGGTATGCGGGGTGCGCTTCGTAGGGCCCTTGATCTGCACCTTTTCAGGATGGAAGCGTCCTTCAGCAGTTTCGATCTGAGCAAGTACATGCGATCCAGAAGAAAAGCGATCAGTAGCATGCCAAGGGCTTCTTTTCTAAGCGAATGCCAAAGAGACCGGCTTGGCAACTGGGCTTCGCCCGGCAAAGCTGGGTCTGACAAAGTTGCCAGATCTTAATGTGCGAGGCGACAACTTGTGTGGCAGGCAACAGTGGGCAGGGTGAGTATGAGAACGGGCTATGGGTGGCCGCCCCCCCAATGGGCACGCATTAGCGATATAGATCACGCCTTCGTCCGCCAAATGCTATGTGCCACTCATGCCAGCAAGCAATGCGCGAACAAACACAGCTCCGGATCGCAAGAATTGGCTTGCAATTTCGAAGAGCTCACACGCAATCCCGAAATTATCATTCCGTTGTTTCCTGCATCAAGATTCTTTGCAAGCTGGTTGACAGTGTGAATCCGTCTGATTGTTCAAGCAAGCCTCACTCACAAAGATCCTTCAACTATCGCCGATCCATGCCGCTTGCAGCCCCTCTGAGAGCTGGACGCTATACATTTGCACCACTTTGCCGCAGGCGGCAAAGAGACGGGAGCCCGACGCCTGAGCAAAGCGCTCGGGTCGGGGAATGAGTTGGAAGGATCCCGACATCAACCTCCTAGAGACTAGGATCATTCCCGAAACCCTTAGTGATTCCCTGAGAGCCTGCTAGTCCACTCCTGGCACTGGTAAGTTTTGTTGCTGGGGGATTTGTTCTAGCTCAATTCTGGAAGCATCATGGGCTGTGGCGGTGACCTTGTGTTGGGGGACCCCAAGAATGGTGTTTGTTTTGTTGTTGTTTCCCTTTAAAGCCAAAAAGATTAACCCAACAAAAGGACAGACCCAAAAAACAAATCCCTGTAAGCAATGCACCTCTTGCCTTCTGTGCTAACTGGGTTGGGCAAATGTCTCGTCGCAAATGACTTGCTGGTCAGGCAACGAGCAAGACGAGTGACCGCTAAAAAACCATCCCCTATGGCTTCCTTTCGGGAACCCCAATCGGTTCATTCCCGACCGGGGCGAGCGCCGGACGGGTCCACTTGGGCGCCGCGCCCCGAAGGACGGGGCGTATCTCACCACCAGCCCCCCCAGCAGCGAGGGCTTCAGTCGCCGCCTCGGGGAAGAGCTGATTTGCACAGGTCTTTGAGCATGTTCACGGCTTGATTTTGAAGTTTGAGGATAGTTTCACGGGTTTTGAGGATCTCGTAGATTAACATCTGTAAATGTTTAGAAAGGAAAGAAGGAGGGAAGCATCCTTTGAATGGCTAGAAAGGAAACATGACGAGGAACATATCCTGTGAAGGTTTAAACAAGGATGCGGAAAACATCCTTGGAAGGCTTCAAAAAGGATAAGGACAACATGCGTTGAATGCTTAAAAGGAAACAGAGTATGAGGAAAACATCCTTTGACGGTTTAAAGCTATTGAATATCTCGACGGAAATAAATATGAGGAAAACTTCCTTGGAAGGCTTCAAAAAGGATGAGGAAAACATCCTTTGAATGTTTGGAAAGGAAACACAGAATGAGGGAACCATCCTTTGAAGGTTTCAAAACGGATGAGGAAAACATCCTTTGAAAAAAAACATCCTTTGAATGTTTACAGTAGATGGAGGAATACACAAACAAGATGAGACAACACTTTTTGCTTGTTTAGGAAGGACAAAACATATGAGGAAAGCATGAATGTTGGGAAACGGAAACACGGCTGAGTAACACAGATGAGGAACACATTCTCTGAGGCTTCAAAAAAGGATGCGGCAAACATCCCTTCTTTGATCGTGTGGACAAAAACAACAAATGAGGAAACCATCCATTGAAGGTTGTTCAAAGGATGAAGAAAACATCATGTGAATGGTTTGGAAGCACAAACCATATGAGGAAAGCATCCACTCTGAATGTTTAGATATGGACAATGGCTGAGCACAACATCCTTTGACAGCTTCAACACAATTGAGTGTTTAGAAACAAATGGTAAGAGGAGGACACCGTCCTTTAAAGGCTCAAAAAAGGATGCGGCAAACATCCTTTGAATGCTTAGAAAAGAAAACATGAGGACAAGTTGAGGTAAAGGGTGAAGGGAAGTGGAACATCGGGGGACTCGGTGATGGGCTGGTCGTGTGAAAAAGGCCTGACCGCCTCCCTTTTTTCTGACGAAACCCTCTGCTGAGTGCGACGCCCTGTGCTGAGAGTGACACAGCTGTCTTTGGCTTCCTGCGGCAGCAAACACGTCTCCAGGGTTTGCCTTTTCCACTAGGGGGGCTGCTTACTTATCCCACAAACAGTGGAAAAGGCAAACCAGGCCTGTCTCCAAAGCCGCTGGGGAAATTCCGCGCGAAACTCAAAAGTTTGAAGCCTTTTCGAGCTAGTGCACTGTCTGCCAGGCCAAGTCATGGACCGAAGCCAAGAAAACGAAAGCAAACAACGCACTGGCAAACCCAAACGGGTGACGAGCAGTCTCAAGTCATCCCTTCCCCCGCCTTGATGGGTGTCTCACCGTTGACGCTCGAGACCTTCCCCGGCGTCGCCTTCGGCACTTTGGGCGATGCCTTGGGAGATGCTTTCGGCGACGCCTTGGGAGTTGCCTTCGGCGACGCCTTGGGAGATGCCTTTGGCGACGCCTTGAGAGATGCCTTCGGCGACGCTTTGGGAGATGCCTTCGGCGACTTCTTGGGCGGCGTCTTCAACACCTTTGACTCCTTCAGCGACTCCTTCGAGTCCTTCTTCGGGGAAGCGTTCTGATTCTCCGTTTTTGGAGAGCGAGGCATGGCGTCGGGCACACACAAAGGGTAGAGGTGTGTCGCTTGAGTAGAGCTCTGGAGGGTGAGGCTTGCAACATATATGTATATTGATTTCTATGTATATTTACATGCTGTGTGAGTGGGTATATCTGCTGAGTCTATGCACATGTTGTCCCATGTCAAAACTGGGTTACGTGCTGGAGGCTAAAATGCCTGCAGCACCAATCCCATATCCTAGACCAGCCCTAGATCGATCCTAAAGCGACCCTAAACCAACCCTAAACCCACACATACCGTCTTGAACCAACCCTAAACCTACTAAACCGACTCTAAACTCCAAACGCACCTAAACTAGCCCCAAACCAACCCTAAACCAACCCTAAACCAACCGTAAACCCCATCCTAACCAACCCTACCCCAGGGCCCACGTTACCCCTCGTTGGGCGATGTTAACTCCCCTGAGAAGTTTGTCGGACGGAGGTTGCCTCACGGAGAAGTCAACGGAAGGCAGTGTATTTTAAGGTTCCTTCGATAGCTAGAGGGGTAAAACAAATCTTGCGCAAACATATGCAGAAACGATTCACTGTCGTCTGCTGTAGGTTTGTACGCCGCATGCCAAGCCAAAGCTCTCCCCAATTTACATGTCGCAAAGGTCTTTTCGGATATCAAGGGCTGCACTACAAGTTGTCTGCTGACAGGCAATTGTGCGCCGCCGCCGCGCATCATGCATTCCATGCAGATTCGGATCGAGCTACGCTGCATGACACGACTTTGTGTCTGCTTCGCTTGTGCCTTCTGCATCAGGAATGCTCTGGCACAAGCCATACACAACTCAACCTTCTTTCCCCATATCCTGATGCGGTGGGCATGCATCAGGTGAGAAGGGCCACTCAGTACAAGTGAAGCCTGCGTCGGACATGAGTTCAACAACTTGACTGAACCTGAAACTTCCGCGCCCGCTTCACAAAATCATGGCATGCTTATTCCAAAGCTTCAGTTCGTCTTGCTTATACCGACTCGGACCAGTGTTGCCCTGGGGCGCCGGCTTGGTGCAAATGGCCACACGGCAAGTCCTAAGTTGGACATTGGCGCGGAGTTGATGGTAGCAAGTGCCAACGGCTTGCGGGGTGAACCTCGACTTGTCCGGTGAGATGTGCTGGCATATTTGAGGTCCCTCCCCTCTCTGCACTCTCTTCTGGCTTCATGGCGATAGGCTCGGGTGTACTACTGAGGAACCTGTGACCGAAGTTTCAAGTGCCCCGCAGGGGGAACATAGAGCAACCCTGCACACATGCTTCTTTTTTATTCCAAATGCGGAGGTACAAGGGCAGCTTGCCTCATGGAATGTCAGAAGCATGCGCACGAGGCATCCAATGAATTCTTTGGCAAGTCAGCCACCGGGTTGCCCCCAGCTATGTTCATTGCTTGAGATCGCAAGCCCAACTTCCTGATCGCAAAGTTTTGCTTCACTGGCCCCAGGTTCTGCTGTCTGCATTGAAGCAAGGCGTGATCATCAAGTTGCAGAATCTGTTTCAGAGAAGCCTGGTCCTTACATGTAACGCTACCATTGAAAACAAACCCAACAAGCATGTCGCCAAGCCCCTGAGGCAGCTGCTGGTCGAGGCATGCAAACACACAGAGGCCGGTCTTGTTCATGTGCCAATCCTGCCATTTGGCCGTGAATCAGATCTTTCCTGCAGTCCATTCAGGAAGCCTCGGGGATTTGGAAGACGCTACTCATGCCCATTTTTGAACGGGTGACGACAAACCCACACTGTGTTGTTCAATAAATTTGGACGGGAATCTTCAAACACCCTCTTGCTCTGATTGCTTGTTCCCAAAGGTTCTGATTGCCATTCCGCGGTGCTTACCACTGGTAAATGTGCAACTTACTTGAGCAACCAACCTCACTTGTAAAACTCGACTGGAGGAACAGAACATCCACAATCCAAGGTCCCGCAGATATGCCAATTGCTATCATACAATATGTAAGTACCGTGGTTCCTTAGGGTAACATGCATAGGTGCCCTTTTGGAAAATAGATGGTTCTGGTAGATGACTAAACCAATGTCTGCCAGGCCCTTTATTTCTCAACCAAACTGAACAAAAAGGGCACCTATGGTATCACAGGTAGCAACAAACGAAAAGCATCCGGGAAGACCATAGGAAGCCTGCAAGGCAAGGCAAAGACTGGCAACTGCGGGAAGGCCACGACAAAACAAGAAGACTACAGTAAGGCTGGGGACAGAAAAACGAGAAGGCAGCGGAACAAAATAACGGAAGACCAAGACTGGGTTTGCCGGTGGCCGAAGAGTTGGCTGGCTTTGGCGGAAATGCTAGCTTGGTTGGAAGATAGGGGAAACTATGAAGCAGCAAGACTGCAGAAAGACCGTAGAAAGACATGGGAGAGCGATGCCCAGCTATGGTCACCGCCGAGCGGCGAGCTGTTAGGCCACTCCCTCTAAATACTAACTCGCTCAACACAGTAGTTTTGTGGCTGAAATTTAGAGCTCGTTCCCCCATGTCCCTTCCAAATGGACCGTAGACAGGACATGTTGACCAAACCTCACCTTCCCATGGCCCGTGGAGGACCTTTTTTGGGCTAGATGGACATCAAGCTGCCGGACCGCAGCTGTGAGCAACCTTTGGTTCTACTGAAATGGTTCTACAGTTTTGCGCAGGCCTTGCTATGAAACCAACACACAGGGTTTCTCATAAAATAAAGGAACCTTTTCAGTTGGCTCCTTTTCGTGTCCCCTCAAAACTCATCCAAAACGGGGACCCTTGGAGCCCCACTGGGATTTTGTTTGGTCCAACTCGGATTGGTTTGGTCCAATCAGCCGAAGGGCAAAGGAAATCACCGGCTGCGTGGAGAGCTCCTGACGCATCGGGGCTAACAGCCGACCCCTGGACCCGGACGGAGCGCCTGGTGAAATGCCCCCCCCACCCTCTGCCTTCAGGACTTTAGACGTTTTTGGAGCGGCACGTGCAGAATGCAAAATTTACAGTGCTTTGGAAGCACTGAAGCTGTGAAACTACATCCCTGTGGGCCCTTCTGAAGAAATATGGGTTCAAAAAATAGGAATTGCTTCACTTAAAATGGCTGGTCGCCTTTGGGCTTCCTGTTAAAGACCGCACGAAGGACTTCTCCACCAGGAGAAACTCCCAATTGGAGCAGGTCAGGATTCGTCCCGGCGAGTGGTTCATGAGTGGGACTCCCGTTGCAAACTTGGGAGGAAAGCGCAGTGAAAAGGAAAGCAGCATGAAATACCGACGAGTTTGAAAGGACTCGAGTTTGATACATTTCAAGAGGAGCCCTGCAGATGTTACATAGCTGGCATATCAAACACAAGCCGCTGCTGCTTAAGTGCTCTGACTACAAACAAGCTCAGGGTAACTACAGTCTCTACTTTAGTTTCAAACATCCAATGGAGTGTTATCTTGGATGGAGGGTGGCATTCTGTTGGCGGGAAACAGTCCCTTAATGCGTGCAGGTTGCTTTAGATTCGGTCTACGAGCCTTCCTCAAGTTGTCAAAGCGGGGGCCAACAAAAAGACTCAACAGATCTGAAGATCAGGGCAGTCAATTGGTTTCTACTTAGGAAGCAGCAAGTGCATTGCACAACGGAAGCTGTAAGTATGCGCTTCCGCTTTGCCCGAAGCGTTTTTTCAAGCGTGCATGACCACCCCGCCATATCGCACATGCATACGTCAATGTTTGTTCTACTTGGCTTGTATCAGACTTTACGCTTGGAGCACCAAACTTCATAAGCTCAGGTGATATCCCCAACAGCATGCGGTGCTCTTTTTAGTGCTCGCACCACCCCACAGCCCTCGCAGAACCCTCGTGGAACCCTGGTGGAACCCTGGTGGAACCCTGGTGGAACCCTCGTGTAACCTTACCTCGGGGCCGCCCCGGACCACCCCGGAGCCTGTCTGGGCTGGGACCCCAAAGCTTTCAGCTTTTGGGGAAAAAGGGGAAAGCAAACAACGTGCCGAAAAACGGTACGGCCACCGCATAGGAAACAGCCAACAGGGCTGCCCAACAGTAACAAAAACAACAACGCTGTCCCGTCCTTCTGATTCAGCATCTCCACTGTGCCTGCGACTCCACGCCTGAAGTCTGAGGCAAAGCGGGCCCGATGGCGCTAAATCCGTGGGAATGCTGAATTGCCAACCCAAATATGCTAAGCATGTTCCTGCTGATTGAACGCGATCCCACTACCTAGGGCCTTCGAGTGCTTTACTGCGCCGGTTCTGTCATATTCTATCATTTCTGTACTACAAGTGACAAGCGTTGTCATCGGAAGATCCCGAAAACCCGAGGGCGATGAACCAATGTTGCTGGCTTTCAACAAATGATTCACATGGACCAAGTGAGAGCACATGAAAGCATCCATAACCTGTCAGCTTAGGTCAATGGAGCAGTGGTCTAATCAACATGTCAATTCGCGACAATGACCACGGCACCAAAACTACTTCGAAGCCCCGAAACGAACTTCGGAGAAAAAACAACAACAACAACTCGGGCGCCCGACTCAATGCCCTCCTTGTCCTTGATGGACCTTTCCTCCGGATAGGAGTACCTTGGAGGCACGGCATTGGCCCAAAAGCGTGGCTGGCTTGGGCCAAACAAACCATGCCCAACACCCCCCCCGTCCCTCCCAAGGAGCTACTTCACAGGCATGTGGGCTCTAACAAGGACCCTCGTTCCCTTGTTTTGGGGTTCCCTTGTTTTGGGGCTTCCATTGTTTTGGGGTTTCCCGTTAAGCCTGGGATGCTGGGCGTCCTCTTTACTTTGTCACTTATATGCACACTCCCTTTGTGGCCATAGAGAACTGTGACTATCTGTGCTACCAACAAGCGATTTGCTTGTTTGGCTCGGCACCACCCACCTATTCGATTGATGTCAACCAAGAACTGCACACAAGTACATAAAACTGGCATGGAGCTGGCATATGGACCAAGGTATTTGGAGCCCAAAGATTGCACCACAAATTGCCGTGCGTTGTTCCGTGCACACGAAACTCTGATATTCAATTTCTCAGCAAAGCTTCGCCGCGCATGCCGACCATGCCATAGTTTTAGCATGCGCAGGGGCAACACGATGGACATGCCTATCGACTTGAGGGAATGAGCAAAATTAGCCATCCCCTCTGGTTTGCTTTATTCGGGAATCCCACTCGGTTCATTCCAAGTTTCATTCCCGCTTATCGCACCAGCAAAAAATCGGATAGAGCAGCTCACATCTCCACCGAACCGGCTGAGATCCCGGACTTGAAGAGGGTGATGGTGCCATTGCCGCCACAAGAGGCAAAGACTTCCCGGTTCTGCGGCAGGAAGTGGGCGCCCCACAAGGTACTCTTTGTCACCTGGGCAAGCGTCAAAGGGCAACAAATACTGTGGATGAACGAAATGCTGCACCACTTTGAAACCATGGGAAACCATTGACTGTTGGTACTCATTTTTCCAGGCTTTCTTAGGTGGTGCAGGATTTCGTCCATCCACAGTAGTTCTGCGTGTTGGTGGCCCACAATCTGCTTGCACTGCAAAGGGTGCCCTTTTTTAGCTCAAGTGGTCTTGCAGGCGACGCGGCAAGCTACGCTGACTCGTGTGAGAGCTCTGGTTTGGCATACGTGCGTGCATTCCAGACCCCTGAGTGTGGGGATTCCGGAGAAGCAGTTGCTTTTGAAAGAAATGGTGACACACCAGCTCCGTGACATCCCAAGGCTTCGGTGAACTCATTGATGCGGGGCTCCAAATCAATTCACATTTGGCTCTTCTCTGTCTGGGAGCCTGACCTTCTCTTTTCTGCCAGCGTAGCCCTCGGTAGGATGATACCTATGCAAAACGGGCCAGCCGGTCTCGGCGTATCATGTAACCTGCTGCCTCATGTCAGCTTTGCCTGGTAGAGCACAATTTTGGACCTTGGTTGTAAAAGAAAGTCTCAGAAGGCATCCCCTTTTTGAACACTCCAAATCACAAGCAAGCTTTCCAGTGGGTTGTATTTTTTGGAACTCATTCGATCCCAAAGTAACGCAGGAACTGATGCCCTGCTCCCGGTGAATCTGTCGCAAGGTGTTTGAAGCCGTTCTACCCTCGGTGGGCATGCCCTCAGCTCTGCTAAACCTGTATTGCAGGGCTCCGCAGGAATAACAGAGCTCCCGAGATTTCCCCTTACAGCATAACCCGGCAACTAACCTATGGGGTCACAAAAGCGCTAGTCGGGTGTCACTTTTTAGGGGATCCCCCCCAAAATGGCTGTATATATTTTTCGGCTTCCCTAAACCGCACAAAAAAGGGGCACCCTCACAATGAAGACGTCCCCTGTTTCCATCTCCAAAGCTTAAAACCACGCGGGAAATGGGGCCCGGATGTTGCGGACGTCCCAGTGAAACTTCCCTGAACCCTGAAAGCCACGGGGGGAAATAGAGCAGGACGAACATCCGCAGGAGAAAAATAAACACACAAACAAACAAAAACATGGGGGAAAAACAAAAAACACGAGACATGTTGTTGTTTTTTTTCCTCCGCGGGGGGTCGAACAAGCTCCGCGGATCGGGTCACGTGCGCAGGTCGTAGACCACCAAGGTGGACTCCAGGGTGGAGACCTGGCGCTTTTGAAAAATCCATAGGCAGCCCTGAGAAAATGGAATGAGCCCCAAGATTCCCTCGGATCTGTTCTGGGTTTTTTGTGTTCCCTTCCACCTTTTGGGAACTGCGGCCCAAGAAGGTGATGTGAACTTTATAAAGGAAGGAATGGGGGATGGTTCATATTTAACGGGCCATCCATGTCCAATTGATTGTTTCCTTTATAAGGGAACATCCAAAATCTGTTCATTCAACCAACACCCAGTCTCGGACGGTCATTTCCAACTGAGCACCACCTAAATGATGTCCAAAAGAAACCTTCACAGCCAGAGTTTAACCGAAAGTCAAAGGCTTTTGAATTGTTCTGCTTACTTGAAAGTTGGTGGATCCAAAGATCGAAATTGCCGCCAAGTCCATTTCAGCAGGCGTTTTCATCGTCAGAGATTCGAGTCAAATTTTGTCAAAGGCCCGGACACCCAGCTTGTTCATCCGGATGTCCTTCCGGTCCTCAAGAGACACAGTTCGCGCTTCGGTGCTCGATTGAAACAACTGGGCTGCTTCGCTTCTCTGGAGCGTCAGCCATCCGTTCAATGGCAAGTTCACTCTTAGCCTGGATTCTCTCAGTCCACTTGGGAGAAACATTGAAACATGTGGGTGTGGCTCAAAATCAAAGGGCCAGGGTTACGCAGGTGATGGTCTTTGGTTCCATTTACCAAGGTGCCACTTTGGTCTCCATTTTTTTGAGCCACAGCCATGTCCAGCGCGAAGCTTCAAACATTTTGGTCCGATCCGAGGGCTCTGCAAACTGCAGGTGGCACACGCCGTTGCGGACGTTGGTGTCCCATCTAAGAGTGTTGGTCCGCCTCGGAGTGTCTCCAGGCTCAGCCACCAACCATTCGACCATCTGAGTGGAACCCTACAAAATCACCTCAGATATCCTCAAATATCCTCAAATGCCATGGGAAAAAATAATTGGCCTCCTTTTTTGGTCGGTTGACTTTAAAGGGAAACCCTTCCCACAAGAAAACAAGGAAAAACGGGGGACGGAATCCACTGGGCAACTGGGAATGCAACCAGGGCCGTCGGGAACATCTTGAGCTGCTCTCATGCCCCAGCCCAGCCCGCGCGCTACACTATGCTCAGGACTTCATGGGTGGACTGAAGGCCGGGAAGGACACGCACACCAGCAGGTTCTTGTTATATCGTTATTGCAGCTTTGAGAAAACTGTGTGGTCCATTCATCCGCAGGCGGTGTGTGCCTGAAGGAAAGAAGCAGCCAAGTGAACTCCCAGCGAAAGCCAGCGATACTCCAGGGGTGCCAAGGTACATACCCCTTTTACATACCCCTTGGACAAATGAACCCAAAAGGCCTGCTGATGTTCATACCCCTCTCCCCAAAAGGGGTATATACCCCTTATAAAGTGGGTTGGAAACCACGGAAGCCAAGGGGAACAAGGGGTATGTACTTCTACACTTAGAGATACGGCGAACATGGTGATTGGCTGAACTATCTGAACTGCCGCGAAACCGGGTTGCCAAATCAACGCTTGCGCCGCTCCATCGAATCACCAAATGAGGCCGGGACAGATCAAAGATCTTGACATCGCCATTGTCGTATCCTAGTTGCTCGAGATGCCACTTGAATTGTTCAAGCCATTGCAAGCTTCAGCGAAGCGAAAGTATGATGCTTCGCGAATCTGAAAGGATACCTCACGTCAAACTGTTTATCAATGCACGCAGCAAACTTGATCCCATGCGGCAGGTACATGTAACAATAGCCTCATGCCTGTGCGGGTGGGCTTGGAATGCCTCGTTTTCAGCTGTCATCCTGCGTTCCCGGGGAAAACGCCCGGCTGCACGGCCCGTGCTGCACGCAGCCGCGCTCGCTCGCTCGCGCGGTTCGGCTCCTGCAGCGATGCATCGCTCTGCGTCGTTGTAGGAGTTGCCGAAGGCCACCTCGGCTGCACTTGGGTCACACTCGAAACCTGCTAGAATGGTGAGCCCAAAACCATGCAAAGAATTAGAAAGGCGGCCGCAACTATTTCCGGCTGGGTCTACCTGGTTTTGATTGTGGCTCACTTAACCTGACTCCCCAAACAGAGCACGCCGAACAAGAACAACTATCCGAACATGCGAGAAATCAAAAAAGCTCTTCAGCCTGCCTTTTGTGCTGCATGACAAAAAGTTATCAACTTCCAGACGAACATAAACCTGACGCGTTTCTTTCAGGATCGCTTCGAAGAATCCTTCGCGGCACTTCAGTATTTTTCGCGTTCGGCAATCATGTAACCACAAAAAACACGCACATCAACACAACAGCCCAAACACACATACATATATCTCGATGAGAAACTAACTCGTTATTATACATATATATATATATAAGTCGGTCCCCCACACACCGCGCGGTAATCTGAGGACGTTCCACTAAAAATGGTATTCGGGGAGCCGCTGTCGCAAAACAGGGGTCCCAGGCGCGAATCCCCCTGCCGGCTCTTTGCTGGTTCGGGTTTTCTGCCTCTTTTTGCCGAAAATCTGGAACAACTCAGTGTGTTTGACATCATGTTTGCGAAAACCCGAAGAAAACCGTGTTTTTTGTTCGGAAAAATACCGGGGAGCGAAGGGAAAATGCAAGGAAGTGCAGGGAAATGAGGGGAGGAAATAATGGGAAATGCAAGAACATGCAGGGGGGCAAAAGGTTGACATGACAGGAAAGCAATGGGAAATAAAAGGGAAACGAAGGGGATCTGAAAGGGACATGAAGGGGAACTGAAAGGGACATGAAGGGGAACTGAAAGGGACATGAAGGGGACAGAAATGAAAACAGGGGGAGTGAGGAGGGACTGCAATGCTGCAAGGCAAACAAAGGACAAGGAAACCAAATGACACGAAGGGAGATGTCGGGAAATGACTGGCAATGAAAGAAAGGGACATACATGGGCGGACATACCGAGAAAATGACAGGGACATGAAGGGGGAATTGAAAAGAATGGAAGGGTCCATGACGAGGACATCCTCGAAAAATGACGAGACATGAAAAGGACATGAAGGGTAAATCAAGGGCAAAGCCAGTAGTACGAAGACAACTCAGGGGTCATGAAGGGGCAGTGCACGGAAATCAAGGCAACTCAGGGGGGACATGACGCTGCAATGCAAACAGAGAGAGAGAGAGAGAGAGAGAGAGAGAGAGAGCGAGAGAGGGAGAGAGAGAGACAGAGACAGAGACAGAGAAAGAGTCAGAGAAAGAGACCGAGATCGAGAGGAAAGAGAAAGGAAAGAGAGAGAGAGGAAGGGGGGGCAAAGACCGAGGTGGGGAGAATGAGGCATAGGGAGGCGGTAGAGAAAGATAGGGACATAGAGAGAAGGGAGAGAGAGAGCGAGAGAGAGAGAGAGAGAGAGAGAGAAAGAGAGTGAGAGAGAAAGAGAGTGAGAGAGAGAGAGTGAGAGAGAGAGGATTGGGAGGATGGGGAGGATGGGGAGGAGAGAGACAGAGAGGGAGAGAGGACGAGGGAACACACGGGGGAGGAGAAAAGAGAGGGAGGAAGCCGGAGAAAAGGGAGAGGACAATGTCGGCGGACTGAGCCGGAGGCTCTCCAGTGTATGTATAATTAATATGTATTTATATGTACACATACATCCACATAACAACAAAACAGACACGCCGCCAGTTCTGCCCCTCCCGACTTTTCAGGTCGCCCCGCCGTCCAGCAGTCCGCGGGCGTCTCGCCCTCCACGGGCTCCAGCGACAGCACCGGGTCCTCCGTGCGGGGGTCCCAGACCTCGGCCCGCGAAGGCGGCGGGGGGACGCAGGAGGCCCCAAGAAAAACCCGAGCAAAATGGACGCCTTTGGTTGGGGGGGCGTGTTTTCTTGGGGGTTGGGGGAAAAAGACCAAAAAGCAACGGACACCTTTGGTCGGGGGCGTGTTTTCGGGTTGGGGAAAACGACCCCCAAAGAAGTGTCGATCGGCCCTCCTATGCGCTATTAGCCTACTACTGGTATCAGTGGGGCCTTGTTTTTGTCCAAGTTGTCTAAAACATACATCCAAACACCTCCTGTGTTGCAGGGGAATATTCGAAATCGGCGAAAGGTTATTTTTTAGCAAGCCCTTTCGGTTGACCAAACACCTAAACATCCAACAACCAAATGGCAAATTCCGCGGGTTTCATGACAGTTCATGGGCCGGGAACAAAAAGGAAGCATTTCGCCACGGTCGGACATTCGAATCTTGAGAAACCACTCGGGGTTTGTCCTCGGGGTTTGTCCCCCTTCACAGGTCTCCCAGTTGCGAGGAGAACCTCCTTGACTGAAGGCCACATCAACATGCACGCATTTTTTCCCCCAAAGATATCCCCAACATTTGGAGACATGAAACCAAGAAACGTGAAGCTCCAGTTCAAAAGCACCTGGGTCTTCCTTTCCTTTGGACATCCAAAGGGGGTGTCGCACGGACACTCAGGCTGAGGGCCCGACCCTGACAGTACCATCCCGGCTTCCCGTTACAAGCCTCGCTGAGAGAATTCGGTCACTAACTCCTCCAACAAGACAACTCAGGTTACGTGCCGCAGATCTAGTGAGCCACGTCTCATATCGAACTCGACAGCGAATCAAGTTGCAGTTGGTGTGGGGTCCCATGCAAACCCTCTACAAGCTGGACCTAGAAACCTTTGCAGCTTTCTGAGCCAAGTTCTCGGGAGCGCCGCTGCCAATGCCCAGGCCTGCGAGGTGCAGCGAGAGTTTTTAGAGCTGAAGGCCCCCTCGAACCTCCGGCCAAAAAAAGAGACCTGGCCGTGGGTCAAAATGAAACCACTAGGAATTGGACCGCAGGTTTTAGTCCATGTTTCCATTTACCAGGGTTCATTTTGAGTACCTATTTTTGACCCACACCCACATGGCTGTGGGTCAAAATCAAATTGTGTGCCGAAAATGGACGCCTGGTAAATGGACATCAGCACTAAACCAGTGGTTCCCTAGTGGCTTGATTTTGCCCCATGCCCACATCCCAAAAACAATCCAGGTGTGCCCAGAGAGCCATTTGTGTCATTTGTGCCTGCCGGCTTTTTCGATCAGCAACTTCTTCAGGAAACGGCCGTGGAATCTTTGGACTCCAAGTGCCATGGCCATGGACCTGATCGAATGATAACGGAGGCGCCTGCGAACGAACTCAACATGTAGGCGGCGTTTTTCCAGGCGAGCAAATTCAAGAAAGCCAGAAATACAAGAAATACATGAAATACATGCTTCGAGAAATACATGCTTCGATTCTGCAGTTTGCGGGCAGCATATGCTCAAATGCCGTGCCAGCTTGCACGTGCATTCACGAAATCGTCCATTTTTTGGTTGCCACACATGTTCACGGGCCGCTGGCTCTACTCTCTCGTCCCCAGTAAAGCGGATGTCAGGTCATTGTACGATGGGGGGTATGTACACCTGCTGCTAGCAGCTGAAAGTTTGGAAGATCTACCCAAGCCCAAGCGTTAAACGTGTCTTTGATTATCTTCGGAGCTTTGGACATTTCTAAGGCCCGTGATATTAAAAGCCTGCACAAGGCATACGCCCACCTGGTAACACGAAACCTGTTACGTATAGCTGCAGCAACACGCAAAAACCTATTCCGTGTGCCGGCTGAGGCGTCACTCACTCCGCAAGTAGGCCAGAACAAACCTGAGAAGCCGGTTGAATCAAGAAGCCTTCTGCAGAACTTCTCGGTCCGATCCTATTTGCCTCTTGTGAGACAAGCCCAACATAGTCTTCCGCCGCCCCTGTTGCCTCCACAGCCGTCGATGGCGTTGACAATCAGGTCATGGCCCTTCACACCTTGGCGGCAGCTTGCGCTTGCCAAAAGGGGCCCGAGGGGGTCTTCAAACCATGCTGAAGATTGATCATTGATGGTGCAAGAGACTCAACAGGAGGCTCACTTGGCCAGTAGGCAACTGTCTACTGTGGATTCTGGACATGTTGGGCTCCGCAGCACCTTCCTGAGGCAAGGCCTTACACCCCATGTTTGCCCTCAGGATAAGGCACAAACAGTCGGCAACCACCAAATGCCCCAAAGGCCCCAATGACACCCCACAAACAACTCCACGCTGCCTTGGTACATCACTACATTGCCCAGAAGGACCCCTTGTGTTTTGATGAGCTTGGCAACAAGTTGTGACGAGACAAAGGAAACGTGGCTGCAAACAACAAAGTGCATTCTTCGATGCTGTCACAGGTGGTAACCAGGCCTTCATGTGTGGTCTCCCCAACGAGGCTTGGTCCCATCATGTCTTTGCTCTCAAGTCAAGGGGACCCACCTTGCTGCGCATCCCTAAACAATTGCAAGCATCTTGCATAAAGTGATCCAGCCATGATACGCTCAGACCTCCTTCAGATACTTCCAAATGCCATGAGTGGTACTTTGGTTGAAGTTGGAGATCTACAAATGCAAGCAGTGAACAATTATACTTCCCGGCTCCATAGCTTGATTTGGGATCATGTCCTGGGTGTGTAAGGTACTTGCGAAACAGGGCTCCGAATATTCAAGACCCCTAACCCTGCAGCCAACAACATCGATGCGGAACCTGTTAGCAAAGTCTGGCAAAGCGCAGTCAGCTTTCAGAGATCCTTGGGGGTTCCACTCGGCCGCTGAACTCTGAGGGCAAACAAGTTCCGACCTCCGGTTCCAGCGCAAGCTGAAGCGGGCTCCAACGAAGAAAAAAAAAACGCAAGAGGGGCCGGCGCAACAATCTCCCCGGTTGCAAAACCCCAACTGTGGCTTGCTTCCACCCAACAGAACCCATCATCTGAACCTGAAGCCATTTTCACTCCGTGACTGCTCAAAAGCGATGATACTTCTTTTGTAAATACCAACAAACAATCAAATGGATTTCGTCCCCACAGTATTACGGTGTGACTGCTCACAAGGGGAATGCCTGGAATTCCTTCCCGAGGCTCGGGCTCCAAATGGGCTTCTTCATGTTCTCGAGGTCCCACAAGGCCAACCCGCCCGCGTAGTCGCCGGTAGCTAGATGGCGATCCTGGCGCTCTGACGGACAAGGACCCCAGCCAAATGGGCTCTCTCAAAATAGGACCCCCCTAAAATGGATTGCCAATTCGTTTCCCTTCAAATATCGACTAAACGGGGGTCTAGTTGCATGTGAGTCCCTCAAAGGCTGTCCCCAATGCAGATTTGGTTTGAGGTGATTGGTACCACCTGCGTATCCAAAAAGTGCAGAAGCATGATTGAGCCCCGGATAAGCACAAACAACCAGTAGCCCGCGAGATGGCACACTGCATACGTAAAAAAAGGATCATTGCATTGAGATGGACTCAATTTTCCCTTCTTTTGATGATGCTGATGTTGATACAACTTTGTTGTTAGAAGCCTAGGTCTGAACTAACCGTTCGTCCCCTATCCTAACCAAGGGCCATTTCACAGAAGGGCCATTTCCCTGGGCTGAAAGTGACTAACTTTCAGCGGGTTAAATGGACCCCCCCAACCAAAAGCCTAGTTCAGGCCTTTGTTGATAGAGAGGGTAGGCTCAGGGTACCTTGTTTTTCTGTAGTTATTTTAGTAGGGGAACCCTCCCCCAAAAAGGGGTGAGAAAGGGCACTACTGGGGGACCTAGAAGTGTTCTCCGAAAGAAACATGTAGCTGTGGGCCAAAACCAATGGTACCATCTTGGGGTAGGTGAATTCACCACCCATTTTAGAACCTATTTTACCGCGCATTGAATCGGATGCTTTCTCTGTACGGGCTTTTGATTTTGACCCATGGGCCATGAGGCCAACCCTCCAAACCAGGGTTGTGGAAATGACCACTTCTGTGATACAACAAAAAGGGCTTCCCAAAGACTACCCTCCTTCATATAAAGGGGGAGATTCCCAAAAGTATCACAGAAGTGGGAATAAACCCAACTTGATCACCCACAACCCTGCCCCAAACCCCCCCCCACGAGCCCGAGGAGTGCTCCTCGATGGAGGATGCCCCGAAGGTACCGCACTTGAAGCCCTTCGGCTGCTCCGTCTCGGCCTCGAGAGAGGGGAGCCGCTGGGCGGCTGGGCGGCTGGTGGCCCGAGACTGGGGGGTGCTTCTGGGAAACCAAAGCGAGAAACGGCCCAGGTTTCTAGGGTAACCTCCATGTCCATTCTTTCCAGGGATCCAATTCTTTCTAGTAAAAACCACCCAAAAACCCGGGGAAATGGCGGGTTTTTGAAAAGAACGATGGCTGAGAAGAATTGGGAATCAAACCCTAGAATGTTGGAACATCCCCATATTAGGCCCCGGATGGTGCTTCTTTTTTTGAGGCTCGGTACCCTTGTTGGGTTGGTTCTAAAAGGAACCCAAGGAAAAGAGCACTAAAGGGACCAGTTTGGGGGACCCCCATATTCTGGCTAAGGGTTGAACAAATTGGGTGGAACGGGATCGACAGAAGTGGTGTTGTTCCGTTTGGTTTGCTTTTAAAGCAACCTCGAAAGGGTAACCTCGAAAAGCATCTCTTTCTCTCTCTCTCTCTCTCGCCCTCCCTCCCTCCCTCCTCCCTCCCTCCCTCCCTCCCCTCCCTCCCTCCCTCCCTCCCTCCCTCCCTCCCTCCCTCCCTCTCTCTATGTACATTGATTTAGAGCCAAAGCAAGGGAGTTCTTGCATTGCAGCCTAATGGTGACTATTGGATATCACTCAGGACGTCCATAAAGAGCCGTAAAAAGTTCCATGGCTGGCGTTTAAACTACCCCAGGGCGCCGTTCTAATGATTAGGGGTTTTATGTGGTTATAGAGCATACACAAACGCAGTGGCTGTTGATCTGGCGAACCCCTTCCCTGAAAAATGCGGCGCCATGAGCTTTCCGCATATCTGACGGCTAGGCCCTACGAGACAACGGGCCGGAGATCCGGAGCCTGGGCTCGGTCGAGCCTTGAGGGCGGCACCAGCTTCTCAGACTTGCCCTTGTTCCTGGCGCCGGGGATTTGTTGTTCGGCCTTCTGAAGTGGGCTTCCAAGTGTCGGCTCCCATGGCCCACTGCTGACGAATCGTAGGCAGCAAGCACCTGCTTTCAAAGCAAATGAGCGGGGCTGTGGGAAATGGAATCCACTTCTGTCATACCAGAAAAAGGGCTTCCCAAAAACTACCCCCCCCCAATATAAAGAAGGAAGATTCCCTTGTATCACAGAGAACCCCTTGACCCCACAACCATGCAAATGCGTAAATGAAAACTGATAATGATAATGGTATGAGAAGGGAACCCTGAGCACAAGTCCATGGACCCCTAAGGGGGCGAACTGGGAGGGGGGCTATCCCTTATTCACCCCATTAAAAGGCCTTATTAAGGGCTTACCAACCTGGCTTATTTCGGGCTTATCTAGGGATGCCCCTCAGAGCCTCCCCTTGCAGGGGTCCATGATAAGTTGCAACGATTTGCTTCAGACCTCATGGTGCCCTGCCCTTTGGCCCTTCCCTTTAAGCTCAGGCCGGGCTTGCAGCTGGCACACACGGATGCAGCCGGTGGCGCGGGGGTACTGCCCCAACACCACAAAGCGGGCCTGGAGCCGCATGGGCATTGACATATAGTTGACCCCAGATTGTCAAACTCATCCTGTCACGATAGGAGAGTGTTCCCTTCCAAGAGTGATGAATCCCCACCAAAAGGGGACACGCCCGATTAATCAACCAGGGTTTAATATTAATCTGGGGGCCCTTTTTAATTGGGACCCTTTGGTGACATCATATAATTACATGGGGGCGAAGTAGGTCGCCGATAAACGTCCTAGCCATATTGTGGGTTTAGCCCGTTATCCCCAAAAGCGGTCCCCCCCAAAAAGACTACTCAGACATTTCCGGAACTTGACAGCTCCGAGATCTACACCTCGGACAGTCTGATTCGGGGAGCAAACAAATACAATGGCCAGCAATGTGGCCATGGGTCAAAATTCCATACCCCCAGTGAACATCCGATTCAATCCCCACTAAAATAGGTTCTAAAATGGGTGGTGAATTCACCTACCTCAATATGGTACCATTGCTTTTGACCCACGGCCACATCACTTCGGACGCAAACAAATGCAATGGCCAGCAACGTCTCATTGTGTAAGCATTCGTTCTTTGATGAAGTGTACAACTACAAGCTCAGACCAAACATCCAGTCTTCCTGCCCACCCTACGCTCCTTCTGCGAAAAGTTGCAAGTGGGAACAGCACTTCGCAACGGCTCTGGGATAGTTGACTCAGGTGCCCCCCATTTGGGATTTGGGGCTTTTTTTGCCTTTTGGCAAAAAGTTCCTTTCAAACCAACCCAAAAAACGGGTACCCCAAAAGAAGAAGACGAGCCACATGGATACCGCTGACTGAGCTCGCCGCACTCTGAGGGACCCATCGGGTGTCGAAGGGTGTAAAATTCAGCTGCTCCTTCAAGTGCCTCAAGGCTCGGGCCAGGCTTCGTCCACATGGGTGGCTTGTGCTTTTTTCTAGGAATCGGGCCCCCCAAAATGTGGGGTCTTCCTTCTGGTTTGAAACTATCACGCCTGCAAAAAGACAAGCCCAAATGGGACCGTGCTGCCTCAATTTTAGGTTGCCCAGTCTTTTATGTCACTCTCCCCTGGTGGATCTTGCAAACAAACAACAAAAACACGTACATCATCATTTCATGAGATATACCGCTAGCACACCGTGAAGGTAGAATCCGGGCAGGTTGTGGGCACCGTCAAACTTGGCTTGAGGAATCATCCTGGGGATTGTCACAACTCTTGATTCAACTCATAGATTAAACAATTAGATTCCAACAAATGCATGACTGTCCCTTGTGATTGCTGCAGGCCAGCCCTTGTACCCATTGCACGTGCTTGCATAGTGTGCGTTGCGTCCTTTAGCCTAGGTGTCACAATAAAAACTCCCCATGTGTTTGGGTCGTGGCCATCTATTCAGTGAATAACCCCTACAACGGCCGTCAAAATTCCCTGCTACGAGGCGGATGACCAGCCCTGCTAACATCAAACAGCCAGGGGCGTGTGCCTCTCAGACAGGCCTTGCTGCTTCGAAGAGTTCAAGCTATGAGCATGGGCATGTACTTCACCATGGAGCACTGTTTGCTAAAGGAACCAGCGGCGGTGGAGTCTCCAGGTTGTTGTTCTCTCGGGCCCCTGAGACTCCCGGGGGCCTGACTCAATGACCTGAGGAGCATCTGTACAATCCATGATGCACGCACCAGTCACACTTCTGCCCGTAGATTTGTGAAGTCCGTTCCAGAGTTAGGCCGGATGAAAAGAGACCAATACACACTAAACCTTGGTTTCCCTGTCAGCCGATCTTTAATTCACAAAACTCCAACACTGTGATTTGTTGCTCTCCATTCTGCTTGGCGGTCTTTCGCATCCTTAGTAGTGCATGACATGCAACTTTTGCTGCTGCCCTCTTGTCCCGTTCGCTGGCCCTTGGCAGCTCCGGGTACTCGAGCAAAGCGGCCAACGCGATCAGCCAGACACATTCAGCCTCAACTTCACAATACCTCGCCGCCACATCGGTTGGATCCATCGTGTGTCCCTCAACATCCCTTAACGACCAAGAGGGAGGGCAAACAAGTGGACCCGCAGAGGCACGGCACGCGAATGAGCTGCAGAGGTTTTACTGAATGAAGCGGTCGAACTCCTTCAGTGGACCCAACCTTGGCACATGCTTGGCATGAAATCATGGACAGAAACAGCTTCTGAACATCAGCAAGGCCTCTGCTACGTAAAGCATGTGTGTGTGTCAATGTGTCTGTGTGGCTGTGTGTCTGTTTCTGTGTGTCTGCGTGTCTGTGCATGTGTCCGTGTGTCACGTGCACGTGCGTGTCTGCGTGTCTGCGAGTCTGTGTGTCTGTGTTTCTGCGCGTGTATGTGCGTCTGTGTGTCTGTGTGTTTGTGTGTCTGCGTGTCTGTCTGTGTGTTTTGCTCTCTCTGTGTCTATGCGTGTGGTACTTTGAGCTCTCGCACGCCTCTGTTGCTCTTGCCACCCGGCTGTAGCTGAGGACTGAACTCCTTGATCAGCTCATCCAAGAAAATGTTGGTCTCCAGGGTAGGAATCAACTTCCTGACAGACCGGCCTTGTCCAGTCGAATGCAGTTGGTTCCGATTGTTCCAAAAGCGCGAAGAGGAGTCGTTTGGTGCATCGTCTGCGTTCCGACATGCCACAATGTCAACAATGAGCATGACGTGCATTAAACAATTATCACGCCCATCCCGGACAAAGCTGCGCTCTGCTTTGACAAACGTTCAAGCCCGCATTTATCCATCAACACATGCTTTCCTGACAAATCTGCATTTTGTGCAAGTCACCGAATGACAAGTGAGATATTTGAACTTCCCATCAGGCAGCGCGATTGCCGTTCTCATTTTCACACCAGCCACTGTCCAACTTTCACGGATAATGGACGATATGGATGTGCATGGCCGTGGTTGCCAACGAAGGCCCTTTATGATGTTTAGCAAATCCCTCTCTCAAAGCGGACATGACAATTCCCTTCGACTTTCAATCAACACAGAGTCATCACGTGTTTTGACCATGGCAAATATGAGAAGTTCCATGAAGTACCGCAAGCCCGGAACTGGAAGAATCAATGAACAAGTCTCCAGCCTTCAAACGCGCGTGATCCTTAGGCTGCGGCAAGATTTGGTCCCCTCTATGGCAGGGGCGCACTTCTGGAAACCTCTCTCCGGACGAAGGATACCTTTTTGCGAGACATACCCTTTTTGGGTTGTGCCTGTTGTTCATGCGGATGTGGCTTTTTTGAGAACTACCCATTTTGGTCTTGATTCCCTATCCCATGTTGAGAAACAAACTCCGCCTTGGCGCCCCCCCCCGGCCCCCCCGCGGCCCCCCCCGGTTCAAGCGAAGGGGGCGAAGCGCTTTGGGCCTCGCTTCCTCCGCGGTGGCCGGCATCAAGTTCAGCAGCTGCGTGGCTTCAAAGTCCCGGCAGCGCCTCTATCGCCGCAACGAAGTCCGACCCGCGAAGCGAAGCGAACCGATTCCCAGAGAAGCGAGTAGACCCTATATTTGGGCCATATGGGTATATGGGTGTGTGTGCGTGTGTGCGTGTGTATATTTGGAGGCCAATTTTGGGGTGGTCAAAAGGACCTTGTTGGGAGGGTACGCGGTTTGCGTGGTTGAAAGGACAAGAAAGAGGTAGTTGCATGCATGTTTTTCTTATGATCGTTCCGCAATTTGGCTTCACAGTGCCCCACAACTGATCATTAAAGCATCATGGAGTTGCCAAGCGAGGCCAACTGACTGACATGCGCCAGGCCCTTGCTTAAACATGGTTAAACCACCATGTTTGACATAAATTCCTTTGGAGCGTTTGACTACAAAGTTTGCCCAAGCGACAGATCTGAGGCAGGCGCTTGACGAACTTTGCTTGATACTCGACCTGCGCCATTGAATGGCCAACGTGTTTCGTCAGAACCCCCCCCCTCCCGCCCCCCCGGCATCTCCATCGGATGTCGACTGCGAAGCCAGGGGTTTTGGGGTCTGAACCAAAACATGACACGGTTCAGCGTACACCAAGCCCCGGTCCAGTCTCAGCAGCTGTTCCTTGGCTTTGCTGGCGCCCACGTCGTTCCTAGGAAACGAGCAAACTGAGATGCCAGGCATCCCTCCTTTTGAGTCCACGCCACTGAATGTTGCCACTTAAAATTGGTGGACTTTGACCCTCTGCATGGCAGAACTAGCTGTGCGACTGCGAGGGTCTGATACATGATTGCAAACTCAGCAATCTTAGCTGACATGTCAAGATTGCAGCTTGACAATCGGGCGCAAACATCACTTCAAGCATTCCTTCCTATTCAGTCAGTACGTCCGGCGTAGGACACACTTGAGTCTGAGTTGAGAAAAAGCGCTCCAATTCCAGCGAGTTGCATCTTGGCAGAAACTTCAACCACAAGGTATCAGTCCTGTGGTCCACAGGACATTTGGACCAACCCGCGAATGCTCATGACCATACGGACATCCTTTATGACCTCAGCCTCACTTTGTGTGATGTGATTCTTTGGGGATTTCCGGGCTCGCGGGCACAAACCACATGGATATGTCTTTCTCTTAGAGAGCTCGAAGTCGCTCCTGATGAGACATGCTTCAGTAGTTTTTGGCTCGCATGCTCTCAGCTGAAGAGGTGGGCCAAGGAATTGAAAAACATCCTGCACCGAGGGTGGGCCATCCCACTTCACCTCTATTTTTCCTTAAGTATCACAGAAGCTGGCGCCAAGAAATACATTCGACCAGAGCCAGCCCTGCCAGAAGCAAAGTGCAAACATCCCGAACTCGAACTTGAAACGTCTCCGTGCAGCATCCCCGTGAGAGCAGCCTGGAGATAAGGAAATCGGATTGGCAAAAAAGAAGTCCCTCTATTTCACCTGACTCGATTTCCCAGTCATTTCCCATGGGACAAAGCACTTGCGCCTTGGAGATGAAAGCAAACTCGTAAGGACATCAAGCAGTGATTTTGAAAGGGACATCCACGAAGCCCAAACTGTTTCTTCACCACTCAAGCGCTCGTCCAAAAAAGGACTGACATCCAGAAAATTTGGGAAGTAGCACCTTGCGCGCTGCACCGGAGCTCGGCTGAGCCCCGTGCTGCAGCTGCTTGAAGCGCTTGCAGTAGGCCATGGTCTTCTTCATGTCCTCCTTCGTCGCTGTGGCGCAGTTTGAAGATTTGATTCCCCAGTCTCTTCACCCATCGTTCTCTTTGGAAACCACCCATTTTCCAGGGTTTTGGTCCTTTCTTTGAAGATTATGATGCCTGAAGAGAATGGGGAGGGTACTGCTAGAGCTGTGGGATAGGACAGCCCAGCATTTTGGCGCTGGGGGTTCGCTCTTCTGGAAACAAACACCAACAAGGGCTGGCCCTCAGAAAGACACACTGTGACACACCTGTTCTGGGTCTGGACAATTCCCCCCACCCCACGTCCCCCTAGTTCCAGGCAGTTTGACATCTGAATTTTGTTGACAGCCAAATCCACCACATTGCAACCGATGTGCCAGTATTCTGCCAGGTGTGGACGATTCGCCGAATATGTTCAGTGGTATCTAGAAATAATTCGGCAAGTCAAAGGCCCAGGTCAGCCCCCCATCGAGAATAACATTCATGGCATGGGCCTTCAGCGACCTGAGCTCCCACGGAAGGTCGGTTCCCAACAAGCCGTGCGTCTCACATTTTTCACTCATCGTTTCCAACGGCTTTTTCTCAAAATAGAAATTCGCGCCTGAAATGTTTGGTTTCCATTTGGCTCCCCTTCGCTTGGTTGGGGTCTATTGCCCACACGGTTCGCTGAGGCTCTGGCTGTGAGGGCTCGCTTGTTCTTCGCCCGCCTGAGCTTTGGGCTGCCAACTTATGTCCCCCCGGTTTTCTGCGAACCAAGAGGAAACTCACCTAAAAAACCGCCCAACATTTGGCTGTGGGTCAAACGTAGGTACCCCAAATGGCACCCTGGTCAATGGAAACATGGACTACAACCTGTGGTCCCCTTGTGGTTTAATTTTGACCCATACCCATTTCAACAGGCGATGTTCAAACCACCCTAGCGGAACTATCGGAGGGTCTGCAAAAACTCCACCTGCCACATGTTCCGTACCCGCGTTGGCACCCTTTTGTTTCACGACCAAGTGCCCGCCATCCGAAGGAGCGGTGATCAAACCGCCTCGCTAACCACATTCCTGTGGTTTTTTGAGGTTTCAACAGGTGCCCACCGCTGCTCATGCTGCTCAGGAAAAAGCACGTAGCGTAGAGCCTGCACCAATTTGACAAAGTATGTAGTACGTTCCGTCATCTTTCCCTTGCTCCTTCCACACCATCCAGGTAAGATGCAACGCATCTGGACTCTGTACTAATGTGGTTTCTTGGCATCGTGCTGCTTGCAGAAAAGATCAGCATGAAGCGCCGTACATCTTCTTGCCCTCACCTGGCTGCTTGACAATCACCTCGCCGTCGGGACTCGACTCCAGGGTCCTAGAACTTGAACAGGTGCTCCTCGTGCAGGCCGGGGGTCCGGCCAGAGCCACCAGCAAGCCGTAGCCGGCCCATGGCTGCCCACTTGCGTGCCGGTACCGGTCTGGACACACGCAAAGGCCCGCGCAGAATCACATCATCTCGTGCTCTGCCACAAGGTGCAACTGCATCTCCAGGCATGACAACGTTCATCCCTCGTGTCAAAAGATGGGCTGCTGCGCGCGTGAAGGCATGCCCATATCCGCAAGCAAAATCAATTACTGCTTCTTCGCTGCAGTTTTTGGATCTTCAGCATCAACGATCGTGCCAAAGCCTCTCCTGCGTGTCGGACATCATTGCGTTGATCGCGGCAATGGTCTCATCGTCGGACATAACAACGGCTGCACTCGCCCTCGGAATCTCATATTGCAGATCCTGGCAGCTGCCAAACACGTTCCAATCATACGTACCCTCAAATCATAAGCACGTGCCGGAAACTGTGAAGGGAAAGCTACTTTTGAGAGAAATGCCCTACGCCTCCCTGTGGATGGGAAGGTTTGAATGTTGGCTCCTTGTCAACCAGCAGACTGTCCACCTACAAGCTCCTTGCCCATGTTTGTACCGCACTCTTCCTCCCTCCAAGATCGTTTTCATGAGCGAAACACATGGAGAGGTCTACATCGGAAATTCAGCGAACACTGCAAGACATGCTTCTGGCATGTGCACCCCTCAAGGCAGCCACGCGAAAACAGAATTGAAGCCCGGATCCTGACGGTTGTCCATCAGCTCTTCCGGTGGCCCTGCTGTGGAGGCTTCTGGAGAGGGAGACCTCGAGCAGCAATCAGGCAGCTGCCCACGGATATGTGGTTTTCGATCTCAGGTTAAGGGACACTCAGCCCCAGTCGCTCACTTTAGTGCTTTAGGGGCAGTTGTCAAAAGATTGGACCCCTCGGAGGAAACAGGCTAGTAAAAAACCTAGTAAAAAACCTGGTCTTTTAATAGCCTGTGGCCTTGTCGGACCTTGTGCCGCCTTTTGGATCCCCCTTGGTGGTGTGCCCCCTCAGCTTGACTGAGGCCCTAGCCTTAGCAGCCACTGGAAGCACGGGCATGCCATCCGCACCGCCGGCAGACAAAGCCACCAAAGCTCATTCTCGCCCCATGCCGCTTTGAGGCTTGCTGGCTCCAACCTTCACATGAAAACCCGGGAATCCTTGTAGATCAATGACTGAAAGACCTTGAGGGGATGGATTGCTCGCACATCGCAGACCAGGGCAATAGCGCGACCCATTGCGATCCATTGTAGCGCACTTGTACCAAACGGCATTGTAGGGCAACAAGACTAATTACAAGCCCAGTAAAACCTGGAAGGGGCCCTCTGGTAAGCTGAGCAAGGGGGGGGTTGGCGCTGCGGGATGATGCGTGACGGATGCCAAATGATTCAGTCAGTGCAGCACCCATGTGGCAGCGCTTGAGTGGCCGACGCCAGTTGAATCTCCTGCAAAACGATGTCAGCCTCGCTGATGTGCAGGCCAGGCTTTCTCCTGACACGCAAATTTGGCATTGAAACTTCTCTGCAAGCAAGTGCTTGCAATCGCATGCCCAACCCAAGTAGGCCAGAAGCTATAACTGAGGCTAGCTCCCTACGAACACCCACAAAGTAGTAAGTAGGCTATAACCATGATCATAACTGGGGCAACTGGGGTTAGCTCCCATACAACCATGATTATAACCTTTTTTGTGGGTGTGTCTTCTGGGGGTCCCGCCAAAATGGTCTCGCCTTTCTCTGTTTCTGTTATTTTCTTTTTCCCCAACAGCTGAAAGCTTTGGGGTCTCAGCCCAGATAGGCTCCAGGGTGGTCCGGGGCGGCCCTGACGTAAGGTTCCACGAGGGATCCACCAAGGTTCCACCAAGGTTCCACCAAGGTTCCACCAAGGTTCCACGAGCAAAAAGAGCACCGCATGCTGGAGATATCACCCGAGCTTACTTTTTGCACCTTTCAAACCCCACCCCGTTTTTCGGGGGGTTCCCCTTTTCAACATGACCCCCCCCCAAAAAAAAAACGCCGCGTCGGCGCACGCCCGGCGCCCGCCTCAGCGGCCCCAGGTTCACCAAGTTGTCCGGGCCCACCTCTGCCGCGTCGGGCTCCGCGATGGCCGGCATGGCCCCGCGATGGCCTCGGAAGGCCACGCCGCTCAACTCGGTCCTTGTGATTTGAGAGCTTAGAACAAGTTGGTAGTTTGGTAGCCCATGTGCTTTTCTTCTTCTTCTTCTTCTTTCTCTTCTTTTGTTTTTTCTGGAGTTTGTTTTAGTAGGGGAACCCTCCCCCAAAAAAGAAACGGTACAAGGGCGCTACTGGCCAGTCCAAGAACTTGGTGGTGCGATAGGTAGGGAATGAGAGAATGGTCCCCTCAAAGGCGACCGCAAGGGATGGTTTATATGGGTCATTCCCTCAAGAACTCAAGAGTATCATCCAACAAAAGAGCCCACCAGGCAAGGTGTGTATTCTTGCCCACCAGTTCAAGTTGTTTGGGGGGCAAAGCAGCCCAAGGTAGGGAATGAGGGAACGAGCCCAGGGCTCCTCTTGGATGCTGTATATGGGTCATTCCCTCATTCCCTGCTGAGCACCAGCAAGAGAATCCAGGAAGCCTCCATTGCATCTCGGATTTTCTCTTCTCAAGCACTCCAATTGGACAAGGAATGAACAGGTGAAACTCAACATAGTGCCTGCGTTTTGAAATGTAGGGCCGCGTGGCCGGCCATTTCTAAACATGTGTTGATCGGTTTCTTGCCACCAGGTCGAAGTGGTTGCAGGTCATAGACCGCTTCCTGAGGCAAAGGCGTGGTCGCACGGGCACAAGACTCTGGCCCAGACATCCCGCCCTTGAGCCATGCGCCGAGAAACATATCCCTCCGATTCATGTGAACGACAATACTGTGGATGGACGAAATCCATTTCGCACCACTTTGAAACCACGGTTGAAACCATCGTTTGTTGAAATTTGCAGGTGGAATCACCAGTCCAGGGCTTCTTGGGTGGTGCAGCATTTCGTCCATCCACAGTATCATTGGTCCAAGAGGACTTGGGAAGATTGGGTACAGGTGGGACCGCGTGTCCTCGCCAAATGAAACATAAACTACAAAAACCAATTGTCCACCTCTCACGTTGCTGTTTCGTCCTCCACCATCTGGACAATGGCTTCTTCAGCTGCAACAACTCATATTTAATATGCTTCATCATCCTGAATGCGAGTCCCTGAATGAATGTAGGAAAAGGTACGGTGCACTATCTCGCATATCAAAAATAACCCCAGCACTATTGATAAGAAAGGCTTTTCTGGCACACGCACGCACGCACTCACCCACGCGCAAGCGCACGCGAACGCACACGCACACGCGCACACACATGCAGCATGGTGTAAGCAAGTTTCTATGCTACATATACACATCTTTTCAGGCTGTCAAAAGCAGCATCCATGGCGGAAATCATGAAACCTCATACAATGCATGCATATCATGGAAGATCCGCATACGCACCCTGGATTCCCCAACCAGTATCAGCTACTCGTCTGATGTTTTCTGTTGACATGCCAGTAGCATGTTTTATTAAACCTCTGAACGTGTCAGGTCATGGTGCAAGTTGCAGAAGGGACCTACCCCTCCCGAGCAGCGTGCAGTTGAGCTTTCTACTCGCAGGCAAAGAATCAACCAGTCTCCCGGATGTCAAGCACACCGGAAGCTACGGCGACCTTTAGCCGAACGCTGCCAAGTGTGACCAGGGATTGGCTCAGGGGAAAATGATGAAAACGACCGCCTCGGGATCACAGCTTTTCTCAGCTTGGGCCAATCCCCCAGTGGCCCCGGAGACATTTTCTTTGAAAAGTCCGCCTTCACTTGACAGCCTTTGTCTTTGCCGCAGATCGATCCAAGGGATGCGCCTGACACGAGACTAACACTGCAGGACAAGTCCGCCCCCATGGGAAAGAAAATGACCCACTTTTGTGGGTACTTTCAGTTTAAGAGGGAACTCCCTCCAAAAGGGGGTGTTGTTTTTCTTGGGGGACCCACAAAATGGTGGGTTCCCTCAAAACGGCTTAAAAAGGGGTCCTGGAAGTCAACAACGTAAAACAAAAATGTATTTTACACCTCGCGCATGCCTTTGTACGTAGCTAAAGCCTGTCTTTTGCGCCTTGCAATGAGCCGTGGCTACTCATGCTGTTGCCACCTTTAGATTCTACAAGCCAGTTCAACCCCAAAATGCCTTGACTCAAGACAGTTTTGGTGTGAACATGGCCTGGTAGCGGTCCGTGGTCTACGCCAAAGTAGCGCGAAATAATCGTGATTTCTAGCGTGAAAGCACGTTTTCTGCCGTGAATGTTGTTGCCGGTGAATCTATATGTTTCAGCGTGTCCATTGGTATCCCCCCGTTTGTTCTCTTGGAATGGAGGTCAAGTCCTCTGCACACTTTGGGTCCTGAACAAGTGTGGCGCCCGAATTGCTCAATGATATCAGCGCTTGGAACACCATGTGCCTAGCAAAAAAAACAACGCCTTTCACAGAAACGTAAAATGAATCGCCTTTTGAACCGTGAGGGGGAGCACCCTCAAAGAAGACACACCCTTCCCCCCGGGAGAAAATGGGATCCGTCGGATCCAATTTGAAGCCTCGAAGGAGATGAAGAGCACGTGGGTGCTCCCTTCCAGCCGCGCAAAACTAATTACCTGGCGCCGGATCAACGGGGTGTGGCTCAAACATGGGGTAATCCCAAAATGGACGCCCTGGCAAATGGAAACAAGGATTAAAACGTTCCATCCTCTGGTGGTTTGATTTGGACCATACCGAAACGATGACTGCAGAGAGTGCCAACAAGGGACATTTGGGGGCCGGAAAAGGGGTTGATCGTGTCTGATCATACAACCAGAATGAATGAGAAATTGTGACAGGCAAAATGGGAGGCCTTCCGCTTCCCAGTCTCAACATTAAAAATCGCCTTCATGGCTCGCTTCAGGAAGAGCTGCTCGCACACACCACACACTAGCATGCGTAGGTGCCACAAGGGCACCTAGCTATGTTGACCCCGGATTAATAAACCCCGAGTATGAATATGGGGGTGTTCCCCTCCAAGAGTGATAAATCCCCACTAAAACCGGGGACACCCCATATTAATAAACCGGGGTTTATTAATCCGGGGTCAACATAGGTTGGTACCTAGATGCACTCGACTCGACGGCGGCCTGATAGGGCTGAAGTCGTCTCGACTCGCCCTTCGACAATGGCTCTCCGTCCTCAGCGGGCAGCTTCTGGTTTGCAGACGGATGTGGCAGGCCATCATGAATTTCTTGGCTGGAATTAGGACCCCAGCAAAAATAGGTTCTTCTTTTTGCCTGGGTAGTGGAAAACAAAGGGAGCCCAAAAAAAGCCAAAAAAAGAGGAACTAATTCTGGGGAAGGAATCACGTGGGTGTTTGTGTGTTCAGCTTTCATGGGAAACCAGTTCACGTTGCTAGTCGATTGGTGTTCATGCGAGGTTCTGCTCTGGCAAGTCAGAGACAAACTCGATCAAGTGCCATTCACTCCGGAGCCCCGAGTTGGTGCTGGAGCCCCTCATCTGTGAAATTTGCTGAGCAGGCAACCCTTGGCACAGGAACATTTATGATGATTTTTGTTCTCCGGCAAACTTCGCGGTTGTTGTGCAAGTTGACCAGGAAGGAAGAGCAGTGCCAACGAAACAAACACTAAGAGGCATATGGCGCTGAAAGTGTAAGCAGCACTCAATGGAACCTGCATTGCAACATATGTTCTGCTGCTGCCAAGCTCGAATTCATAGATATCCCGCCACGTTTATGGGGCTTACAGCCTACGTGAAGATGTGACAAAACAGGGTCTGTGTAACTGGCTTTCACAGACGCACCTATTGCGGATGTGTGGATGTGTGCATGTGTTGGTTCTGTCCCTGCGTCCCGGAACACAGGGAGTGATGCGCCCTTGCCTAACAGAAAGGGTGAGCTGGAAGTAAAGGCCCCGGCGCATTCAAGAAAAACGACTTGTCGAGGCTGATGGTGCTGTGAGGTGGCATGCTTGGTCAGGCCCGTTGAGTAACACATACATCCGGCCGTGACCAGCATGCCCATAAATCTAAACAAGCAGCCACGAAACACCGTTCCAAAAGGCCTCATGAGTGGCGAATTACTTCAGACTGACCTAACATGGAAGCTCCCCAATTCGCGTCTGTAAATGGAACCAAGTCTTCCATTTCGGGGTCTTTTCGGGAGCGTCGATGGACTCGTCTGGAGGGCACCCGCATCGCGTCGAGGCCCCCGGCCACGTAGACGGGGTTGGTGCTGATGTTGGTGGCCAGCAAAGCGCCGCGCTGCACCTCCGGTCAGGCGGTGTTGGACCCCCAATTTGGGTGGGTTTCCTTGTGGTGGACCTTATAAAACCACCAAACAAGGGTACCCTCAAAAAAAAGGACAGACCCATATGGCCATGGGTCAAAACCCCGTACCCCCAGTGAACATCCCAATCCCCACTAAAATAGAGTATGGGAATCCTTTCCTTTGAGCCCTCAGTCGTATCTAAACATCCATAATCAGCTGCCGGGCCTGTCCCACGTTGGGACCAACTTGAGATTCACAGCACAAGCCACAAATGGGCGTGAGTCAAAAAAGGCTACCCCAGAATGGAACCCTGGTAAAGGGAAACAAGGACTCAAAACCTGTGGCTTTTCTGGTGGTTTCCTGTCTTGACCCACACTCAAGCAAGGGTTCCAAGCATCCAGTCGTAACACTCACATGCACAAATCGGCCATCGGACAGCACCGAGCTCAGCTTTTGCTGGTCAATGACTTGCCACCCCGGGCGTGGGGTGTCAATTTGTTAAATGGGGGATTGATCAAAAGGTCCGATAAACATGGTCACGGCGACGTTAGCCACGCGGGCCGCCGTTGCAATTTTCATTCACGGGTTCCCTTTTATTTCGTAGGGGCACCCATTTAAACAGACAAGAGGAATATACAGTTTCACCCCCAAAAGAGAAACCTCCGGTTGCAGGGGACGCGCCAAACCAAGGGGAAAAAAAAGAGCTTTTGGACATGGTGCTGTGCGGGTGCACTTGAGCAGGTGTGCTTATCATTTGGCTGGCGTGTGCGCAGTGCTGTGCGAGTGCACTTGAGCGGGTGTGCTTATCATTTGGCTGGCGTGTGTGCAGTGCTGTGCGGGTGCACTTGAGCGGGGGTGCTTATCATTTGGCTGGCGTGTGTGTGTGCAGCGCTGTGCACATGAGCGGGTGTGCTTATCATTTGGCTGGCGTGTGTGCAGTGTTGTGCGGGCGCACTTGAGCGGGTGTGCTTATCATTTGGCTGGCGTGTGTGCAGTGCTGTGCGGGTGCACTTGAGCGGGTGTGCTTATCATTTGGCTGGCGTGTGTGCAGTGCTGCGCGGGTGCACTTGAGCGGGTGTGCTTATCATTTGGCTGGCGTGTGCGCAGTGCTGTGCGTGTGTGCAGTGCTGTGCGGGTGCACTTGAGCGGGGGTGCTTATCATTTGGCTGGCGTGTGTGTGCGCAGTGCGTGCAAGCTGGCGTGTGTGCTACTTGAGCGTGCTCATTGGCGGCGTGTGTGCAGTGCTGGTGCAAATCGGCTGGCAGTGCCTGCCACTGTGCGGTAAATATTGAAATCGTAGTGCAAGCGTGCTACGAGCGCTCTTGCGCGGGTGGCGGTAAACGCGACCTGCCACTGGCGGTACGCAAGCGTGCTACGGCTCTTGCGCGCGTGTGGCGGTAAACGCGACCTGCACACTGGCGGTATATATGAATCGAAGTCAAGCGTGACTACGTCAGCGCGACGTTTGTGCTTGCTGATACATGAAAAAACGAAGGATCCTCCCGCGTGTCTAACGTCGCCTTGAGCATAAACATGGGGTGACCATTCGGGAAACCACCAAACAAATAAATTGATTTTTATCACATGGGACAAATGTCCCATGGTCATTTTGGGGCCAGGAATATTGATCAAACCCCAAACACAAGTAACACCAGGCTCTTCAAAATCGACTTTTTAATGGCACGGCATTCCTCGACGGTGCTGCGTCCCAGTCATGTTTGACACTCAAATGTCAACGAGGCACTACAGTCGCGACTCTTTTGCAAAGTGGGCTGAGTCTTGCCCAACGTACTCAACCAAAAGTGATGTTCAAACCGCCCAACAGGGAATTGCTATATAGTACATGTTATTGCTCACCTGGCCATGGGTCAAAAGCCCGAACCCCCCGTGAACATCCCAATCCCCACTAAAATAGAGTAACATGGGTGGTGAATTCACCTACCTCAAAATGGGATTGGTGTTGACCCACAGCCACCTATACGCATCCATCTGCAATTACAGGGACCCCCCGGTGAGCCGCCCTGCCCCCGATTCTGTATGCAAAGCATTGCCTCCATCTGCACGTGGGCCCTCGAGATGAAGCTCATGCACATAGGAGCCTCAACCAAAACTCGCTGCGATAGCTAGGGATGGTGGGAATGAACCGATGGGGATTCCCTGCTGAGAACCAGCAAGAAAAAGCGGAAATCACTCCCTTTTTGGGGCGTTCAAAGAAAAAAAGCCAAGGGACGCCACCATTTTGGGGGGGGTTAAGTTCAAGACCAACCCGACAGAGATGTGTGACCACTGGCGGGTTTTGCCGATGTGTGTTGGCACTTAGTTTGTGCGTCGCCAAAAGGCGACGCAAAAGTCCAGAACGGCATGAAGAACTTGTCAGAGTATACCCCATATCGTTGAACAAACATCCCCACACCTTTTTTGTGCTGACTTTTGTGTTTTTTTTTGGGGGGGGGAAGATTTGCCCTCCTTGGGCATTTGCTGGTATTTGATTGGGATTGTGATGCCACGATTGTGGGGTCGTATGGAGATCTAGGACCAAAGATGGGGGTTGGTCGCTGCATACTGACGCTGTACTGACAAAGCATGCGGACTTGCCAAAGTGGTCAACATGATTCAGAGACGGAATGCATCATTCAAATGGCCGCAAATTCCATCAGAAATCTGAACTCAGCTCTTGCCTTATGTCTAGCAATTCAGCTTTCATGGCCTATGGGGGCGAGGGATCATGCATTGCTGTTCAAGTCCTCAGAACGCTTGAACCGCTCAGACCGGTTGCCGAACATGGGCGGGTGTCGGGAACTCAACAGGCACCAACAGCCCGGCCATGTGCGACCAAATGCCGATCCATACGAAGAACACCGCTTTGATAGGCAAGCAAATTCTGCGAAAACACGGCTCTTGCATGCCGTGCTTTTTCCTGTGGCCCCCGATTGTGCTGACGCCCATAGCAGATAGACCTCAACCCACGTCCGTCTGACTGCAAAAACAACCGACAATCCCTCTGTAACTCTTCGTATTTCTGATACCGACATACTGTGGATTGACGAAATCCTGCACCACTTTGAAACCATGGGAACCCACTTTCTGTTGGTATTTACAGGCGAATCAGCATTCTATGGTTTCTCAGGTCATGCGAATTGGAGGCTGGCAAATCCCTCGGCTCCTTGCGGGCCTCCTTTGAATGTGCACCGCACGCCCGCTTCACAAGTCTCCGCTAGGCAAACCACATCGGCAGCTTCAGAAAGCATGCGCAGGAACCGAAATGAGTAAACTTAATTGTGGACCCTTGGAAAAACACCACAAACTCCCATATAAACTTACTTCTCATAATTCCCATGGGGATGTATATATGTGCGCCCACCTTTTCGGAGTGCCGAAACGGAGACAAAACATCGCGAAATGAACACAGCCCCAACCACCCCCCCGTTTCGAGCGCCTTGGAAAGGAGTGCCTCGAACTCCTTGGACTGGTGCTGCCGGCCTGGCCCATGGCCAGGAAAGGGAAAGCCTTCATGCGGCCGTGGCCTAAAAGGAAAGCCCGCTGTCTGATGTATATATATATATACATGTAGGAAAGTATGTATATAGATATATGTATTGATATGTTTATCAATATATTATGTATACACACACATGCAAGCATACTCTAAAAGGAACAAGTGGACTGAAGTCAAAGTTGACTGACACTCGGGTCAAATGAGCCTCGGCAAGCATGTCGATTGGTCTTTGAACTTGGTCACCGTGTCAAGCAGAACTACTCCTGTGGCGTTGGGTCGCCTTGCACGGCCCGCCCTCAAGCGGAAGCCAGAAACTGCCTCCATATTTTACCTACAGGGTTTTGCCGTGTTTTTGCCCCCCCCCCCACCCACCCTCCCCCAAAACCCCCCGACGCCACAATGACAACACAGCAAATGACACATATGCTCACAGCTGGAACTCTCAACGGGTCTTCACCCGCACAATATTATATATATATACATATTATCTCGCTTTTAGGGGACCGTGGCTTTCTGGTCGTTTCCCTTTGACCCCAAAACAAGAGCTACCCTTAAACAAATACGCAGGCAACGTGCGGTTCAGGTATTTGCGAGAGGGATCGATCCGGCTCTGCGAGAAAAAAACATCTTCTGCGCCTATGACCAGCGGCTCATCGTCCACGATGAACTCTCTCACCTCGATTCAGGGACGTACGGCATCCCCAGATCTGCGGTGCCAAACCACGTGCAGCACCCGCTGCAAAGAACACGGAAGCGAAGCCCTCGCTGCCTGAGGTCCCCTCATTCAACCATCCCGGGCGCGTTGCCTATGCGCCATCAAGGCTACTGTACCGCAAATCAATGCACCATGGATCTACGCCCTGCCGTACTGAGTCCAAACACAGGACAATGTGTCTTGATTCAGATGTTCATACCTTGGAGCTGGCAGTCTACGTTACCAGCTCCACATGGCTATGGCACTTAATTGAGGACCGAAACTGGTGGACAACAATTGAAATTTTAAACACTGTCAAGAGGTGTCCTATTGAAAACTACTTGACAAACTCTTTGCCAGTGGTTCCACTCGCTTTGCAAGATTTTGCAAGCGCGTGCACCTTGATATCTTGATGTGCTTCCAGGCCGAAAGCATTCCAGGAAGGGCATTGGGTCATATGAATGCCCTGCAGAGGAAGGCACAACTCTTGCTAAACATACAACAACCTGTTTTCGGGATGGCTCACATGGCTCAAATGGTGCAATCCTTACAGCAAGTAAGCATGTTCGAAACGGCCGAATCGCACCCTTGTCAAATCACCAGCCTGGAACGAGGATGAAGGAGTACCAACGTTGCCAATTAAGAATTTGTCAAAATCAGTGTCCCTCGATTCTTTGGGGGTTAAAACATCCGGTCATGCTCGCAGTGCAAGCCAGTCTCAGTCTACGCAAATCTGCGTGAAATGCCAAGTGGATAGTAGCATCAGCAGCAAGGGTAGCTAGCCTAGTAAAAACTCCCAGCATGCCTACGCGGCTCCTGTACAGAGCAAGAGTGAGGGTGGGACTCAGGTTTATGTCGACAACGGAACAAGAGTGGGGGTGGGGTGGCATCAGCATCATCTCGCCAGCACATGCATCTTCCTGCCGTTGTCAAACTTAAGCCTGGTCTCGGAACCAAATCAAATAAACGCCCAAAAAAAAGCAACACTAAAAAAACAATATCACACCAAATGAATCATCGCCAAATTCTCCAAAGTTTTTAGCCGCCTCTTCGGCCTCTTTCCATGGCCCCGAGTTTCTGATTCCGAGGCGCCGCGGCGGGCAGCGTCGGAAGCTCCTCCCCGAGGCCTTCCACGAAGGAGCAGCGCAGCGCCCAGAGGGCGCTGGCCACCGGAGCGCTGTCCTTGGCGCAAAAAATCAAACCGCCGACGTTTTTTTTTTTTTTTCAGGTCAAAAAGTTCGGGAGGGAGCCCCAAAATGGGAAATGGGGGGGCAACATGGGGGGGGACGTCAAACATGGGAGGGACCCCACAATGGGAAATGGGATATCGGGGGGGGAAGGGGCAACATGAGGAGGGGGGTTGCTACCAAAATGGTGTTTGTAACTCCTTTTGGCCTCCAGTAAAATCAAGGTGAACGGGTAGCCTCAAACTCTCAGAGTCCAGGGAAGGAGTCCAAAGCCTCGGTGGAGTCCCACGATTCCCTTTAACGATGCAAACAATCGCGTGTTCCCACTACGGGCTTGTCGTTTTGAGACCTGACCCTTTGCAAATAGAAAGAAACTTTTGCATGCGCAACCTTCAGAAGCTCGAAGAAATCGGACCACTACTAAAGGCTGCCAGGTGGGTATGTCTTGCTTTTGAGGGTCTCTCTTTTTGGATTGGTTGAAAGGGACACCAAAAGCAAACCCGAAACCATTGGGGTCCCCTAAAAGAAGACACACCCAAGAAAACCGGGTGGGCGTAATGTCTCTCTTTGAGTGTACCTCGAGGAAACCCGAAACCATGGGGGCAAAACAAAACAGACCCAAGTCAAGAACGCCTTCCCCACTGTAGCGCTCCTCCCACCCGGTCCACTCCAAACCGAACCGACCCCACGTCGGCCCGACGAAGCGAACCGAACCGCGCGTCGGCGCGTCGCGCCTCGGCAAAGTCCAGCACCGCGGTGGGGGCCACCGCGGCGGCGTTGGTCTGGGCCGTGGGGAGGGCCAAGGTGAAGCGCAGCACCAGGAAGAGGTCGATCCTTGGTGCTTTGGGTCTCGACCGGAGAGTGGGGAGATCCTTGGACATCCGGCGACTCTTTTTGATCAGCATCCATACGGTTGTTGGGCTGTTGGGCTGTTGGGCTGTTGGGTTAGGCTTGGTAGTTTGGGTCTCGACCGGAGAGTGGGGAGTGCCGGGACCCGTACCTGCCTGCCATACCACCGAAAGGCCTTAAACCCACTGGCGGACGGTCGATCCTTAGACTCCGGTGACTCTTTTTGGTCGGCAGCATCCATACGTTTGAGCACCAGTTGTCCGAATTCCAGCACCGAAACCAAAAGCCAAGCTGACGTTTGGCTCTATGAAAAAGATAACACGTCTAAGAAAACTTAAACTACATTGCTCCAGCATAGGGAGCCTCCTTGCGCTGCTAGCAGCCTAGTTGGGCCAACTTTGCCCAAGCATCTCTGGTGGCCCTTTGTTTGAGAACGACTGAACAGGTTGCTCAATGGAAGGCAAGTTCCACAACAAAGCAATTTGAAATTGCCGGTTTCGCTGGAAAGCTCACATGAAACAAGCCAGGTTGGTCCATTTGTTCATTGGCTGTGTCGTTCCTTGCATTTGGCTACGTTACCAAGGGCAGCCAAATCAGCTGTGGTCTTCAATCACCATCAGTATTCGCACGAAGGGTGTTTGCAGATGATGTGTGTTTGTCACCTACTTTAGAGTAACCCGGCACAACCTTGAGCATGGGTATGACCACTACATACACTCTCTACAGGCTACCCAGCTGGCAACCCTTGCTCAGTCAGAATAAAGAAACGTCATTTTATCACTGTCATCACAAGTATGCAACTGATAATTGTCCACAAGTGGCACTGGCTTCCGGGAAACAGCCGGTTGTTCGTCACGGACCCTAAGGGGCTATGGGAAGGGGGGCTGTCCCTTATACACCCCTCAATACGGCCGTAATAAAAACGGGCTTATCCTTTGCTTGTCCTTGGCTTATCCAGAGATTCCCCCCCCTCCCCCCATTAGCCCCCCGCTAAGGGGTCCACGAGTTAGACATCTCATGAAGGTAGCCTGAGCTGAGCCCGCCGCTCTCCACTCTGCGAGTACGGGAAGCCGACCTGTCCCAACAGACCGCGGGACTGCTTGCTTCCATATGTACAAATATAATCATACATATATATATATATATGTCTTTTCGAGGGTACCTTTCATTTGGTGGTTTTAATTACAGGGAAACCAACAGGAAAACACACTATATTTTGGCGGTCCTCTAAAAAACACCCATATCATATAACATCATGTAACACAATACTACAGGTGGATCATTGCTCCTGACCCTGCGGCATGGGAAACACGGGACATGGCTTCATCCGAGGTCGGCTGAGATTGGTAGAAATACCCCGTGAATGGACAGCTTGTCAGAGCAGCTTAACCCAGCAACAAAGAAACAAGCAAACAACAAACTCAACTGAACCAGCAATTGATCATTCGAGAATGCGCTTCTGTCGAATCTGCAAACTCAACACAAGGAAGACATGGATAGAGAAACAACATGCCCTGTGCCAGCCGCGATGATGGCAGAGCACAGTTGTTGACCCGGATGACCCAGCGCAGACCTTTGGCAAGACTTGCAATGTGGCTGCCTGGGGTTCCTCTACCCAAGGCTCAGCGCCCTTAGAATTTGGCTACAGTATGAGGAACATGTGGTTTGAAGGGATTTGCACATCTTGCGCAGATCCTTCGTGGCAGAAGAATCCGCAAATCCTCCCTGCCCACTGAAATCACTGTGCCGGCCTCCGCGCCAACGCTCAGGGGCATGGGCTTGTCTCGGGTGAGAATGCGGCCATTCAGCGCCACCGGGTTGTTGCCTACACAAACCGCGGCTTCTGGGTGGATGGAGTCAAGGTGGTATTCCTCTTAATGTCCATTTGAAACCACCAAAAAAGTTGGTACTCTCCAAAGAAAGACACACCCACATTATTAAAAGATTGGTCCGGGAGGCATTGGATGTGGTGCTGTCCCCCAAAAAAGAAGGAGACGCGATAGAATTGTCAGAGCAACTGGCCAAACTTCAATCCGATCTCTGAAGGCACCGTCCGAGGCGAAAGACCTCATATCGTCCGTATATGATGTACAAGGGCTTTACGATCGCACCATGCCCATATGCAAACCTAGTTATGCGCATCTTCTGCTGAACCACTGTCAAGTGACAACCTAGATGGGCAAAGTGGCACATTCTCCTTTCCTGACTTGCAGTGGATGAGTGTGAGTCAGTGTGCGTCTATGTGCGCACGACCGCTCGTGCGCAAGCGCACAGGCGTAAATGCCTATGCACGCCGGTGCGCGTGCATGAACGCGTGCACGTGTGTGCCCGCGCGTGTGCTTGGGACATGACGCGAAATCAAAAGGTTCAAGGCATTCGAGACACTGTAGAAACTGTTCGCCACGACATATCCTCCTTCAGTCACCACAACAACATCTTGATGAAGTATGAGTGGGCTCTTAGCAAGCAGCGACTGGTCTGGAGACGAGGCTTTAGAAGGTTCAGCTTGCCTGGCACCGCGCAATTCTCGACTTGGCTCTTGCATCGCGCTTTCTGAGCCGGACATGCAATTAGCCCTGAGGGTCAAGGAACCTCTTGGAAACTGCGCTCGCTCCGAAATTGCAGGGAAAGTTCACGAGCCTGCAACTTCATTGTTTCACCAAGAAGGCCGAGTCAAGCCCATTCCATCGGAGGTCACTCACAACCCCTCAAGCAGTGTGTGTGTGTGTGTGTGTGTGTGTGTGTGTGTGTGTGTGTGTGTGTGTGTGTGTGTGTGTGTGTGTGTGTGTGTGTGTGTGTGTGTGTGCGTGTGTGTGTGTGTGTGTGTGTGTGTGCGCTCATGGCATTCGAAACTCGGATCAAACCAAAGGGCTCAGTTGGAAAGATAAGCCCGCAGACAGCTCTCTCTAAGCCCAGGCCTGTCGCCATGATCTGGGCATCTTGGCAGCTCCAGCTCACCTGCCACATGTTCCGAATGGGTTGGTATCACAAAGCCCCCCCCCCCAATACTCCTATTATGTGGCATTATGTGGCATTCCTCGTTAAACAAACCTGAAAAACACTTCCCTGGATTCATGGTCCCAATGTCCAGGCTCCTCGTTCCCATCAACCACTTGGGGCTTGTTGGTGCGGCTCTGGCTCAACCGGCCAACAGATATTCAGATTCAACCACTCGTGGATGAAGCAACACGTTAGCCGTTGGCCTCACTGCAAAGCAACTTGCTTCGCAGGGCTGGCCTAAATCAACCGACACTTCAACTCCTACGCATTCAAAGGCCATGCGGTGGAAAAAGCGGAATGCGCCTGTCTACCAACTCTCTAGTAAGCACCAGCAGCCAATTGTTGATCTCAGCATCTCAGCCCTGTTTAATTGTTGGGCACATCATGAGGCCACGCGCTGAAAACAACTGTTTCAATCAACGGTTGCCATCTCTCCTGTCTCTCCTCACCTGCGACTTTTGCATTTCAGCCACTCAGTTCGGGAATTAAAGTCGTCAAGGAACAAAAGGCTTACACACCCTCAAAAAGGCGCCATCAATCTGGAGTGCGAGCATTCCATCAAGCAGCCTGACAGGGCTTTCCTGCGCCTTTAAAGGGCAGCGAATTTGTCATTATATCAGGACAGTCCCACCACCTGGTGCCGAACCCCGGTTTCAACTGGAAACGGGTTGGAACATTTCCCAGGTCACCCCTCGCCGCCCGAAAACGCCGCCCACCTACCCCGCCTCAAAGGCGCAGCGAGAAATGCAGCTCCGCAGCTCGTTGCTGGGCAGCCAGGACTCGAAGAGGTCTGGCTGGTGTTGGCGCCCAACGGGCCTCGGAGAGTCCAAGGATGGGGGTCTCGATGGTATGTGTTCTTTTCTTTCTTTTTTTTTTGGGGGGGGGGAGGGGATGCATTGCTTTTTCTTGAGGGGAAATCCGTGTTTGTTTGTCTTTTTTTTTGGGGGGGGGGGATGCCTTTTGTTTTGGGGGGTTGTCAGGGAGCGGGGGGAGAGGGAGGGGGATGATGGAGCTTCACTTTGGGAAGTCTCCAACAGGCAACTGAGATGACCTGTGACACCGGAACGTATTGAGTATTGATTCTAGAGATTATACCCCGAACAAGCAGAGAAGCCCTTAAGTGGCTTCCTTCGAACATTGTTCAGGCCTTCAGTGGAGTCCAGCAGCTGCAGTCTTCGGCCAAAAGCCAGGAGCCACAAGTGCCAATGTTCGTGCAGTCGAGAACACACGAGGCCACAGTTGGCTGTGGATCAAAACAGTTTTGGTTGATCCCATTTTGGAGGGGTTGTCGGTGAATTCACCACCCATTTTAGGCTTCCTATTTTAGTGGGGATTGGGATGTTCACTGACGGGCTTTTGACCCATGGCCAGTTGACCCAGGGGGTGTTTTCAGCTCTTGCTGCTCTTGTCGTCTTGAAAGGTATCCAGCAAGTGCCCAAGGAGATGTGGGCAAAAGGCGGCGTGGAATGGGTTCTCGCAACATCGGCGTGAACGGACGCCTGCAACCAACAACGGATTTCCCTCCCTCATTCCCTGATGTCTGTACATCCACATTGCAGGTCCTGTCCTCAGAAAGAAATCAATAAAAGAGATTGGTCAAAAGGGAATCACATGCTGCAAATGCGTCTCATGTCTGCACATCCGGTGCAATTGAATCAGAGAGCCTCTGGTCCAACCTCTCCGTCTGTCCAAAATGTGAGAATGGTTGTCTGGAGTCAAAGCTGCAAGCGACCGTCAAACAGCTGCAACACAATTGCGCAGGCATGTTTACCAATTTGACCACCTTTCCATAAATGGAAAGACGTTTCAGCGCTGGCGTCCCTACAAGCCATGCCGATAGCAATTCTTGGCCCCCGTCGCAGTAAGGCGGCCAGCAACCTGAGGGCTAAGCCGCGTCGCACCGAGGGTCTTGTTTTCTTGCGGTTGGCAGACACGACTCTTTGGAGATTTCACTTGACAAGCCATTCCCCCTTGCCCTTGCTGTAGGACTTGTGACGATCTGCGGCTGGTGACGTTGAACCTAAACTTCCCTGTCCTGCTAAGTGAAGAAAAGGACCCCAGGCCCCCAGTCATGTGTTTTGCTAAAGGCATGCAGAAAATGATTGATGGCCATGGTTGAAAGTGGCATGGGTTGCATCGCCCGGAGAACATGCAGTCCCCTGCTCTGGCCAACAAAATCCCCACACAACGGGCGAGTCGAAGGTTAACCGCTGAACTTGGTTTGATGATATGAAGCTACGTTTGAGTCCAGCGGCCTTTTACAAGCTCAAGGACAAAGGGGAAAGGACTTTACGTGCCAATGCGCTGGGAGTCATATCCGGAACCCGTTCGGAATGGCCCATGCTTTGCCTTATCTTACTGTTGCAAACAAAGAAACGCAAGCCAGCCTTAACAATTGGCAACTCTCAAGTCAGGAATCCTAAGAGCAACTATTCTCATTGAAACAAAGAAGTCTACAAGGAACATCTCCCACAATCAAAACCCCGTACCCCAGTGAAAATCCCAATCCCCACAAAAATAGACTAAAACGGGTGGTGCACCTACCCCAAAATGGTACCATTGGTGTTAACCGCCGGCCACATCTCCGAACTGGAGAATTGGCGGGCGTTGCCTCGCCTCCCCAAGCGTCGGGAAGAGGTGCAGCGAGCGTCGGTGGGCCGGCATGCGATCCACCTGGCCCATGGATCGAAGTGAAAAGATGCGAGCCATGGGGCATACCCTCCCCCAGACTAACATGGAAGCTCCAGGACCCCTTTGGAAGACTTGGTTTTATTTACAGAGCCCTTCTGCGAGCCTCCATGTTAGTCTCAGCGAGTGTAACCTATGGCTCCATTTTGGGGCGGACGAACATCCATTTGCCACTTATTTTGATGTTCACTAGGGGTGCAGGGTTTTGACCCACTGTTGGCGAGACGGCGTGGCGCTTGCGAATTCATAAAAGCCGGTGGAGAGAAACATGACGGGCATTCAAACCAAAGGAAGCGTTCAGGAATGTTGCCAAAGACTGCCTTCACATACAGCATACTCTGAAGCAAAGCCGAGACCAGCCACACTGGATCTGCTTCTAGCAATGTGCAAATATCAACCAGCCTGCGTCTCTAAGGGCCAACTTGCATACCAGAATGGACAGCAACAAAATCAGTGGCTATGCATGGGTTATACAGGGTACATACCCCAAAACAACATCCCTATATAAGGCCTATAGGTGCGGTATGTCCATTTGGGGCACGTAGGTTGCCCTCGGAGTGTCATCAGCACCGTTGATGTTGTTGCCTCTTTAATGTTGACCCCATATTTGGTTCAACCCCTGCTGATTAATATGGGGGGGTGTCCAACTGGTTACCAGTGGGGAATCAACCACTTCTGGAGGGGAACACCCCCATATGAAAAAATGCAGGGGCTCATTAAAACGGGCTCAACGGGCTCACTTGTTGCCCCCTGAACTTAGAGGCCCTCAAAGGCTCTTCCAAGTCTGGTGGCCAGAGCGCAACCCACCAGCCCCAACTCACTAACCAAACCCCATCAAAACCCAGCAAAAGGACCACCTCCCCCCCCCCAACAAAAAAACTAGCAAAACCGCCTAATCCATCAAATCAGCTCATCAACCCCACCTCCACACCATCTGCCGACACCAGCTCCAGCATGTAGGGGGTGGAGTGGATGCCGCTGCTGCCCGTGTCCGAGTTTTCGGGGATCGGTGCAAAGGAGGCATAGCCGCCTGGAGATCCTGGGCGGGTTGTCGGGTGTGCTTCTCAAAGGGATTGATCTCTCAGAATGGGTGGCTTCCTTTTGGTACCCTCTTTCCAATCATCATGAAACAAATTCTCCGGTCAGCTTCCATGATTGTTGGGGGGGAGGGTATCCCTTTGAATTCCAACCGCGCATGGTTCAACACGATGAGAAGCTGCCATGTGAGTTTTACGATGCGGAAGGGATGTTAGGGAAACAAGCGAGCCTCTCAAGCCAATCTGTTGGCCCAACGAGGTCAGCAGGTCACCCGCAAATCAGCTCAGGGCTGAATATGCTTAATCATTTTTGAAGGACGGGATGCCAATAGAACTCCAGCTCGTTTCGCGCGAACAATTAAACCCTTCAAAACGCCCTTGCTATGAACCATCGCTGGAGAAGCAAACCTGTTCTGGAAGCTATTCAAACGCAATGCCACAAGCGGGCCCGATGCAACTGAACAATTGGAATTTCTGAGACTCGAGCCGACGCTTGAGGGTCCCATGGGCGACATCGTGGGCGTAGGGTACTTCTCCGTGAGAGCACGAAGCGTTCGCACCACCTGGCTCAAAGCAAAGCTCTCAAACTACCCCTTTGGTTGTTGTCAAATTTCTGAGGTAATGTCCCTTTTTGTAGGGTATGTTGAGGGTCCAGGCTCTACTCTCCCCCCCAAAAAAACAAAACGAAAAACTGACGGATCGCACCCCCTCTCGCAGAGCATGGTCCAAGGCAGTCTCCCACATTCCTTGGGGTTTGTCGGCAAAAATGAGCACATGATCTGCTGAAGGTGGTTGAAGCAGGTTGCTTTGGACGACTTTCGACTCTGGGCTGCCCTCAGATCCCCCGCTAAAGGTAAAACTTTTAGTGGGTTAAATGGAAACTACCACCAAACCGAACAGGCTACAGTGCAAGTGGTCGAAGGGCTTGCTATGCAGCTGCTACCTTGCATCACACCCAATGGTCGTGCAAGAATGTGGAAATCCTCCCCCCTCCCCGCCCCCCGGGCAATAGTGTACATACATTCGTCTGCAAAGCAGATACACGTGTCTTAATTGCGCAATTCGCTCCTTGAGCAGGGGCATTAACAATGTTTCCACTGTTTCCCACGGTTTCCTTGAGCTTCCATGTGAGTGAGAGGACATGTATGGCTGCCTGCCCGTACGTAAAACCTATGTCCACACACACGCACAAACATACACAGAAACACACAAACACACGCAGACACAGACACAGACACAGACACAGACACAGACACAGACACAGACACAGACACAGGCACAGACACAGACACAGACACAGACACAGACACACACGGACACACACCCAGACACACGCGCACACACACACACAGACACACACAGACACACACACACACACACACAAACACACACACACACAGACCAGGCACAGAAACACACAGACCCAGACACAGAAACACACACACACAGAGAGACACAGAGAGACACAGAGAGACACAGAGAGACACAGAGAGACACAGAGAGACACAGAGAGACACAGAGAGACACAACGAGACACAGAGAGACACACAGAGAGACACACAGAGACACAGAGACACAGAGACACAGAGACACAGAGACACAAACACACAAAGACAGAGACACAACCACACACACACACGTGGAGGGTAAGCATACCCTTTGTGCCACATTGATACTTGAGGGATGGCTCGGCGCAAGTGTTCAGAATGGTGAGCAGATCATGAAGAGAGATCCCAGCTTGGCCGGAAAGCCACCCGTCGCGGGCCTTTTTTGCAGCTTCCAAGGCATGGCCAATTTCACTGAAGGAACAGAAAAGGATACGATGGATGTGTTTTCGTGTAGGGGATTGGGCCAAAGGTTCTGCAGTATTGCTTGAACACCAGAAGCTTCTCGGTGCCCAGAAACTCCAGAGCACTGCCAAATCACTGCCAAATGGCGTCCTATGAAGTGGCAAACTTTGTTTCGCGCGTGCGTTCTTCAGCTGTCCGGGCAGGACTGCAAGCTGATGCCAACGTCACCTGTTTCTTTGGGACTTTGGCGTAAGATGGAACTCGCCTGGGAGGGCCTCATGGGTCCTTCGGGGACCCCCAAAGTTGTGGTTTTCCTTTGAAACCGCCAAAATGGGGGGGGACCTCAAAAACTTGGTTGACGTTGGAAGGGGAGCAAAAACCTATTTTCTAGCAGTCAAGTGGGGATTTCCCACTAAACCACAATAAGCAAAAATGCAAAATGTTTCCCAACGACAACCATGAAGAGGACACACCCACATTTTCTGTGCGGGCCTCCACAAACTTGGGCCGCTTGCTCTCGTCGGCGGGGTTCACTGAGCGGACACCCAAAGTGGCCAGCTCCTGCGCCGTGACGGGCTCCCTCAAGCGGGGCTTGTGTGCCAATGTGGCTGTGGGTGAAAACGCTGGAAACCCCTGGTGAACGAAATAGGTGGCAAATGGATGTTCACCCCAAAAATGGCTCGCCATAGGTTACGCCCCATGGCCAATGTCTGAGTCGTTGGTCCAAGGTTGATAGCCGCACCTGCGATATGCGTTCAGGGCTAAGAGTTGTCCGTGCTTGGCCAAGTCAGTTGAGGAAGGGCCACACATAATTCAGCAAGTATTGTGCAGCCATGAAGGAGGATATGATAGGATATGGCCAAACAGCTACAAAAGCAACACTATCACGCAACTGCATCAGCTGCAGGCCAAACTCTGAGGTTCATCGAATGAAAAGCATGGAGGCAGGCAGACACACAAAACAATCAGGAGTCCAATCAGCATCGTTACCCAGAGTTGCCTGGGTCCACACTTCTAACATGATACATGTGCATGCTGCGAAACACATCCGACTCTTACGTAGTCAATATGATACAGTCCGTGGATAGATGTCCAATAAACCCTCCGGCCATGCTGGCTGGCGGCGGTCTGTCTGTCAGCACGATGCTCTTCTGCTGGGACACTGAGTAGCATCTCAAGATGGATATGCCACATTCCTGAACAATGACCTAGTGGGTCCAAAGCAAGAGAGATCTGCGATCTGTTGAAACGTCCTGACATAGCACTTCAACTGGTTGGGTTACATACGCCGGCGGATGCTCACGTTGAAGGCCCACCCAAGAAAGACTTTATGCTTCCAGGGTTAAACGAGAATTCCTGTTCATGGTTAGGAGGGATGTGCCCAAGAACGAAAGAAGTACCAAGCAAACGGCCACATCTTCGCACAGAAACCACCGGCCGAAACCAACCCCAGCCCCTCCCGGCACCGGCTGAGACGCCCTCTCCTCACCGAGGCCGGCAGGCCAGCTGGCGCTCCGATCCGCAGCCCTCACCTCGAGCAGCGGACGGTTGGATGGGCTGAGACGTGTGGATCCTTTGCGAAATGTGCGGAGTCCCACACCTGGTGAACATTCTCCTAGCATGTTGCACAATTGAATCACCACAGAGAAGCTCTCCTACAAAGTAATCACCATGACTCCTGGCAAATATGTGTAAGCCCTGCAGCTCCAGTCCAGTTTATGATGTCTTGGTCTAACACAAACATGATGCTCCCACTTCACGTGAACATTTCATGGAGCGCAGCATTTAAGGTGAGTCGTGATCAAGGCATACCCATGTAAGAAAAGGCCCATCATCATCATCATCGTCGTCGTCGTCATCATCGTCGTCATCATCATCATCATCAACAACATCAAAACATCTGCTGCTTGCTTGGGCCAGAATTGGAGGAGAGGAACAAACCCGACTGACATAGATGTGAGCAGACGTCCGAGAAATGTCGCAATAGGCCCCATTGCGATGGCAGGAAAGTTACGATTGATACTCGACAATCATATCTCAATGAAAAGCCCAATCCTCCTGCTGAACTTTCACCCAGCAAATTCTACCCGACCAAACGTGGAAGCAAAGTACCCGAATCCGCGAAAAGGCCCACCTTTCCAGACCTGAAGTGAGCGACACAAAGTTTTGGGAGTCCACCAAGCTGGAAGCACACATGACTGGAAAGGTCATCACCAAAGCAGCCTATCCATAACCAGGAGGCCCAAAGGCACCAAAAGAAAGGATCAACACAGTCGGCTCGGGTCCCCCTCAAAACTAATCAGAACTTGTCGGGTAGATGCGTTGGAAAGGGGAAGTACATGGCTGTGCCTTTTTTCAGGACCCCCCCCCAAATGGGGGTTTTCCTGTTGGTTTCCTGTTGAAACCAGCAACAAAAAAGGCAATTGTCTACACACAAAAACACACACCCACATGCAGGATGACACCTGCCGTTGCACCTCCGAATACTTCACCCTCTGAGCCCGCGGCACACCGATCCACAGCCCCGTCCAGTGCTGGCATCAGCTTTTCCTCGATGGGATAAGCGATGCCTGAGTGGGCCATGAGTGCCCTCGGCTTCATTGGTTCCAAAAAACGGCACTCGGCAACTCCTCAATTGAGTCACAATCAACACCGATCGGTATTAAAATAGCCCCAACCAATGGTAAAGAACTAACTTTGAAGGCGGCCGCACCTAGTTCTGCTTGAGACTGTCCCTTACGAACCTTCATTTACCCGGGTGTTGATTTGAAATTCGCGGCTATGATCGATTGTAACCCCCCCTTTTGGCCAGTGCCTTAGACCATTCTCTAACAACAAACCAACACTGAATCCTCAGAGTATTCTCGCGACTCTTCCCCGTTGATTGGTTGCATTGGAGCCGGTAGCCCACAACAAGCGATACATTCCGAAAACACATATTGACTTTATGGCATTGTCGATGCTGCCAGCTTTTATGATCGGCCAAAAGGTCACACATTGGAGAGCGCCCCAAACGCCTCTAAGTGTTGTTGACTCAGAAAACACGGAATGGCGATCCAACTATCACAGCCAAGCAAACAACGACTTGTCTCACAGCCTGGATTTTTGCCTCAACTGGGCAAGCAACACATGGCTGCTGACCCCAGTCTTTTCTTACTTGGGCATTAATGACTGTCAACATGGGTCCTGTGCAGCTCCAACATGCCAAACAACACCAACCGTTGTCTAGTTTTCAGGTCATTGTTTCTGAACGTAGGTGACATGCATTATGCGGAAACCATCCGGAATCCAACTTGTGGCAAAGCCTATCTGACCGAACACGCAACATGGCCAAGTTTCGAGCATCGCTAGCCACATGGTCCATGCACCAACGCCACATGGTCCATGAACCAACTCCATACCTTTTTCCACTAGCCGCATCGACTGTTGTGCAGCCCTTGCTTCCCCTCATTCTGTACATCGTGCGAGGCACGGAGGGCTCTTTACAACGGCCCGGCTGACATTGCAGGTACCGCCGGCTGCCTGCCACCAAATGTCGCATTCTCACGCTGATGTTCAATGGCTCTAGCATGCAGCAGGCGCAGGCCTCAAAAGACACACCTTCGGCATATCTCAGCGGATCACAGCCAAACGGCGCGCACCTGGCACACCTTCTCACTCGATAACCTCAAATCTCCTGGCGTGACCCACCTAAGCAGAAGGCCCAGCGCATGGATCGGTGGCAAAGCAGCATTCCCGGAGGAGGTCAACCCGAAACAACTCCAAACCAGCCACTACATGCTTGCTTTTGCACGTGTCAAACCACAGCGCCCTGCCTGCTTATTCAGCATCTTCTCCATCCCATCGAACTCGTCCGGGTTTTCATTGTAGATCTCCTTCAACGAATGTATTAACTCACAGGGGGCGAAGCTTCTCCGAAAGCAACCAAGTCGAAGAAATTCCCGTGGCAAATCCCTGGACAAATGAACACCCTGAAAACACACACACACACACAAATGCGCGACTCGGAATCTCGCCGTCGTTGCCTTCCTGCCTTCTGAATCTGCCTGGCTGCGAAACAATGTGGGTATGTCTCCTGGGGGTTCCCCTGGTTGGATGCCTCAAAATCGGCAAACCGAAAGGAAGCGGAAGCCACCCCCCTGAATCCCAAACTTTGAGGCATATCCATCAGCATGACTCCCCAACAAAACCTGATCCCCATAGTCCTTCCATGCTAGGCCACCAGAATGCTTAAGACCGAAAACACAAGTCTAATATATGTCTCAGGTATGTCAACCATGAACCCTTAGAACTCAACCTAAATGGCATCATCCTTCAGTACCCCTTCTTGGGGGTGGGTGTAAATGGAACACGACCACATTGGGACCCAACTTTGACACAGATGCATATCCGAATCAACACTCGACTCAGTCCTTGGCCTGCTTCTTCAGCCATGAGGCCATCGTCCCTGAGCCTTGGCCATACCCAAAGGGCAGCGGCCGGAGGTCCCGGGTCTGCATCTTGGGCGCCTCAAGCACTCCACGCATTCGAAGCGGAACCGAGGCTAGGCCTGCTTACTCAGCCCCACATCTGGGGCTTTACAAAAAATATGTCTGGTTCTGCTTCAGTTCATCCGTATTGACCCGAAAAGAAAAAAAACGCAAAACATGGATGACAGAAGATGAAGTGACGCCATCACCCTGGTGCAAGCAGGGTCCATTTCAATGGTCAAGTCTTTGCCCCCGTTGGCACATGCTGGGCAAGTCTGCATCAAGCGAATCCAAGAAAATCCGCTCAGCCGCCTCTCCAAAGGCTGGAGGATACTGGACCTTGCCAGCAGCCCGGTCCGCCTGGATGTTCTGATAGATCCACCTGCAAGGCCGTGGACATGGGGGGCATGGGCCAATGGGGCATCAAGGTCACAGGCAACTCACGATCTAGCTCCGCGGTTTGCAAGTTTTCCCTGAAACCACCTGCCATCCTTCACGAAGATTGGTAGACATCTGCATGGGATAGCAGGCTTTGGTACTCAAGGTCTGACACAACTTTCCATGAGCTTCGTCGCTTGCCACCATCCCCTGGTAGACCAAGGGAGGTCAGAGCTCTTGCCCAGAATCTATGCCCAGTTTGGGCCTGGAAATAAAAGGTGATCGGTTTTGGGTCCACCAACAATTGACAAAGGGGAACTAAAACCGTCATACAGTCGATTCGCTTTGGCAAGTGAGTCTATCAACAAGGAAGTGGCGGGAGATCGTCGATGCGGGAGTACACCAACTCTAAAGGACGGTGGTTTGGGATTCCTGCCTATGGCCTATGATCCTGAAAACGACAGCTGCACGCCGCACAAAGGCAGCTGAAAATATTCAAACAGTTAAAAAGGTTAAAACAAACATGTTTGCAAAAAGTTGACCTTAAAAGTCAAACCCAAAACGGCACGCAAAGTCTACTGCGCGCCTAGAGAGGGAGCCAGAACCATGGCCATAGCCACCCGCCAAGGGCACGTAGTCCATGGTCATCATCTGCCGCGCGGGATTTTAACAATGAGATGGGCCACATGCGGCTCGTCTTTTTTAGCTGCCCCCCCCCCCCCCCCGCAATTGTGTCCTTTCGGTGTTTCTTTCGGTCTCCCTTTGAAACCTACCAACAAGGGGTACGTGCAAAAGCAAAACAGACCCACATTTGACATGCTTCACACAACAGCCCATTTTGCTTGAGGAAAGCCTTGCCAAACTGCCAAAAAGGGACATATCGTTGCTGAAAACGATCTCCAAGGGTTACCTACATGAGCATGTTGCTTGGACACACTGACCCCGGTGAGTCACCACGCCGATATCGCGGCTCCCGCCTGGGGCGGCTTGCCCCAGGAGGCCGGGAACTCAGGCAGCGCGGCAGCAGGTGCCAGCAGCATCAGCAGGAAGGCCCGCATGGCGCGCAGAGTTTGATTCGCGTCGGGAACTAGACGCCTTGAGAGCACGGCTTCGGGAACTTGTCGTCGCCTTGAGGCGCAAAGCCGCAAGGGAGAGTGCAAAGTTCCAGGAATTTGGTGGGCTCCCAGCCCCTGACCCACAGCTGGCGGCCGCTTCCGAAGGAATCTCCAATAACCTTTACCCAGCTGTTGGTCTTGTCAACCTGCCATGGAACTGGCACGTACAACGCTCGCCACCAAATTATGCCCAAATCCGCGGCATTGGCATAGATCAGGATACAAGCACGCACCGCACAGTGGCATGGTTCTCACGCGCCCCACACCCCCCCCCCCCCGGCCAATTTCAACAGGGGCTAGTGCCCCATAAAACCTATTGGGGCACCTTCCTGATGTCCTAAATGAAGTTCAAAGGAAACATGTGCTTGGCCTCTGTATGTCAGTGAGTGATTCAACTGAACACAATCAGCACAATGTCGGCAAGTCGAATGGTGGACTTCCGTGGTCACGTCAATTCAAAGCCCGCCCCGATGTTGGCGGAGAAAACCACGCGCCATGCGTTCAACGGCCACGTGGCTGGCTGAGTCCCCCCGTTTTCTGGGCCGCCCGACCCCCCGGCTTCAAATGGTCCGCTGCGGCGGGGGGAATGGACGTGAGCACCTCCAGGATCACCATGCCAAAGGAGTACACCTGGCGAAACGCTTCAGACAACGCCGTTTCGCATGGAGTCAAGCATGCGACTCACTTCCCCCCTCCCATTCAGTTGAATCAGTGGTAAAATTCGATCCAAGGCAGAGTTCAAGGGATCGCCGATGTCAAGTTCAGGCAATGCAACTGATGCTGGCTTCCAGCAGGTCAGTCGCAAAGTTCGGCGAACCATGGCTGGTCCGCAAAGCCTGTGAGGATTTCGCGCATCCAAAGCTTTGTGCTCGAAAGTAAGACCCTGTGCGTTGCTTCCTATGCAAATCGGTTGCCGGCTCAAGTTCCAGCCCAAAACAAGTAGGTCGCATGTGCTGCCCAAATATCATGGCAACCGTTGCATGTATAATGGCGATGTGCCCGCATCCTGCAATGATTTGCCGGTGCCAATTTCCGAGGATCCGTCCACAATCGTCCAATAAACACTGTTACGGGAGCCCTATGCAGTTGAGGCGCTCAAAGCATCACCTCCTCGAACACAAACAATAAACCAAGGCAATGCAAAAAGCGCAACCCCAAAGTCAATACACCGCAATCCCATAGGTGTCCTTTTGGAAAAATAGATGGCCTATGGAATAAATCCCATCTAAAGTGGAACCCTTCTACTTTTGACCACACTCACCTGAAAAGGACACCTATGCCGCAATCCCCTTAGAACCAAAATTTGGGCGGGTCGCTTTTCAGCGCGGCGCGCGGAAACCGCGCGCCTCGCTGAATTCGGTCACCTGCCCGGTGCTCGCGTAGATGGGGCAGGCGTAGCCCGGAGTGCCGCTGATGGTCTTCACCTGGCCATGGGTCAAAACCCAAATCGTACCCCCAGTGAACATCCCAATCCCCACCAAAATAGACCAAAATTGGTGGTGCACCTACCCCAAAATGGGATCCCATAACGGTTTTGACCCACAGCCACCTGCCAAGCAAAAAACCCCAGAGGTGTCCTTTTAGGGGAAATAGATGGGTTTCCCTGGTAGATGATTAAACCACCAGGTAAACCGGGGCTTTTGGAACCAACCCCAAGGGTTAAGGGTCGAACCAAAGAATAAGCCAGCTGGCACTTTCGCGTGGTTGCTGGGGTCACGGTCTTGGATGCCACACAAGGAAGCCATACGTGTGTGTTGTGCTCTTTCAGGCTCGCTAAGATGTTAAGGGGTTGAAAAAGCAATACATATACATATACATATATACATATATATATATATATATTATACATGATGTTGATTTGTCTATTTGCTATAGTTTCATAAATCTGAATAAAGTCATATTGATTGCTGTTATTATCAGACTGGTTTGATCGATAACCAACATATGTTTTTGTATGTTCATAATATTGCTAATTGTGGATATTGGTGGTGCAATGATTTGAAGGCAAGTGGTGCCTGGAGTTTCTTGGGGGGGGGGGTCGCTGTAGAAAAAAGCAAACTCAAAACACACACTCACCTATTTTCACACCGTTGGTGTGAGTGATTTCTTCATATTTCTTCACCACCAGCCCATTTCTGGGCTTCCGACCAAAGGGTGTAGCCCTACAAGTTGGATGTCCCATTTGGCAGGAATCCCTCAGGTTAAGGGCAAAATTGAATCGTTCGGGTCTTGGGATGACGCAACTTCCCTTTGGTTTCCTTTGAACTTTTAACCAACCCCGAAAAGTGCACCCTGAAACAAGGGCAGGGACCAATCCTCATGTGCCTACACGACCACATCCGTGCGCCAGACCGACGCCACGCGCCTTCACCTGGCTGCCGCCCAAGCCCTGGCCCGAAGAGGTGCAGCTCAGCCCGAAGTCTGCCATCTTCGCGGTGCCGTGCCTGGCGAAGCGATACCCAGCACGCTGAAACTCGGCAACTCGGACACAGGGGTTGAAACTTTGGCTGGGATGGGCTTTGGGTACGCCAAAGAGTAGGTTCAGCTGAAAACTTGAGCATCTTGAGCCAAAGGGCGGTGCTACAACAGTCTTCTGTACCCATGGTGAATCCATGGCGCGGGATAGGATGGGATAGGGTTTCTTTCTCGGAGCGCTAGTGACAGGCTGCGCAATGTGTGGATTCCAATTTTCAGGGCCCAAGGAAAAGTCCCTCTCAAAGTATAATACTCAGATTCTGCTTCATTGTGCTTGACCCTAAAATATCAAGTAGCTTTGGAGACCCCAGAAGATGGGAAGACCATCCGGTATACGGATGGACTGATTTCCCGGCGCTGGGCCAAAGTATGGCGGGTTGGGGTCTGGAAGGCTTGGCGGGCTCAACTTGGATTCTGCTTCCAATAGTCTTGGACTAGATTTAATTTAGGTACGGCCCTGTCTGATGAACACATTGGACTCTGACATGCCTTGCCATTTCATCGTTAGTCACGCAACCGACTTTCACAAACGAATAAGCTCATAGTTGTCATAGTTTGTCAACATGCTCATGTTGAACTGGTTGAGGTGAGGGGGCGACAACTCAACCCGGTGCCAGGAAAATGTTGCTTTGGCGGAACCCGCAAACAACTCTGCGCGAATTGAACACCCGAGATTGAAGAGGGTGCCCTTGCATCAGCATGTCCACACGGCGGCGTTGTGCAACAGACTCTTTGCCCGGTCTGCCCAGTGCGCTCGTCAAAGCGTGGATGCCGGCCTGTCCAGCAAGATGTTGGCAGACTTGATGTCCTCAGCATGTCCAACAGCGGTGCTGTTGTCTGCTCTGCGTTGAAGTCGACAGGGCACTTTGGGCATCTATCGGAAGTGCGCAAGCCTAGCGTTCGCAATTAGCGCGGTGCTTGCTTCATCTTGCGCCCCCCCCCCCAAACAAGACTCAAAGCGGGAGTTGAGTTCGCGCTTAAGGCACTCAAAGGAACTCAAAAAATCCTGAAGCATCCATCTCAAAGAGGCCATGACTCGCCGGTTCTCAGCGAATGAGGGAATGACCCCAGTTAACCATCCCTCGAGGTTTCCTTTATTCGGGGATCCCTTTCCGGTTCATTCCCAACACCCGGACCCATAAAACCCTCTGGCGCCTTTGCTTCAATGCGACACATCGACACGGAGCTCTCGGCCTTGGGCCATCCCCTACCATAAGCAAAAACGGGTGGAGCACCCCCTCCATTCTATTTCGTCTTCCCAATCAAATGGGGGGAACACTCACTGGAGAAGCTCTCGGGTCGAACTCCCCGCGCCCCACACGCCCCCCGACCCCTTAGGTGGGCATCGCCGCCGACCGCCCACGGCCCACTGACGTGGCCGGAGCCCTCCAGGCGCCCCTGCCCGGTGGAAGGCCTTGGGCTTGGAGTTGTGCATATGCGACAGCCCCGCCGCAGCGTCCAGCAAGGCGCTCAGGCGCTCGTGCCTCAGAGAAAAAAAAGCCGCTAAAATAGGTTCTAAAATGGGTGCACCTACCCCAAAATGGGATCCCATTGGTTTTGACCCGCAGCCAAATGTTCCTTGCGAAGGGCTTTCTGGTGAACCTGGGAGGGATCTGAAGGATTTGGAGACCTTCAGAAGTCTCAAGCCCACCAGAGGCCTCTGCAGCCTCTGCATCTCTTGGAGATTGGGGGTGGAATATCTTCAGACTTGCCAACAGGCACACCAAAACTTGGCTCGCATTCCATGCATGCCAATCTCGGCAACTTTGGTGAGCCGTTGGTGAGCGGGAACCACTTGGCGCCAATTGCGCCCTCAAAATCTAGTATTTGCTCTGGTCTACCCGAGACCATGTAAAGAATCAAGAAAGGCGGACATCCGCACCACTTGAAGTTGAACTTATACCTGGCCTTCCCTTCCCCGCGGTTTCGGGGGCTTGGCCGGACGGGGCCAAAGAGACCTCGGACGGATCTCTCTCGGATGGATAAGCCCCAGGCCAATGGAAGGGCACGGCATTCTCACGGCGCCGGCTCTTCAGCAGCCGGTCGTAGATGTCCCCACCCGTCATCAGCTCGTAGACCAAGTAGCGCTTCCTTCGGGGAAGAAGTCCACATAGGACCCCAAAACAAATGGCGGTGGTCTTCTTGGCTCCTCAAACAAAACCCAGGTGAAAAGGGTACTCTCAAGAAGCACACATTCCAGAGCCAGCAAAGCAATCCCGAGTATACAGCTTGGTGCCCCTTTTTCTGGAGATGCAGGCCTTTGGTCCTGGGAAGGAGAAGCTTGTCTTGCCACAAGGCTTAAGCTGCGATCTGTGTTCACGAGAGGAGGAACCGGGCTTGGAACCAAGGCAGTTGCCACATGCGCTCAAGGTCCGCTCGGGGTTTCGTCCAAGCATGGTTTTAGAATGTGCTCTGTGAGAAAGTTCAGGAATCTCTACAAAGACCAAGTTAAGTCTGTTCAAGCTTTCAGCTGTTGCAAAATGACTGAAGCTGCAACTGCCCCAATCGCATCACGTGCTTATTGCTGCTAGCATTGCTTCAAACATGAACCTTCCGCCGCAAAGGCGGCAACGGCAGGAATTCCCCCCCCGCTCCACATCACTCCCGAAATCGCGGAGTCCTCTCATGCTTGCCCCAGCCGATCAAGGTCACCAGGTTGGGGTGTCGGAACCTGAGTCCCAGGGGTGGCTCTTCCAGCAGAGGAGTCATAATCAAAACCCGGTACAAAAATGGTCGTAATCCCAGAACCATGTAAAGAATTAAGAAGGCGGCCGCAACTATATATGCTGGGGATCGTCCCTTACTAACCTTCATCTACCCGGGTTTTGATTGTGACTCAGAGGTTCCCACCGAATCTGCGCGAGATCCGTTGCAGGCCGAATCCGCGCGGTCGGAGAAGTCTGGCAACGGGGGACTCAAGCGTATAGGGGCCCCGCTTGCTCAGCGTCTCCACTTCCTTGTCAAAGCCGGCCATGTCCTCGGACCTCGGAAAGACGACCAAAACCGCCCCAGCGACTCTACAAACCTCCCATGAACCCAATTATGTGGTATCAGGTTGCTGACGCGCGAGCTTGCGCTTTCCCTACGCGCCCCTTTTTTTAGCTCACACTGCGGTCTGCTTGTTGGACAAACATTCCCGGTGCTTCGACCGCTTGCACACGGAATTGGGGCCCAAAGGCCGTTGCGCGGACATGGACTGGGGCCTGAGCTGGTCGGTCTTCGCCAGAGCTCCAAGGTCGATCATCTTGACGGCCACTTCGCTGCCATCCTCCCAGCATGGCTAGCTGTCCCGCTTTCCCCTTTGGACGCATCAAACGTTCCCGGCGGATCCACATGAATACACATAGAGACACATGAGACACACAGATACAGAGACACAACCACAAAGGGATTTGTTGGTACGCAAATCGCAGGATTTCTCAGCCCATTGATATGGCCATGGGTCAGAAGCCCGTACCCCCAGCGAGCATCCCAATCCCCACCAAAATCAAGCCTAAAATGGGTGGTGAATTCACCTACCAACCAACATGGGATCCCAAAACGGTTTTGACAACCGCAGCCATATCTATCACCGGACCGGATTTCATCCCCTAGCCATTGATATCTATCACCTGACCGGATGAATCCCCAGCCTGATTTCTCCCCAGCAAATTGATGTCCCCACCCGACCGACTCCCTGCCCTGGTACACCAAAAAAAAACACACGACTTCTCCGCCCCACGGATATCTATCACCACCCGGACCCGAGACCCGACCGGACTCAAAAAAAAAAATCCCCCTCGCCTTCATCTCGCCCTTGAAGACCGCGCCATAGGACCCGGAGCCAAGCTGTCGGCCTTTGCTCCAGTTCTTCGTCGCCTCGCTGAGCTCCTGGCCGGGGGTCACCCCGGCGGAGCCCCACACCAAACGGGGGATGCTCCGTGAAAAACCCACCAAAAGACCGGGTTCCTGTGGTATCCCTTTAAAAAAAACACCAAACAAACAAAAAAAAGGGCCCCCGCAAAAAGGCATGCGGGGTTCTAGCCAATGCCGGAAGGATTCTCGGAATATTCGACCATCGACAGATCAGCTGTCAATCGATTTATCGCCTCCCCCCAAGGACACGTTGCCTCATGGCACTTTTGGGTGTACCCTTTGCAGGAATCCTTACATTATACACCTGAACATTGCCTTGTACATGGTGGTTTTTGTTGTATGTTGGTGTTGAAAAAGCAACATGTTTCAACTGGTTGCGAAATGGAGATCTTTTAAGGAGCCCTGCTTTGCTGACCACTCACATCCGACTCGATCCCGCCTCGTAGGTGTAGCGCAGCGAGATCCTGCCGCTTCAACTGAGGTCGCACGAAGGGATGACGAGTCACTGCGCACGAAGCGTAATTCACACTCCCCGAAACCGAAGAAGGTTAAAGAATGAAACATACATATATATATATATGATATTAAAAAAGAAAACATGGCTTTAGCCAGGATCTTGCATAGACCTGAGCCCCGATCCCTGCCTCTGCCTTGTGGTCAAACAGGGCACTTCAAAAAAGAAAGTATTGGCAAATCCTACTCTAGACAGTCGGCACTACAAAGGTGATTTTCCCTCAACGGTAATTCTCGTTCAGCCAACGAATTTTGGCTTGAAGATTTTCACCCCAAAATCCACGAAGCGCCAGGATCTCGTGTATTTCGTGTGGAGGCTTTGAAGAGACGCCCCCCAAAAAAAATCCGCCCATCCGCCCATCCGCCCGCCCAACCACCACCCACCACGCAGCCTCCCCAGGTCGTAGCTCTCTCGGCTCTGCGAGAGCTTCTGGCCGTAGCCGGCTGGGGGCACCACCAGCACCGGGGAGATGGGCCGCCCGAAGACCGGGGCGCGGGGCACCCCCAGCGTCGCCATGGCGCGAGGGCTTGCCGGTTCGGCCGCTGGAAGAAGCGCTGAGCCCTGGGCAAATGACGTCGGAAAAAAAAAGAAGAGATGTGCGATCGGACGTGGTTTGCCATGGGGGCCGGTTTTTGCCAATGAACAAATCGAAACCAGAATGTCTGCAGGATGAGTTGGAGAAATGTGCTGGAAGCAAAAACGCGGAATCTGACACTTCTGTCCACTGGCACCATGCAAGCCACAACAATGTCATCCTGCTTCCTCCATTCACACCCAAACACTGCACGACACATTCACATCTAAACGCTATGACGATTCACCGAATCACGGACCATGGGCGGCTTCTGCTTATTTTGCCACAGCCATGCTGCCTGCCAAACCAAAGTTGGCTGGTGAATTAAGCTGTCCGCGCACTGTACAGACCTGACTCCGACGCTGCACGCTTGTGCAGAAAACCGAGTCGAGTTGCAAAGCCACTGCCGGTGCCGTCCGGCCACTAGGTCAATGAGTTTCATGCAGCTTAAACCTCAGCTTTGCCCAAACAATATATGGCCATGGGTCAAAAGCCCGTACTCCCAGTGAACATCCCAATCCCCACTAAAATAGACCAAAATGAGCTACCCCAAAATGGTACCATTGGTTTTGACCCACAGCCATATCTGATGGCCCATGTTTAATGAAGCTTAAGATGTAAGCCAATGTCAACATGTTCAATCAGGGGGACGACCCCACCCTGGTTTCGATCCTTCCTTTAAGTGAGCAAGTGACTAGTCAAGCAATAGTTATATAAGCTCAGCCGCCCAAAGCGAATCGACCTTTCAAAAAGATCCCATGTAAAGCCCAGGCAACAGTCTTCATGGCCAGGATTGGTTGGCCCTCCAGTCGGTTCATGACACCACACGCTACGCCAAAGCGGGTAATTCCCCTTCATGGCATTCAACTGCACATCCCAGGAGCACCTCGCACTGACCTGTCTGCAGAGTTCCTGCAAGAATTATCTCAGCGGCAACGCCGTAGTCAGGGAACACCCGGACATGTCCTGCCCAACGGTCATTTTAATTGCCCTGCGGAGTCCTTGCCCCTCCCAGCCATCTGTGCCATCCGAACTCGGATGCGTCCTCAATCTTACAACCAAAGGGACGAGTTTGTTTGAGGCACAATCCACTGAGAAGTACCAAATCAACATTCTTGTTGAGGCACAATCCACGAAGAAATGCGAAAGCAACATGTGTTTGAGGCACAATCCACTAAGAAACACCAAAGCAACATGCTTTTGAAGCACAATCCACGATTTTTATGGCCATGGGTCAAAACCCCCGTACCCCCTGTGAACATCCAAATCCCGACTAGAATAGGTTCTAAAATGGGTGGTGAATGGGATCCCATTGGTTTTGACCCATGGCCATATTGTAACAGGCCCACCTACCGTCACCCAACAAGCCACGCCCCGTCCTCCTTGGACACGCTGGAGAGCCACGAGCCCTCCACCCGCCGAGGCGGCGAGCGCGGGGAGCTGCCCAGGGACGCGATCTTCGGCCTCAGCTGGGCCCCTGGGTCTGTCTCAAAGCTGGGGAACTCCTGGGGAACTCCTCAGATCCACTGCGAAAAAGTGAAACGTTTTAGTGGGTTCCTGGGAAAAAATGGGGAAGGTACCCCTAGACTTTTAGTGGGGTTGAATGGAAAATCCCCACTAAACACCAAAAGGATAAAAGGCTACTGGGATGGAACTGCTTCTAGGGGTTGATTCCTGTCCCGTTCTTTTCAACCATTTTTTTTTAAATAACCAGCGGTTTCCCTGGGTTTCTGAAGGTTTTCTAGAAGTAGGATTCCGGGAATGAATGGGGAAGGTATGCCTAGACTTTGAGTGGGAAATCCCCACTAAACAGTAAAGGCTAAAAAGCTAAGAAACCGGATGGCTGCGAACCACACAGGAACCCTTTTCTTGCGGGTGTGATAGGTAGGGAACGTGGGAGTGAACCCAGAAATTCCCGTAAAGGGAACCAAGTTGGGGATGGTTTAAATCGGGGTCATTCCATTTCTGATTTCCTGCCTATCGCATCAGCACGTTGTTGGATGGTACCAGAGGGAAGCCAAAAGGATACCAACCAGCTGGAGAGGTTGCCAAGTTTGGGAAACACCTTGGTGAGTCACTTAGTGACACATGTTCAGATCCAGCCAGCTGTCCAACATCCCAGCCTTATGCTCGCTTTGAGCCAGCGGAACTTTCTGGTCCACGGCTCGCCGTTTGTTGGTGTGGTGAGATGGCCAAAGTCGAGTCGTCGTTTCGGGCAGACTGGAGTGCAAGGGTAAATTGGTTGCATGGCTGCGCATGCAAGACTTACGCAGAGTGAGAGAAGGAGGCTTGAAGACGCTTTTCGCAGCAATGGCAAACGTTGCGGAACAGGGGCTCCTCCGAGGGCACCAAAATCCAAGGTCTAAATAGCGCATGCGCAACAAGCAAGCGGCGCAGCAGTCCGGCGCTTCAAGTGAATCACAATCAAGACCCGGTATTAAAATGGTCTACCCAGAGCCATGTAAAGAACTACAAAGGCGGCCGCAGCTATTTATGGTTGGGATTGTCCCTGACTAACCTTCACTTACCCGGGTTTTCACAAGAAGATACATGAGGCCCAGGCCAAAGGGAGTCTGACAGCTCCTGCCCCGGCGGGTGCCCCCTCAGCCGCTCGATGAGGAGAACCGCCTGCGACAGTTTGAAACAAACAAGTTTCGCTGGTAGAGGGCGGCACCAGGAATCTGGGAAGTGGATACTATTTGGATATATGGGTATGGGTCAACACTTTCAGCACCAGGGGACCACGGTTCCACTTTGGGCACCTATTTTTGAGCCACAGCCATGTAAGTTTAGTTGTAAGTCACGGGATGGATTCTTTGGAGGGGTGCAAAGCATGGCTCGCCCTTGCCAGGTGCCTTGCCGCTAAGGGAGTTACCCTTTGCGCGGGACTGGCTGTTGGATATGCCAGGTGCTGCAGGACAAGACCAGAGAGCAACCACGCTCAGACTGGGCCTCTTTCACATTGCAAAGGGTTGGAACTGGGAAAGCAATGCAGCAAGAGTTCGCACGTCAGACAAGTATTCCGTGCAAGCAATCCAGCATCGTCAGCGTGAGCGCGCCGTGTCGGTGTGAACTCAGCAAATACGTGGCACACGAGTCTGGGGATTCGGCCCGTCTGACTTTGAATACCGACTCAAGGGCAGAACGAAGTGAGAAACGTCATGATCTATCCCCGCGCAGTTTCCACTTGGGATGGGCGTGTGGGCAGCACAAACACCATGCCAGGCACTGGTTCCATGTAGCTTGTGCTGAGCAAAAGTTCGGGCGCACTCCCCAATGAATTCTTGGAGTTAAGACTCATATACAGCGGAAAATCATGGTCTACTTTGATCCTTACAACTGTTCTTGTTGAAGGTTTCAAGGCCTCACATGAAATCTGGCGAGCTGCAATCGGCTCTGATTCCCGTTGTACTATCCTAGATTCCAAGGGCACTCACGTCTTTTGGAGCTGTCCCTGCATCGCATCGCATCTACAAAAAGACCTACCTGTTCGACAAGATCCCAGGATCCCCAATGCCCCGTCTCCAAAGCATTGACAGAAGGCTTGGTGCTTCAGACCCCTTTTTTTGAGGGGTGGTGTCTTTGACCCGCACCGAAACCGTTCTACACCGAAACCATTTACGGCAAATCGGTCTAACCCAACGCCGGATCGAAGCAAGCTGCGTGTTTTCTCCCCAGCTCAAAGAGCCATAATAAACAGTAAAAGATAAGAAGTAAAAGAATCCCAGACACAGAGACATTTATATATATATATATATATGTGTATATTGTAAAAAAAAAAAAAAAAACGAGACATTTATATATATATATATATGTGTATGTGTATATGTGGATATTTATGTGTATATTGATTTCTTTCTCTTTAATTCGTTCTCTTCTTTCCTAGAGCTCTGGTTTCGGCCTTCTCCTGCAGAAGCCGCTGCTGCTCCACGCTGCTGCTCAGCACTGCAGCGAGGCTGGCAGATTCCTGGCCCGCTTCGAGTCGAGGGAGTTGGCTTGGACAGACCCAGGACAGGTTCCAGTAGCCCCGTTTTGAAGGCTCACCAGCAAAAGGGAGGGGTGCAAACGAGATTATATATCCTGCTCTTTGAGAACTCTCCCGATTTGAGTTTCATGATCAGGGATAGTGGCTCCGCAAAAAAGGTGGAGATCGTCGCATGGCTTTTGCAATGGTGGTGTTGAGGAGAATCCGAAAAAAGAAACACTAGGTGACTTTGTGCTTGGTTCACCTTCTGTGCACATGAGTCCCTACTATCAAGCAACCGAGGCACCTGAAACACCCCGAACTCTCTCGGCCATCATCGATCTCTTGGCTTGCAGCCGGCGCAACCATCGCACACGCAAGAGGAGACTCCATTCGGAGACGGCAACGTACGGCTGGACGTAGTTAGATGCGTGGCTTCAAGCCACCAACCGGGCTGAAACAAGAGTCACTGACGTTGCTTCGCCAACCCCTGCTGCTTCTCCGAAAGACAACCACGAAATCCTAGACATCCCAACATTTCCCCCTTAAAGAATCACTCCAAGAGGAAACTCATTCCATTTCTCCTTCCCTGCCTATCGCATCAGCACGTTGTTGGAGAGGGAAGCCAAAAGGATACCAACCACCTGGAGAGGTTACTAAGTTTGGGAAACATGTTGGTGGTCATCTTTTAGCACAACCCAAATGAGGCACATAGTGACACATGTTACCAGCGAAGCGACCCGTTTTGCCTCCGCGACCTCGCGCTTGGCAGCTGACAGCCTCGCATTTGGTGACCGCAGTTCTTTGGTGGGAAATGCGGGTGGTCCGCGGCTGTTGCGGGATATGCGAGTCTGGAAATTCTCCCCAATCCAACATTCGACACCAATCATGTCAGATCTCTTCCATCTGAGGAGCCCGCTGAGCACGGCAGGACAAATGTGCTTCAGTCTCCTAAGGTTGCACTTGAGCTGGGAAAAAGCGAAACTCAAGTCTTATGCGAATATCAGGGAATGCTCCGCTTCCAACTGTCCTCCCTGATAGAAATTTGGTTACCTCTGCGCTCAACTCTGCAGTCGGAAGCGCTCCTGCTCTACTCGCCTTCGGAGACCCACCACCATGTCGTCTGCAGCCTGCGAATGTCGACAAGGCCTGGACCGGTTTTCGGGCCGGGTGGAAACAGGGTATGATTTACCATTTTGTTGTTGTCAACTGGCACGCCGGGTTCCTAAATCATGCTTTGAAGAATCGGAACCTCACGAATGGCCACAATAGTGTACGTGTCAAAATGGAGGGACCCCCCCAAAAATGATGTTCCTGTTGGCTTGCCGTTAGATCAACCCTAAAAGCTCAGAAAACACACAAAAACCAAAGAACGCGCTTCATGATCTCCAGCGCCTGAAGCTGCCACGCAGCCCTTGACCGGGCTTCTTGGTTCTCTTCCTCGTACTCTGACCTGCGCATGGCTCCCCTTGCATAGCTTGCATGACCCTTGTGGTAGGTGCGGCACGGAAACATGGCCAGGGCCAAGGGAGGTGTGTGCTCCTTTGCTCCATGAATTGCGCCAGGCACATGAAACTGTTTGCCAGTCGTGCATGCACTTGGCCATATCCAGGCTCAGGCCATCCAAGTCTGCCTGATTGCCAGGCAAACAGCTGCAAGCTTCGATTTTGGATCCTCGCATGGTGTGCTTTTCCACCCTGCCTCAGCTTGGTTGTGACTTCTTCCGCCTCAGCATGCGCCTGCGCAGCCAACACGTGTGCGATGGGCCATGTCGCCATCCACCTAGGAAGACGCCGTAAAACTCACGAGTTCACGACAAGGGCGCCCGTGTTCCTAACACAGGGAATAACTCCACCTCAAATACCGCCGAACATGATCAATATTCGACTCATTAAAAGCCAGCCAAACGCCCACAGTTGACAATCTGTTTATCGTACTAGTAATACAAACAACCCACAAAACGCTTGCCGACCATGAGAAAGGAGACTTGTTGCATAATAAACATGTCATGTGTCAGGAAACCAAATGGAAAAATAGAAGGGGGGTCACCTAAAAAGAGACACACCCCAATCAGAATCGGTCCCTTTCTGCATCGGGGAATGAAGGTTCATTGCCTTCGGAGGGATGGACCAGCGCTCTTAGGTACGGGCCCTTCAAATGGTTGGTTCGTTTCCATTTTACCGAAAGCGGTCACCATTTTGAGAAGCCATGTGTCAAAGGCGCGTCTTTGCGGGGCGGTCCTTTTTTGCGGTGGGTTCAATGGAAAATCAAACGGAACAAATCATGCTCTTTTGTCCTTCCCCCCCTTTTGACACACACACACACACACAACCATGTTCAAATGACCTGAATTTCTTGGTAGGAGTAGGGGCGGTCATCAACAAATTAATACGGTAAGGAAGCCATGACCATGATCTGCACAGGGAGTTTTGGACCATGGCACATTTTGCCTTGATGGACAATGGTTGGAACAACTGAAAAGTGGTCCAATATTCAGAACCATGCAAGAATTGTGGTGTTTGTCTTGGCCTTGTTTTCCCAACGTTTACCCCCCTGATGTGATGTTGCGATTGTCTAATGGCCGCTGTGAACCCAACATTTTTCAACAACAAGTTCCCTTCGCAGCCACCAACAGTCGGGGGGGTTGCCCTCAAAAAAGACGAGCCCCCCATTTTGAGCAACACCCCCCCCCAAGGCTCGGAAACCTCGAGTTCTTCTGGCACCTCCCGGAGCTTCGCGAGGGACGAGCTCTCCGCCCGGTCCCTCTCCTGCCTCAGTCCCGGCACCGCGCTTGGCACAGCTCCCGACATGTCCAACTTTGGATTTGCGGTTCATCAAGTAGAAAACATCGGCGGATTTCTTTTCTAAGGAAGATGCGAGATGTTTCGAACATGTGATCCTGGTCGCATGACCTGAACATGCCCATTGACCCCTGTGCTTGATCGTTCTCAGCGTCGCCATCCTGTACTCGCAATCCTTGAATCCACTCCTGCCCTAAGATGACTTCAAACGCAAACAGGAAGGACATCGGGTCTTTCCACGATGCCAAAAAGCCCCAGCCGGTCTGGAACCTCTTCTGCTATCACAGTCCAAGTCAAGCATGATAGAAACTTGTGCAGCTGCGTCCAAGCTGCTGCGTCTTTGGTCTTGCTAGTGGAATTAGTTTGGGAATCGGTCTTGCAGTGTTCAACTCATAATGCACTCGGGTCAGGGCAATGGCCTGTTGCTTGACATGATGCTTGCTTCAGCTGGTGACGACGCCCTTTCTCCATGTAAGATGCTTCTGACTAAGGCGTCCACCCAACCAGCTTTGACCAGCTTTGACCGTTCGCAGGTGGCCAGCATTCTTGAAAAGAAGTGGCTTCTACATTGCCATCGTCCCTTGTCACTAGCTGTGGCATGCTGTCCGTGCTTCAAGCGCCTTGAACAAAAAATAAACAAGCCTTCGTAGCCATCGCTCCAATTGGTAGGGGGTTGTCCAAATATAGAGTAAAATCTAACATTCATCCGCAAGTACCACACATGTATATTCGTGCAATTGAGCACGTGATGGTGTGCAAACAAAACCTAGCTCCCTCCCCTTAGCCTCACGCTGAAGCGTCTGGACCTTTGTGCGCAGGCTGTGCACCTACGGCCACGAGGACAGCGGACAGCACCATTCGGTTGGCAGTGTGTGGATGGACAAAATCCAGCAGTCGGGATGAATAGAACCCTGCAAAATAGTGGGATACATCACCTATCAACTGTCGCACGAGTTCGTCCAACCACAGTATCACCATCTGCAATATTTGTGCATTGTTCCCTTTGTCTTCTTCGCATTGAAGCAAGCCTACGCTGGAATGCTGCACACATCAACACAGCTGATGCCAGTTCGTTCGCACTTGACCCACCATTGTCTGGCTGTCCCGAAATGTCCAATCCGCATTTTACGGAATTTAACCATGAGTCCCATGAGCATGTAGCAAAGAAGGTCCTGCAGTTTCCAATGAGAGAAAACCAGACCTGGCTTCTTGGAACTATAGACTTTGCTGATAGTGGCCATGAAACTCTGCAATGCGAGTTTCTTGCAAAGTAATTTTCCACTTGTGTGGCTAACAGGGCATGAAGGCACGCTGGACAGCTGGCACATCGGCACTGTGACGAAGTGAGTGGTGGCTTTGGAGTCGACCCCCGGAAAATTCGGCCTCTGCGCTGGCTTCATCCAGCAAGACCTGGTCAAGGGGTAGTTGGCGCCGGTCAGTAGGTGAGTCTACAAAAAGGCCGACCTACATATAGAAACAAACGGAAACATGCAATCACCTGTCATGGCTCAGTCTTCGTGCGACATTGGAACTCGCAGCACATGAGGGGCTCGCGATATGCGCATTTTCAGCTGTTAAACAATCGGAACACCAAACAACAATTCCTTGAACCTTGATGTTGCTTCAACCAATGTGCCCGGATTTAGTTTTTTCGAACCAAATGGTTGCTTTACAGTATGCACCCTCCTTCCACAGTTCCAAGGGGCTGGCCAAAAAGCAAAGTGGCGCAATTGCCGGCCCAACATGAGACACGCAAACATAGGTGTTATTTTAGGGCAAATAGATGGCCCTGGTAGATGATAAACCACCAGGTAAACCAGGAATCGCCATCTATTGTTCAACCAAAACAACCAAAAAGGACACCTATGCACCCAAAAATGTGGGCGCAGGCGTTGGCTTTGGACGTTCAGCATCTCTGTGCCGGGTGCAAACTGGGTGGATTCATGCGCTGCTTCGAAATGCCCAAATGGAAGCCAGGCACCATTGGTAGTTGACCAGGCAACACACGGTGAGCCAAGAAGTATATGCAACTAGCTGGCTCTTGTTGAGTGAGGATTCAGTGGTGGATCAAGATGGTGAGCAACGTTACTTTTGGCAATACCAGTAAAGTCGGCTCCGGGGGCCGAGACGGGGCGCACGCACGCAAGCAAGCACGCAAGCACGCACGCAGGCACGCACGCAGGCAGGCACCCCACCCACGCACGCACGCACACGCACACGCATGCACGCACCTGCACTCGCACACACAGAGAGAGACACACGCATGCACACGTGCAGGCATGCGAAGGCATTGCATGGGAAACAAATGGCCCTCCGGCTTCGTCTAGTGCGTAGCTGAGAGAGCAATGCTTGAATAAACACTGAATCACACTCAATGACACGTGTGGCGGCCTCATTTGGGGAAACCCCGTCTAGCATCTCTTGCTCTGGCGACGTGTGGCGCATGTTCTTACCCAAGGGTCACGCACTCGATTTTGAAGCCCGGTTCGAAACCTGCAACCGACAAAAGATCTCTCAAAATAGAAATTGCTCCTCTTGTATTATATAGATGCTCGGTGCCCTTTTGTCTCCCTTCAAAGACCAAGCAAGAGGTGTCGGAACGACCCTCATGGCTCCTGCCTGTCGCTGCTCAGTGTACTCCTGCCGCAGCCATGAAAGCGCCTGGGCTCTGAAGGCTCCTAAGGCCAGCCTTTGTTGGGCAGCTTTGAGGCGAAGGTTGCCGTTTTTGGCTCAGTTGAAAGGGAAACCAAAAGGGAAACCCGAGCTTTGGGATGTTTTGAGGTGGTCGGTCTCCGTCTCCGCTCCCCTTTCACCATTCAAGCAGGGGACCCCTATTTTGATGCCTGCTCAGCCCATGTCAGTAGACGAGCTTGCGCGTGCGAGTTCGAGAGTTTTCGCTGTGCAAACAAAAAGAACCACATATACGAGTAGGGGTATGTTGTTTCCCTCCAAAACAGTTTTTTTTTGTTTTTTCCTTTTTGGCGTTCCTTTGAATCCAGCAAAAAAACAAGGTAACAAAACCAGGTGCCAACTCCCCCCCAAAAAAAACTGTTTGAAGGGGTTCATGCGACCAGTTCCACCAATCAGCTCCCCTCCGTTGGCTTCACCGGCCTCCGCCTCGCTGGCAGCTCGCTTGCCCAAAACCTGCGGGTGACGAGCCAGCCGCGGGAGACGAGGTCTTTTCTTGATGTTCCTAGGTCCAGTAGAGAGGATAGAATCAGGGTACCCGATTTTTTGTCTCTAGTCGAGTTGAGGGAAACCCTCCCCCAAAAAAGGGTAAAAGGGCACTACTGGGTGACCTAGTGTGAGTCACACTCAAAGCCTGGAATTAAAATGATCGATCCCCAGGACCATGCGAAGAATGTCCGGACCCACTCATGTCTGGGATTGTCCCTTACTTAGCCTTTATCTACCCGTTGATTGTGACTCATGTGGGTTGTCTCAAAATAGGGGCAACCCCCAAAACGGCTCGTTTGCTTTTGTGGTCTCCACGGGACGGCGTGAGCACTTCCAATGGTTCCCGGGGGGCCCGACGGCCAGGTCTTATACTGTCCGAGCAACATTGCCTTACTGCATACCATCGCCTATGTTGCACTTCCTTTAAACCAACTACGAAGGCACCCCCCCCAAAAAAAGACACACCCACATTCCCCAAGCAACCAGAGAAACGATTTAGGTGCCGGGCCACCGTGACTCAAAGCATCGCCCCCGTCCTCCTTAAAAGCGCCCGCGGCTTCCTCCCGCTGATGTTGGCAGCTCACCAATTCCAGGCGCAGCTCCTGGAGCATTCGCGCGAGGGCCACAGGGGTGGGGCTCGTCTGCGTTGCCTTTAAAACCCCCCCCAAAGATCCGCTACCAACTGGCTGTGGGTCAAAGAAGGGGCAACCAGAAAATGGAAGCCTGGTAAATGCAACCAACCCCCCAAAAAAGAATAATGAAAAAGGGGCGCCCTCAAAAAGACAAGGCGAGCATCTGATGCTCCACCTTGAAGCAACCCGGGCGCTCTCAAGCGGAAGCTGTCGGGCAGTTGTACCCATGCAGATAGGATCTTGCGGGTGGCCTCTTTTGGGAAGGCCTCTGCGCCTCAAACAGCAAACCAGTAGCAGGCATTGGAACAAATGATAAGATTGACAAGATGAATTCAATGATTTTTCTGGGGTGACTGAACCCCAAACATTCGCGACAAACTTGTTGATTTGGCAGTCTGTGTCTTCAACATTGCATCGAGATGACAGCTTCCAGCGACAACAAGCTGTGCCTGTCCTTTGAGGAGATAGGCCGCAAACGAATGGTACAATTCGCTCTAACTTACTGTAGTGTACGCTTGGCTATGCAGTGAGGCTTGACCACCACATCCACACCACAATGGAAGCACACTACTCACCACGAATTCTCAACAGGCGGCTTCAACCATTCAAAGATTGCAGGGATATGAGACGCTTGGCCAAAAGCTGTACATCGATTTTTGTGGACTCTAGAGGGGGGGGGGGAAATCAAGACCGCCATTGCTGCTGAACCCTTCGCAAAGAGAGGTCCAAAGTGAGCGAAAGATCGTTTTAAATGTCCAAACCTGCGAACCTTCCGAACCTTCCAACATATCTCCCAACCAGCTTGGGCGCAATCTGGGTAAATATTCACCTCAGCCCACTATACGGGATCCCCCAAAAACTTCCACAAGATGCGCTGAAATGCCACCCTCGTGGTTGAATGCGTCAACATTCAACTTTTGACCTCGGATTTACATCCTTACTTCCATCATCCAGGGCAAAGACCTACGATGGTACCACACGTTGACGCAATCTTGGGCAACAAAAAAAACGTCCTGAAGCTTCGCCTCCGCCTCCGCAGTGCGGGCGCCCGAGTTGGTCGCCTCCCTCTTGGAGGCTTCCAGCTCCGACCTGGCGATCGATCGCTCGTTTTCGTATTTCTCTAGAGGTAACTTCCCTGGAGCTGGTACCCCGTCTTTCTTCTTCTTTTTTTGGGTTAAACAAAGACCAAAAGGAAAACCGCCATCGCCATCTTTCTAGGGGTACCTATTTCCTACAAGGCACAGCTTTGGAGGTAGGCAGCCCCAAAAAGAATGCAGGGGAACAGGGCCAAAGTATCCCCCTGACTTCCCCAGTTCTTCCGGGTGTACCTTGCCCATTCTTCCCAGGGATCCGAATCTTTCTGGGGAACACCTCCGGAAGCCGAGGGAAAACGGATCCGGCTTTTGGAAAGCACGATTGAAAAGAATGGGAAAGGAATCAACCCCTAGAATTTCGCGGAAAAGGAGACGCCAGGTCTGGGAGGTGAGTCCAAGGTTTCTCTTCAACCATCGCTTTGAGAACCTTTGGATGGTTTGGGTGTTTCTTTTTGTTTTTCCCCCGGGTGTTCTTAAAACCGGCTGTTTTCTGCTGGGTTTTTGCTTGGATGGTTTCCCGACAAGAGGAATCCCTGACAAGAATGAGGAAGCATGCGTTTCTCAAGCACTCAGCTATTCGATGCAAGTGAGCCGAAGCCCCGCTCACCGTTGCCACCTTTGCCGATTCACTCCTCCAAAAGGGCAATCTTACAAACCCGGGAAATCGCAGCATCACCTGAACACGTTCCACCAAATGCATGATGAAGATGTTACGGCCCTGCAGCAACTCTGCAACAGTTTCCTTTAATCCTGTCATACTGCATCTGCTAAGCCCGGCAGAACCTTCCAAACACCTCAGACTGCAAAGAAACTGGCGGGCAAGGCTCGGGGGTACTCATAGCGATCCCCTGCGGTCTCCCACACATCCATTTCCAAGGCCCAGCAGCTCTGAGCGATTCTTTGCTTCCGATTCGCCTCGACCCAGCAAGCTGCTCCTTTAGCTCGGCAACAGAACCAGACCTTAGACCCCGGGCGGCCAAAGAATTCCCGCCCCAAGCGGGTCAGCTGATCAACTCAGGCCAGCCTCCGTTCTTCCCATGGATGAACACAAGGCTACCTGTGTTGTTGTTCAAAGGGAAACCAAACAAAACACCACTTTTGGAGGGGCCCCCAAAAAAAGTGCCACCCACATCACATGAGACTGAATTTAAAAAATCAGAGTGCATTGCTTCATGAAGTCGAGTGCGAATAGAAGCAAGTGCTAAGCATGGCCTAAAGAAAACTTGTCTGCTCGAATTGTTGCATCCGTTGCACCGCGACCGCAGTGTCACTGGAATATTCCATATACACTACAGTTGGGTTCAACAAGACATGCAACATGATCAGCAATTCACCACTATTGTCAGTGTTGCTCAGGTAGAAAGTGCTCCAGCCAGGATTTGACTCCAAACAGGGAAACTTGCCAGCTTTTTCCAGAAGCCAATGGTTGGATCGGATCCCCGGGGTGCCTTACTCACAGATCCCCTGTGTGAGCTACATGCCCAATGCTTCCCCATGGAACCCGAGCGGGTTCTCCAACAGACGCGGGTGTCGATCTTTTTTCGATCCACAAGATGCTGGTTCTCCTTCTAGGTTTTGCTTTTAGGACACGAACAAAAGGCAAGCTCACGACACACCCATGTCTCCACAAATGGAGCGGCTTCTGGCATCCGCGAGCCGGGGCGATGGCCACTTCTTTTCCTCTTCGCTCAGCCTGGCCTCCAGACCTCAAACACGCTATGCAAATCAAGGGAAAGGGGGGTCGGCCATTGGTAAGGAGCACGCCAAACCAAAAGGGCAAGAGTGAATTGTCTCCCTGACATGAGAATGAGGTGGCATGTTTCCCCGTACATGCGGTTTGCCGTGATACATCCAAGGGCCAACCAATTTGCGCCCTGCCCTTCCCGCAACGGGCAGGGGCTGGCATTAGATGTTAGGAGCTTTGTTTGTCTTGGGGATCTGCAGAACAAGCATGCTTTCAGGAGACGGCAACTGCACAAAGACAACTTGAGAGCTGGTGGGCGAAAGCAACCGAAGCTGAACCACACGCACTAGATGTGCACGACTCTGCAATGCGCAGCCACCGGCGCCCGAGCCAGCCAAAAGCGCGGCAAACAGGGGGAGCCAGGGTAGAAGGAATAGAAGGAAAGCGAGAAAGGGAGCACAGAAACAGGGGGGGAGACATAAAGACAAGAACCTTTTTCGAGGACATGTGCTCACACCATTCAGACATTTACCATCCGAGCTTCGTCTCGGGCCCCCGGCCCTGCTCACTTTGTCGCAGGCCTAAAATGTCCCTCTGAAGAGCCTCCAGCGCGACACCCCCAACCAAAAAGAGGTGGTTTTGGGTCCCAAGCAAGCCACACTCTGACATGCGTCTCCATGTCTCTCCACCCAAAGTTTGGTACTTGGTGGACATCTTCGGAGCATGCAACTTGCAGGGCTGTTGTGTCGGAAGGCTCATCGTGTAAGCTAATAGTCATTCTTTTTTGTATGCGTTAGCAATCAAGAGTAGCGTCTGCCCTCCAATTGGTGTGCAATCATCTTCTCAAGAGGAACGACTATCTAGCCATGTTCGGAAGGCAATCTGTCGGCAAACAGTGTTCGGCAAACAGTGTCCGACAAACATAAACGAAATGTGAAATGCATAAACAAATGTTGTGTGATGTGAAACCAGTTACACAATCTGACGTACATTACGATTGTGACACAGTGTGCAAAGAAAAAGAGTTTCTACAATACGCACCGTGCGCAGATCGGACATGTGCACATCTATGTATATATATATATATGTATACACAATTAGATGTATGTATGTATATATATATATATGTATACATAAAGATCGTCATCCCCTCCTGCCGCAGGGTTTTACCTATCACTACAAGTGGCCTTGGAAGTACTGGACAATGTGCATTGTGTTGAAGCATGGATACAATTAAAACATAGATGCCAGACTCTTAGAGTGTGCACAATGCATCTATCTGCCTTCTTACCTGCCCGCCCGCCTAGCGCCTGCCTAACTATCTATCTGTTTGCCTATCTATCTTGCTGATCTGATTTCGTCTTGTCTATCTATACCTATCTATCTACACTCTATCGAAGCATGGACACATCGTGATACTCTGAATGGACGAACTCCTGCACCATCTAAGAAACCCTGGAACGATTCAATTCCCGTCACAGCACCCACAAACGTTATGGTTTCAATTTTGGTTTCATTTCGCGGCGCGAACGGATTTCGTCCATCCACAGTATCACGGGGGTTGTCTTGCTTTGTTGGGGGGGATCCTCCTTTTTTTTGGGGGGGTCTTTGTCTTTTTTTCGTTTTTGGGTTGGGGGGGGGTAAGAAACCGGTTCTTCTTTTGGCCCGTCTTCCTGGGATGGAACACCGGCCTCTCGGCCAGCGCCCTCGGCCACGCTGAGGCGCTCCTGCAGGAGGGCCTCAGAGGCCAAAGCCCACGGCCAAACGGCCCCATTCGATCTGATGAACCTGTGGGAGATATGTAAGTTCATTCACACAATATGTAGGTAGATATAGGTATGTACACGTGTATATATAGATATATATATATATATATATATGTGCAAATATGTATGTATACATACGTGTGTATATAGATATATATTGTATTTGTGAGGCCTCACAGCGTATGTATATAGCATATGCGAGCAAGCAAGCAGGTAATTATGAATGCTCTATGCAGATGAGCAGAGCCTTGTTGGTGGTCTAGAGCTTATACGCTACTCGGGAGCCTGCGCTGGGGGCTTCTGAAAGGGTTGCCTTCGCGAGGCTTCGCGAGCCTTCGCGCGGCACACAATGTATCACACATGTACCTTCGCAGACCTTGTGGGAGTTCCAGCCGAAGCTAAAATACGTCAACTGCATAAACAGCACACTGCTCCCATAGATGCTTGCAGACCATGTATCCATGTCTGGACGTGTTGCGCGGTTAGAAGCATTGCTCCGAGTTCGAAGTGTTGAGGGAAGTGACGCGTCTGATTGCCGTTGCTCTTGATAAGGTTGGATGGCTTCGAACATGTAAGGTCTTGCCTGAAATACGAGGATTGTATAATTGAGCTTGGAATTCTGGCTTTGGATTGTGGGGCTACTTGTCCTGGGGAGTGCGCTGCAAACAGCCAAACAAATATATTTGGACAGTTTGTAGGTACCATGCCCAGTAAGTGACTTCCGAGAAGCCAAAGTGTGGCTTTGCAACAAACAATCCATGCATTATATATATATATATATGTATATACATATTTATTAGTTCTATGGGTATGTGTTTTAGGGGGCCCCCAAAATAGTGGCTTTCCTTTGGGTTTCCTTGAACCCGCCCCAAAAAAACAGGCACCAAACAAACAACAGGCGGCCAGAACGACGACACCCGAGCCGTGTCAACACCTCGCCATGACCGCGCCGAGACGTCCTCCGAGGCGTCGGCCCTCTCGCGCTCCCAAAGGTCTTTGGCCTGGCAATGGCCGGTGGGTTGAGGGGGTGAAGGGTTTGGTGTGGGCTCCAGTTTGAGGGTCCAAGACCCAGCATTTTTGCTGGGGGCTGAGAAGTGACGAGTGTTTGAGCCATGGTAGTGACTTAACATGACTTAACTTAGTTCCACGGCACCCCCCCAAACCCTTTCTCTACTTATAATTTAGCCATTGTTTCACGCTTATTTGATTTTACTGCGAGGTCAAGTCTCTGGTCAAGCCAAGTGTGTGGATGTGCAGTGACTTTGAAGGCAGTCAGCATGTCTGTTCCCGGTCAGTAAGATCCCGACAGGCCAGAATCCAGTAGCCAAGCAGAGATGTGACGTGGGCATGCCGAATCATTCGATGCGCCCGTTCGATGAAAGAATATTGAAGCGCGTCTTCCAACCGCCAACCGCCAGCTGGGCTCGCAAACCTCCACCAGTTGACGCTGGAACGATTCTGCACGGCCTGGCAAGGCGTAGCCCCTAAGCCACGCCTCCACACCCACGCAATCATTTCCTTTTGGCCTCCAAAAATGACTTGGAACACCAGCCCAAGCTACCCAAATGTCCTGAGAAACCAAATGGCACTGGCAAATGACAAGGCCGAACTGAAGCCAGTGGTATCCCTACATGTTCAACCAAAAGGACGCGGCCGCGTATGCCTTCTACCCTCCTAATATCCAAAAACTTGCGAAGGTGAGTCTACCCACTCCAAGTACTCCCTCCAAACAAACAAAGACCAATGAGTGGAACCTCCTACAAATGAGTAGCAGCCTTATTTAGAGGCTATTGACCCCAATTTTGGCTTATCCTAGGGGTACGTATGTTCCAGGCAAAGGTGTCCTTTTAGTACAACAAAAAATAGATGGCTTTAGTAAATGCAATCAACAATCTAAACCAGTGCCATCTGTTTCTAATCAAACTCCAGGGGCACTTGGACATACCCTTTTCCAATCTGCTTGCGCAAATGAGCCCAAAAGCCTTGCTGATGTTCATACCCCTTTCCCCAGAAGGGGTATATACCCATTATCAAGTGGGTTGGAACCAAGGAAGCTACCCTCTGATCCACTAACATAGCAACTGCGGGAGGGCACCTGGAACTTCAGTTTCCTCTTCGAAAACCCCCCTGCCAGGTGCCATGTTCGTGGACAGGAGGGTGACCCCAAAAAAGACACCTGGGTGTGGCTCAAGATTGAACAGGCGGGGCAAACCAGGGCAACCCATCTTGGCACCGGGTTTTGAGCCACAGCCACCTACGGCTCCAGGCGTCTGCCGGCCTACCAGCAGCTCGCGCTCCTTCGCGCAGATCCGGTTCAGGAAGGCCACCTGCTCCCGGCGCTCCCGGCGCTCGTCCTCCAAGTCCTTCTCCAAGGCCGCCGCCACCTGCGGCGAAGCGGGGGGGGGGGGGGCGGGCGGAGAGCGGGGGGGAGGGGGGGTTAGGGGGGGTTAGGGGAGCTTGGGTCATGTTGGGTATTTGTTTGCTTGCTTCCTCCTCCATTTTTTTTGTGTGTGTGTTGACTGTGTGTTGTGTTGTGTTGTTCCTTTTCTTTCTTGTTTGTGTGGTTGGGGGGGAGGGTCATGCTGTGTATTTGTTATGAGAGTTTGAGGCCGTGCTCGGCTTTTGTTGGGCGATATTTTACTTGTTCAAAACTTGCATGCGTTGATTTTTGGGGAACACTTGTGCTTAAGATTCATCAATAGCGTCTCACAATGCTCTAGGACCTTGCCCACAAATCGTGTGGCGTCCTGAACCCCCCCTTGCTCCCCAATTTGGTCCGGATCGTGCGCTGGCAATGCCCCATTCTTGGTCCAGCTGGTTCTTCCATTGCTTCGTGACGAGCTGCCTGTTTAGACCTGCACTGTGTTTTTATTGTGGGGACCCCCCAAAATGTGGTGGCTTTCCTTTTGGGTTTTCCTTTAAAACCACAAAAGGGGGTGCCAACTCCCCCAAATCGCTTCTCAGCCTGCCATACCCAGATCCCAATTCGCCAAGAGAACCTACGCCAATTCTGGGCTCATTCGGAACATTCGCATGCCAAACCGCTGGGTGCCCGGCGGTGTCCGCACGACTGGGACTAGCACCTCGGCGAGACTCACTTTTAATAGGCCGGACTCTTTGGTGGACAGCATTTAGGTGGAGATTCATGTCCACCAACCACTGCAACCACTTTTGAGCAGGTTCCGTACGAAATAGTTCATAACCCTATGTCCCCTTAAAAGATCACCACTAAAGAAAACTCGCCTTACAGGACCAAAACAGGAGATATAGCACCCCTGTCGAATTTGGGACGGACTGCTATCATGCTCAATGCTGTGACTTCGGTTAAAAGATGTTCAAAGTCCGCGCTCTGCAAGAGAATGTTTGATGGCCGGAGTTCCAGAAAAGCATGATTTGCTATATGTGCTGCTATGGCAGACATGGGGATTGAGTTCCTTTTGGCTGTACCCTTGCTCTTGAAAACTTCAACAAGTCACAAATAGGCGTCCTTCTGTTTTATCAAAGATCGGTGCCAATAGCTTCCTGTCTGCCCACAAACATGGCCACAATCGTCACACCGTTCCAGGGACTCGGCAACTCATTTAAGAACGAGGCAACACACACACACACACAAATTGCCTACAAGTACCATGTCCAAGGGCAGAACTCCTGGTAGCTCCTTATGTAGCTCCGTCTTTAATTGCAAACTTGGAGCGCCCATTTTCCTTGGCTCCCTTACAACCACCAGCTAGGTCCGGCCAATCATCTCAAGTCCCACGCTGGCACCGGGGATGGAGAGGGAACTCCTGCACATGTCCCAGAGAGGCGTTTCTGATAGCCACACACGAAATCCTCCAACGCGGGAAGCTTGCCAAGCTGTCCAAGAGTGTCCTACCCTCCAACCCCAAGGTGTGCAGTTGAGGAAAAGGCTAAAGGAGTGTGTCACGTCTTATGTTGGTGCATACCGCTAGAATGTGATTCTCAACTTCCCTTGCAGTGCTCAAGGGTAATTGAGCCAACTGCCAATGCAGCCCTCTCCCAAGCTGTAACAAGCAAAAACCCGACGAAACACCGCACGGCCAGTCTGAACTGCCTCTCAAAACACATCGTGAGACTTGAAGGCACCCAGCATTCTGCCCAGTGCAAAACAAAGTAGGGTCAATCACTGTTGAAATGCCAGGCTTGGGACGGATCAGTCACTCTCAAAATGGATTAAAGCGGGCAGTTTGCAAAAATGACTGGACGGGTCACGCTTCTGGCAATCCTTCCTCTCCCCTCATTTTTCAGACGAGTGTCTCTAATTTAGGGAAAACCCGGTTGAACCCTCAAAATGTGCAGGTTCCCCTTGGTTTTAGTTGAAACCGTCCCAAATGCCTTTGCATGCCTTGGAGTCAGATGCCTCCCAAACCCCAAACCACCACTTCTCACGGAGCGTGCCAGTCGCCCGCAGCCATCGCTGATCCGCCTGCAGTCAGACAGTCAAAGAGCAAATCGAGCCAAGCTTCATAGCCACTGGGGACTCTCTGTGCCTTGGAGAGTGCATTTCCTGCAGACATCTTAAGGTCATGGTTTGCCAGAGGCCAATGCCCAGTTCGTGACCACAACACATGCGTACACGTTTGTTTTGCAGAGCTGAGCAAAACCCCGGTCAGGATCCTCCTTTGCGGCAAAACTTTGTTGATGTGGCGAACAAATGTGTCACTTGGCTGAAAGCAGGCCATGTTTTAAGCTCACAAGGTAAAACATGTTGATATACATTGATATGTCTGTTCAGATACTCTGTTCTTCTGGCAAAATAGCACTCCCGACCTCCAACTAACATTCACCTGTCAATGAGCATGCCTTGGCTTCGTTCATGCGGCTCCCGTTTCAGGCAAAACTTACATAATGAAGCATCGAAGCTTGACAGCCCGAGACACCATCCAAGGACTCTCCAGTAGTGTCTGCATTCAGTCAACTGACTGTTCTCTATGTCTGACACGGCAACCGTGTATATAATGATGCGCTTTTGATCCATGCTGCAACTACCCGGGATGCGTACAAGAAGCACACCAAACGACCAAGGATTCAAGGCACCCAGTTCAGAACAGGAACTTAAATGCCTCACATCAGAACCCTCATGCTGCCTGTTTTACCTCAGAACCCTGACTGCCAAGGAATCAGACACCGGCACCACGAATTTGAACCTCGAACATTACAAAATATAAACGTGCTTCGGTGTGAAAAACTCTTCTCCAGCCCCAAACCCTGGCAACATTGTTCACACAGCGGAGGCATGCTTCGATCGGGCCCATACCTTTTTGGCGCGAAAACGCATTGCTTTATGCCAAAGACACATGGGACACCACACAAGTAAGACATGTTGCAGACTGCAAATGCAACGCTCTGCTACCGTAGCATGTCTGTGTGTGCGTATGCGCGCATAACTGCCTCTGAGAGCAGGCTTGGGCTCCCAGCTACATGCGAGATTCACGCATGCTGAGCTACTCTGAGTCGTGAAGCTTCTCGACTCCCTTTAGAGGTGGCAAATTCTGAAACGCTTCCTGGTCACTCTTCGCTCAGCAAATGTTAAACATGCCTCTTGGTGGTCAGTCTTTGTCTGCGGACCATGTGAGCCGCTGCGGACAAGTCCAGTGTGCCCTCCTTTCTGCTGATACGTCGATAGTCCTTTCGTTGCAAACGGCGATGACTTCGCTTGCCTCTCATGACAGCAAGCCATGCAGCAAACCGGCGCAAGGCATCGAGCCGGCCGTCTTTTCCGCTTCGCACGAGGCGGCAGCCTGGGCAAGCAAGGGCCGTGTGCAAGATCCGCTTCCGCTTCATGAGCGGAACGGTCGCAGCGACGCAAAATCTTTGAGGAAATCCCCATCTGAACCGAATCGAAGAAAGTCGAACTCCAAATCAGCAGCCTTGCTTCTTTGGGAAGGTGTCAAAAGAGACACCTCTTGAGCAGTTGATGAAATCAGGAGAAGGAATTGTGTTTTCCGAATATTGTTCTTATCTGAAAGTCGCTTCACCCGCAGAGGGCAACCAGCCAACTGCATGGGGATTTTTCGACACTCAGCCGCCACTAAGCCATGGACCTTCAGCACGTAGAGCTGCTCGTAGCTCCTTGGCTCCCTACTGTGGATGGACGAAATCCTGCAGCAATCCGAAACCCTGGAATGATGCGATTCCCCGCTGAATACCAACAAGCCATGGTGTCAACCATGGTTTACGAAGTGGTGTAGATTTCCTGCACAGTATTCCGACAGCTTGGAGCCAGCACAAATGCGCTTGGGGATTCTGCCTGTAAGTCTCAAACGTGCAAAGCGGTCTTGAAATCCCAGACGTCTCCAGGAAGATCCCAAGGTGCAACTGCTGTGCAAGACAAAAGGTGCAGATTACAATTCCCTCCCTGGCCACTAAACCAGCTATCTCCGGCTTCCAATGTACAAAGGCGGCATGGATGCACAGCTACAGTGTCTTTTTTTGGGGGGAGATGAACCTTGATCCAGCCCATCGCAAGTTCCCTCGTTCGGGGGGTGTGAAAACGGCTCACCGCGTCAAGGCCACAAAATGCCACTGGGACGGGCGCCGCCCCCCTCCACTGAGCACCCTACCACGGCAGGTTGTCCAATGGAAGAGTCTCCTGCGATGGCGCTCCTTTACGCATAGGAGAAGCGGCTGAACTCAGGATTTACATGGGCGTGAAGACATGTCTTGCCGCCACTTCAACTCTTCTTCAAAGCGGCCACCAAATCTCAAGGGTTCTTCCCATTCCCGCGGCTTGGCTCGGAAGGCTTTAACTTGAAACGTATCTCATGCCAAAGCGCTGGCCTGAGACTCCATCCTCAAACATGGAACCTCACAGGGGGTCCTCGTGGGTTCCATGCCAGTGGATTGCCCTGAGACAGCGATCCTCGAGTTTCCATCCCGCCGCCAAGGCATCAAAGAAGGCCCCGTCGCCGTTCACGCCGCCCCGGCCTGCGGAAGCTTCGGCACGCAGAGGGCTGCACAGACTCGGGGTAACCAGCCACTCCGATGGTCAAGATGCGATAACCTTGAGGCCAAAACATCTATGATCCCACGCCGTCCGAGAATCGGAATGCACCCAAGTTGTATTCTTTCTAGCTTCATGACCAACAGGGACCCTCTCAACAGATCAACAAATGGACTTTGCAAGAACTTCAACATGACATGACGGCCTTGGAGAAGATGCCGGCCATGCCGGCCTCTGGCTCCGGAGGCCGAATATGATCCCCTTGCCGCCCTAGCCGGAAGCCTTCTGTTCACAATCAACGGGCCAGGTGCGGAGAGCATGGGCCCGTCAACTCCGAAAATCCGGGCGCATACAACTCTGCAACCATGTCAACAAAAACATGAAGTCTTGACAAATTCGATGTTCTGAACCACCGCGCAAGTGGACCCCGGCCAAATCAAAGGATGATGAAATGAATCCGTGCCTGCCATCTTCTGTCGAAGCAGCACGCACCGTCGTGTGAATCACAACAGTTTTGTATGCAAACAAAAGCACGTTCAATTTGTTCGTCCCTAGCGCCCGAATCTCCGCTACCCAAACCTGGCCTTCGCCCACGTAGAGGAGGACGTCCCCCCTGTAGTGCATGAGGCACCTGCGGCTAAAATCTGTGTGATGAGAGAAGGCAAGGAGTGGTACGGGAATCTCGCAAATCAATGTTTTGAACATGTTGGACTTGGGAGAAGGCTAAGCCACCCCTGCCCCCATGTGGTTTGGCTTTGTTTGAAAATTGTGGAATGACCAAAATTTGTGGTTTCCCTTGGTTTCCCCCCAACCGGTGAGAAGGTTGACTTTGTGCGACTAGAATCAGGAAGCTACATCTTCTTTACCAGTATGAGACCATGGTTCTTCGAGGAAAGCATTGCAAGGAGGTTCTAACTGGCCAAAGGTTGTCCACGAAGCAGCCAATGCCCATGGAGTTTGCAGGCGCAGCTTGACCAGCCATGGCCTTCCCCAAGCAGTTCAGGCTCAAATCTCAACAGCAGCTGGTCTTTGGCACACCGAACTCTTGTAGGGGAAGGGGAGTAAGATGGGGCTACCACCTGTTGCTCAAGCACAACGTGCCAAGGTTGCGTGGCTGCTCCCAAAGATGTCTCGTAACTTGGAATGGACGCACAAAAGGAGCGCTAACGTCATCTTGAAGTGTTGATAGCGTTTCAGAACAGGTATTGCCGTAGCAGCCTCTGCACCAGTGGATCCCAAAGTTAGATATCCAGAGATGTATCGTAGAGTCTAACCTTCAGCAACACAAACACACCCAAAACCCCCCCCCCCCCCCCATGCGCCACCAGCCATGCGATGCCGACCCAAACGGCCCCTTTATGGCGGGCGCCTGTATGCCATGGGCCCTGGAGGTGGGTACACCAGCAGCAGCCTGCGGCCCACACTTCTCCGGACCGCCGCCTGGCAGCTGCGGCGAGGCGAGGCTTGCGTCGAGCGCAAGGCGCTGGTCTCGGCTTGCGGACGGCGCCCAGAGGGAAAGCGGAGATTTGGCTGTGGATCAAAACCAATGGTACCATTTTGGGGTTTTGGGGTAGGTGCACCACCCATTTTAGAACCTATTTTAGTGGGGATTGGGATGTTCACTGGGGGTACGGGAGTTTGACCCATGGCCATTTGAGAGAATGTGCTCAGCAAGGTTCAAGTCAGTGGAGATGCACTTGGGCACCATTTGGGCATCTTCAATTGTTCGTGTTTGACATCAACCTCGACATTACCATCCCTGCTGCAAAGGATCACTCTCCAAGAAAAACTGGTGTGGAATCCACCTCGCTAGTGTGCCAACCTCCGCGTCAGCTTGTTGCACGTCAGCCCCAGCCACAGCTAGCCTCGCGAGGACATTCAAGCGCCCATAGGTGAGGGCAAGTGATGTGAACCTTGCATGTGTGGATTTATCCACTAGAAGATACCGACAGTTGATGGGGAAGTCTTGTAATGTCGCGTAGCGAGTAATAAATGGGGAGGCAATTCAAACAAGTTGTCCCAAAATTATTCCCCTCCCTGAACATAAAAAGGGGCAGGAAATCCAGAAAAGCTGTTTGGCACCCCGTCAGCTTGCAGCATCACCCAGCAATAATACAATTCTAAGCCAGCACGAAGCACACAAAGCAATGCGAAAACAATACTGTACTAAAACAAATCTAAACCAGTACTAAGCAGTGCCTACTGAGAGACTGCTTAAGTAGGTCCTCTGACTCCCAATTTGTTTTTAGGTTTTGCCCTATTGACCCCCCAAATTTGTTTGGTGGGGGTTGGGGGGGGGGGGCTTTACTCATGTATGATACGCCCGGTCAGCATCCAATGGCTATCTTCCGAAAGACTGAACAACTGTCCTGGGCATGGTCAAATCTCAGTCAAGTTTGGCCTATTCGCTCATGTCAAACATTCGGGGCTGTCTTTTTTTGAGGGTGCCCCTTTTTCGGTGGCATTCAAAGGGAAGCCAACCGGAAACCCGGCCGACCGGGCCATTGGCCTGTCGTCGGTCCCGAAGCGGCTGGGACTGGACTGGTTGTCGAAGGCCGTGACCTGCAGAGAGAAACACCGAAAAACCAAAGTCAAACGGCTGGTGGAAGACTGCTCTTCACAAGGGCGCGTCTTTTTGTAGGGGTTAGGGGACCCTTGGGTGCACCTCTCTTTTTTTTGGCTCCTGTCGACGCCGATGTGCGACTGAAAAGCCCCACATTCAGAGTTTCTGGCTTCAGGCAGTTCCCTTTTGAGTCTGACGTATCGACACGCACATCGGTGCGGTGACAATGGACAATTCAATATGCTTTCTCAATGTCTTGTTTGAGATCATTGGATAAGGCGTGGCACACCATGTTTCGTTTGAGGTACTTGAGCTTGTGATGGGAACAACGGTGCATGTAAAGATGCGGAAGTCAGATATCAGGGGTGAAGCGTCGATCGAACTCTTTGTTTATTGACACGCTCAAGACAACTTTCCAACAACCGGCTTTCCACTAAGCTCCCCCTTTCCAACAACCCCTAAAACGCGTTTTCCCCCTTCACCATTCATGTTGACCCCAGATTAATCAAGTTTATTAATTGGGGGGCGTCCCTGGGTTTAGTGGGGAATGATCACTCTTGGAGCGGGACCCCCTTAAAACTAAACTGGTTGGTTGATTCATATGGGGTGAACATTGGTGTTTTGTCCCTCCAAAATCAAACACAAACCACCGCCGTCACCACTCTGCCGCGGGCCCCCTGCCGGGCCCCCGGACATCCGCGCCGCGCCGGCGCAACTCCGCCTGCCACTGGCCCTCGCCGGCGCCCACCTGAAAAGAGTCATGGGAGCCACGGGTCCGGACATACCAAGGGCGCTCCCCGAGAAACGTGCGGTGCTTCCGCAAGATATGAGTGCGGCTCAACATTAAAGAGCTAGGGTTGCGCGGGCTTTAGTCGTTGGTGTCATTTACCAAGGTGCCATTTTGGCTTGGGGGGGGCGGGGTTCTCAAGCGTCAAGATGGGGGAGCACGAAAATTGCAAGTGTTTGCCTTTGGGAGTGAGTTTAAAACCACGCGGAAAGTTTTTTCTGAAAAGTTTGGCTTCCTTTCTTCCCCTTCAAGCCAATTCGGGGTTCCCCAGAAAGACGCGCCGTGGGAGAATCAACGCTGCCCCTGTTTTGTTTTTTTGTGAGATGGACTCCCTTGCCCAAGGATCACCGGATTTCAACTCTTGGAGCGAACCACTCAAAACCAAACCCCGCTCGGCCGCACTGGTTGTCGAGGCTGCGTTGCCCCTTGTCTCTCCCAAATCGATCATAGACTGGACTCTTTGACACAACCTCATGTGGAAACCGAGTTGCTTTGATGGTTCCCTTTTGCCCGCCATAGAAATCAAGGAGCATGCAATTGTTTTCTTTTCCGAAAGCTCTGTAACATACCCTTCCCACTGCGCCCACAGTGCAAGGGTTCCTGCGTCCCAGGTTGGTCCAGACCGGAGTCTCCGGTCGCAGAAGGAACTTGCGGTCATGGAGCTTCTGGTGCTGAGGGCATGGTTTGTCAAGCGGGTTGCTTTCTTAGGAGGTTGCCCCTTTATACTGGTCACGCCTTTACTTGTTTAACAAATTACAGTGAGACATGCGCAACATATGCTGCTTCTGGATAGGTGATCTTTTTTGAGATCTGGAATGGCAACCCTTGGAAATGCAAAAGTAAGTAACATTGCATGCATAGCAGCGCTGGCAGTAGCTGCTTGTAGTAGTCGCAAAACCCTACACATCAACCACAAAGAGGCCATCAAAGTCTTTCTTCCTGGAGACTCCCTCGCTCAGCCAACTCATCCTGATACGGCTGTGGGTCAAAAATCCTGGCGTACCCAAAATGGAATCCTGGTAAATCGAAACAATGACTAAAACCTGCGGTCCCCTGGTGGTTTTATTTTGACCCATACCCATACCTTGTGGCTTTCTTCGAGAGGTCTATTCGGAGCCCCGGCAGGTTGCGAAAAACCGCCCGAAAACCGCACGATCTCGCCTCCACCAAAGGGGAGAACCCTGCGATCCGGCTCATGGCTTCCTCAGTGGAGCTGGCCCACTGCTACCATGCCAAACCAGTTTGCCGCTTGCCACCTTAGGCGGTTCAAGCTAAAGGTATGAACCTCCAACAAGCTTCAACTTCGCATATTGCACAGGGTTGCCTCAGGCCAGCGAGCCCGGCGTTGATGCGCAAGAAGGGCAGCTATCGCAGGCTTAAATGGAACCATGGGAAGAGCAATGCATGATTCACTCGTCAATGACGCAAGCACCCTGTCACCTTTCTTCAACGAAGGTAATACGACGGACGCTTTAGCCAGGTTTCTGACCTCCGTCCACTTCACATTCCCGTAGCTTTGCCGCCTCACAGTTGGGCCAAGACTTGCTCTGGTCGTTCTGTGCTTCCGTGCAGCGACTTTGAAGCACAGTCAACCACCAATTCTTAAAGTGCCTCTTGCTGCTGGCAAGCTGTGAGTTGTCACACGTGCGGCCAGCGATTCTCAATCGCAAGCTCAGCTTATTACCTCGCTCGGCATCACCTGCACTTGGCAAACTCTAACTGCAATGCTCTCAATTTGCGTGACCCAAAGACAGAACACTGGGCATTAGCATAACATGAGTCATAATCAAAACCCGGGTTTAACATGGTCGATTCAGAACCATGCAAGGAATTTAAAAGTTTGTGGTAAGGGGAGTATCCCTCTCTAATCTTCATCCCGAGTTTTGAGCATGTGACTCACATCTCTTCTCATCCCTGCGACAGCTCGGTAGCACCAATGCTCCTTGCCTGCGCTGCAGCTCATCCCGGGAGATGGAGGGGTACATCACCTGATGAGCCTGCACGGCAGTTCAGTCCAAGCCATCCGCCAACCTTCCGGCAATTTGGTGATTAGAAATAAAGCAAAACATCAGAAAACCAAGGTGCACATCAGCTCAGTAGATGAGCATGAGGGAGGCTGAGAACACTGATGCTGACGGTTGTGATGGCGGTTGCGGTAGAAATGATGATGGCATCCATGGTGACTTTCATGGTGAGGGTGATAAAACTATGCTGATCATCGTTGTTGCCATCATCGTCATTATCATAATCATAATCATAATCATAATCATCATCATCATCATCATCATCATCATCATCATCATCATCATCATCATCATCATCATCATCATCATCGCCACAAATCGCGATCATCCTGATCATTCATCATGATCATGCTGTTGCTGTTGATGCTGTGGCTGTACAACGATGTATCCTCCAGTACTGGTTAGGAACCTAGCAATGAGGTCTCAAAGAGGTGTCCAGCTGCAAACTCGCACCGGTAAACAGCAAACAGTCTAGAATCCACCGCACCGCCACTGCCACGATGAAGACTGCATGTATTGGGTGATGATTTGTCACTTTCCTTCTTAGTGAAATCAAGAAGAGTTCGACTGAATGCTACTGCCGTCAAACAGGCAACCAGTGTATCTGGTGCAGCCACACACCTCTTGAAGTTGTTGGAACATGAAGTCTTCAACACTCATGCCTGCAGCGACCCTCTCACTTTCCTTCTCGGAGCATATTATTGCACTCAACCAGCAATAGGAATGTGCCTTGCTTCAACTCATGGGCTTGCTTGTGATTTGTTCACAAGTCGAAGCTGGGGACCTCATGAGGCCAAGTCAGCAGGGTGCTGTCCGCTTCCCCTCCTCCTCCACAAGTTCACCCCTGAGCTTCAGCAGGGCATCTTGTGCCTTGCTGCCACCTGGCGTTTGCTGAATCGGCAAGCGTGGCCGCTTCCCACACCGAAACAGAAGGGGCCTTGAAGCAGAATTCACCAGGATCTGTCAGGCAGCTGAGAAGCAATGTTAGTGCTCTGCTGAATGCAAACCTCAAGGACCACAATGCTTTGGCACTTGTATGATATGGTACGATTGGCCAGCAATTGGGTGCTCACTTGAGCGGGGGATTCTCTTCGATTACCCCCCCCCCCGCCACCAACAGGGGACTCTACACTGAAAAGACAACCGCCATCCAATCGCAGCTAACGAGTCCATGATCCTGCGCAGGCTTTCCCTATGAAGACCTGGAGATGTTGGTTCCCTCTTGGCCACACCACCACCACCACCACCACCACCACCACCACCACCACCACCACCACCACCACCACCCATCTGAAAAACATCGCTCCGCCAAGTGGCTGCCACAGCCCAACTCTTACGTGGATCCGGGCTTCGCCATCTGAACCATGCACCTTGTCACCAACCTTTTTGTGCCCAGCTTCATTCCATTCTGAATCTCCGTGGTGGGGGCAGTTTTTGCGATCAATCCTCCTGTTGTAGTGTGGCTCACAGCTTGGGACCTCATGTTGCTGCACGAAATGGTATGTGTGGCCCACTGGTCAGCTCATTCGAGCCACAGCCGAATGACATGATTGGTGCGTCCACTGTGATCTACGTTCTACACCCGGCGTGCACATGAGGTCACAATACTTTGACCGGCTGAGCTAACGGGCCGATGATTCTTGAAACAAAACCAAGTGTGGGTGTAAGTGTGTGAGCTTGTGTGCGTGTGGGTGCAAGTGTGTAAATGTGAATGTGTGTGTGTGTGTGGGTGTAAGTGTGTAAATGTGTGGGTGTGTGTGGGTGCAAGTGTGTAAATGTGTGTAAGTTTGTGTGTGTGTGGGTGTAAGTGTGTAAATGTGTGTGTGTGTAAGTGTGTAAATGTGTGGGTCTGTGTGTGTGTGTGTGTGGGTGTAAGTGTGTAAATGTGCGTGTCTGTGTAAGTTTGTGTGTGTGTGTGTGGGTGTAAGTGTGTAAATGTGTCACGTGTGTGTGTGTGTGTGGGTGTAAGTGTGTAAATGTGTGGGTGTGTTGAGTAAGTGTGCCGCAAGAATTGGCGGTTTAAAAAGGTTAAACCTTTTTCTCAGCTCAAGATCCGGGCTTGGGTTGGTTTGGCAGTCCTGACGCAGCACCAACTCAACTCGGCCAATTACGGGTGCAAGTCTAAGCCAACCCCAAACAAAGCACCAAACGCCACCAGACCAGAAAGGCCTGAACCACTCAGAGTAATAATCTGAGCATCTCTGCCCCACTAACTCGCCACAAATTGGTCGGGGAGACCCTGCGCCAACACCTCCCGTGCTCGCCTGCGTCATAGCCTACCTTCAAACAATGTCATACTGGGGATGGACGAAATCCTGCACCACCTAGAAACCCAGGAATGATGATTCCTCCAATAATCAATGGTTTCCCATGGTTTCAAAGTGGTGCAGGATTGCGTCCATCCACAGTAGCTCCCTTGGGATCTTAACGCAGATTGCCTCTCACCCACCGGAAAAGACAAAGGGCTGCTCCAGAATCTGGCTGGTGGCCAACCTTGGACAATTTACTCACTGACCCCCGCAACAAAAAACAAATGAACTGAGATACTTATTCCAAGACAAGGCGGCTGATTCGCGCAACGACTTCAACCACAGATTCATGGTAGGTGGACTTGTCAGCAAGAGAAAGAGAAAGAAACAGATAAAAAGAACAAGCAAGAAAGAAAGAAAGACAGAAAGACACAGAGAAAGAAAAAAAAGCAACAAAGAAAGAACAAATACCAAAGAAACAAAAGAGAGAAATAAAGAAAGAAAACAAGAGAAATAAACACAATAAAGAAATCAATAAAGAAAGAACAGAAAGAATTTGTTCAAAGTAAAGAAAGAAAGAAAGAAAAAAGAAAGGAATCAAGCAATCAGGCAAGAAGAACGAAAGAGAACAAAGAGGGCAGAGAGAAAAGGCAGACAGACAGAAAAAGCAGGCAGAGAGAAAAAGAGAGAAAGAGAAAAAGAGGCAGAGAGAGAAAAATATGATAAAGAACAAAAGACGGCAGAAAGAAAAAATAAAATAAAAAAGATAAAAAGAGAAAAGATAACAACAGAAAAGAGGAGGAGAAAGATAGAAAGAGAAGGGGAAACAGAAAGCGAAAGAGAAAGCGAAAGAGAAACAAGGAGAGAAGGGGTAAAAATGCGTGCTCCAAACTATAGTTGATACATGATTGAAACTTCCGCCAACCGGCCTTGCTGGCTCTACTGGTAATTGTACGTGTATATATATATATACATACATGTATAATCATGTATTTGCGTGATTCCTGAGGCAAGACGGCGTTCGCTGACTGTCGCCGTTCCGCAAAGAACCCTGCACCACTGAGTTGACACTTTGCAAGCTTGCGTTTCAGCATGAATGAAAAGTGGATACCTCACAGGAGGCTGAAATGACCTGACCTATGACCTAAGGTCTTTTGCTTGAGGATGGCATCAAAGCTTCAGGAACCGCAAAGCGCGAGTTCTTGACAGTGTTTGGAAGGTGGTTGGCCAGGCAAAAGCTGAAATATATCGCGGCATCTGACTCGGAGAGGCTTTACTGCAAAGCAACCCTATCCAATACTGCTTGAACCAACAAGTACTCAACGCATTGGGTGTCTTCAATAAGCATGCAAGGTGTACTTAAGTGCAAGGGGCGTTGTGCAAGGACTTGGCACCCCCTGCTGCTACTCGCGACAGCCACGTCGCCTGTCCGCAGATGACATGATCGCCCGCAGCTGCCGCTCTCGCTCCTCGATGCAAACACATCAACCACTCGCGTTGAGTGCTCAACGTTGTTTGAAGGCGTAGCTGCATAGCACCACATCACTGGACAAGCCGTGCCAAGTTTCCTGTGTGCCGCCTGAATGGTGACTTCAATCAATGAGACACTGGTCATACCCCACTTACAGTGCTAGGTTTGCTGCCGTGGAGGCACGCATGTTGAACACCAATACACTCGTCGCAGTGCTTCCAGGCCCTGGTCGCCTTTCCCTGGTGACCGGAAGCGCTTCGAAGCGCTTCGAATGCATTTCATCCTTCCGAGGCACTGGAGATTTTTATTATTTTTTAACCCCAAAAAAAAAACGAGCTCCTTCAGAACCCCAAACACCAGCACATCATTTTCTGAGCCGCGTCTGCATTTGGAATCCTCGGATCGGCCCTGAGGCCCTGAAGGCCCTGAAGGCCCTGAGCCCCCGGCCGTCCTGGCAGCGATGACCTCTGGGTCCAGACCCAGGAACAGCCTCCCATGAAACCCACGGGAGCCCCCGGAAGAGCCCCCCCCGGCACAGTGAAAGAAGAAGGTGACGGACGTAAGCCGCTGCGAAGACCATTCATTCTGTCTGACAAGAATGACGGCGTGGGAATGGTGGTTCAGTTTAAGGCTAGACTGGCAGGTGAGGGCAGCGGTGTCTCAGAGAGGGGGGGAGGCCATGTTCGGACGGTAACAGGAATCCAAAAGGAAGCCACCTGGAGGAATCGGCCCCCCAATGTTGACAAACGCCCACATCTTCCAAGGAAAATTCGTGAGAAAACCCCCACGATGTTCAAAGCCCCATCGATTCCAAGCACCGAAACTGGGGACAAGGCCACGGACAGTGGAATTTCATTGGCGGAGACTCTCAAGTCCAAACTTTTGAGGCGGTTCGAAAGCTTTGGACCTAATCAAATCTGCAAAAAAAATCCCCACTGCCCAGGACAGAAAGGAAAGGAATTGTGATCACAGCTGACCGCCTGAAACATCAAAACTTGATGACCAGCTGACTCCAAACAGTGAGCTCAGAATTGAATGATCTGTTCACCATAGTTTGGAGAAACCGTTTTGATCACAACGCAAACAAGTGTGTCCTTTGTATGGGACCCCACAAAATGGCGCTTGTATTTGTAATTTTCCGTTTAAGACACACCCAAAAAGGGGGTCCCCTAAAAAGACACCCGCAAACAAACCTGCCAATATGATCTCCCACAAGCGAATTCGCTCGCAAAGGCCCGCGCTGCGCTCGCTGGTCCACTTGCGCCTCCTTGCTCTGGACCGAACATAGGGCATGGCACCACCCGAATGTGAAAGTAAGCGTGAGAATGCCCCCCCCACTCTGAGCCTTGAACAAGTGACATTCGTACAATACGCTGAACACATAGCCACACACACACACATACACTAACATACACGCACGCACGCACGCACGCACGCACGCACGCGCACGCACGCACGCACGCACGCACGCACGCACGACGCATACATACATACACGCACGCACGCACATACGCGCACGCATACGCACTACATACGCACGCACGCACACACACGCACGCGCACACGCACACGCTTTGCTGCACACACACGCGCACGCACGCACACGCACGCACACACACGCACACACGCACACACACACCGCACGCACACGCACACACGCACACGCGCACACGCACACACGCACACACGCACACACGCACATACGCGCACACACGCACACACGCACACACGCTCACACGCACACACGCACACACGCACGCACGCACGCACGCACGCACGCACCCACACACACACACACACTCACACACACCCACACACACACACATACACAGGTAGCGCTAAGAACACACACACATAGCAAATGAACACATGAATGAAATGCGTTCAAACATGAGCCCGCCAACGAAGGAACGAACTCATCAAGATGTAATGAGCACATAGATGAAACAGCAACAAGCTACAGATAGAGCATGAGGCTCTTTCTCTGCGAGGAATTTGACATGGGCAAACGTATCACATCTGCGTGTGGATCGATTGCTTTCTGCTGAATTCCAGTTGCAGTTCAAGAGGCCCCAATAAATCTACGTAGCCCTCTCATCGCTCTGCGATGCTCTGGGTTTGGTGCTTCAGCAAATAGCCGACAAAATCCCCACACCTATCGCATGCGGGAACCGTGTCTTGCAAATCCACGTTCTTTTTTTTGAGAGCTCCCATCTTTGAGCAAGACATTGAACAGGCAAAGCCGGCGACGCTAACGGGTCCCAACGCGCTCGCTTCTCCTCGAAGAAAAGATCATGGATTTCTTTCGCAGCCAGGCCTGCCAGAAAGGAGCTGACATTGAAGGCATGCGGCTCAGCTGGCATGACATGCTCCTGGGCCCTTGTGACCGCCCTCGCCCCCGCGCGCGCCTTTCTCTCAGACACCAAAACTAAAAATCACTGCTCCACAGGAGTCAAGCCAACGGCCTGTGCAAACGAATGACAGAATGTGCATTCGGGAGCATTGTTTTTCTGCTGCGAGTCTTCCAAAAGTGCTCCAAAACAGGCTAGCCTTGCATGCAAATTTGGTCAGCCAGGTAGAAGCAAGCAACAATCTTCACGCAGTGGGAACAAAGACAAAATCAGGAGAAGCATCCATGCGCCATGTTGAAACCTTCAGTAGGTCATGTTTCCAGTCGTTGGCAACGTGCGGCACTGTCAGGCTGCAATGCAGTGGGCATGCAAGAAGCTGATACGTTGTGTAGGTCATGGTCACGGTTCTGTTCTGCTCTCTGAGCATTGGAATCCGTTGGCGTTGGCTGCTACAATCCCCATCAGTTTTACACCACATATGCACGTAGTGAGGCCGTCAGCTGGTTCATTGTGGATAGCGCTTGTGTGAACACAACTTGGCTTGTTCCAGGCGAGTTTGGTTCGGCAAGCGTCTGACCGGACCTGAGTAGCCTCTGGGTTCCATGAGTTTGGCTGACGTATCTGTGCTTGTGTTTGGAAAGTCGGAGGAGGATCACTAGATCTTACAGAAGGGGGTTGCTTCAACATAGGAATCGGTCGTGTTTGGGATTCTGCGGTGGGTTTCCCAAGAGGAAGCCAACCTGGGGATCAATTCCGAGAAAGACAAGCTGGCTTTTGCTCCGCCAAAAGCCCAGCCTACCCCCAGCACCAGGAAGGACCCCCGGGCTGCCCGCGTTGCCACTGCACCTGGGCAGTGAAAACCAGGGTTGGGGCTTGGGCCAGGCATGGATCACCCGGTACGAGGCTGATGCGGGACTGGGGCAGCGTCTTTGTGAGCCAAGAGTCAGGTCAAAAGACGCGGCGAGAGCCGGAAGCCGGCACAGAAAACAAGAACGCTGAAGATTGAAGCCTGGCCACAAACTCCTATATAGCCACTCCCAAACATCATAAAGCCGATATTGAGCTGGAATGGGGCCATCCCAAAAACACTGCCTTTGGCAAATCGCCCAATCAGACGCACCTGCTATCCCTACCTGGGCATTTGGAGCCCCCTCTGGAGCACAAGCCGTGTCTTAGCCTTGTCTGCAGTGAGACAAGATGAGACAGGTGAACAGAGCTTGAATGCAAATTTATGGGCCTGTCTTCTTTGGAGGGTACCTCTTGTTTGGTGGTATCAAAGGAAAACCAAAAAGAAACATACTTTTTGGGGGGGGCATTATACAGAACAACAACATGCATGGTATAGTTCAGCCTCTTCGTGCTGACTACGTAGTTCCCCCCCACCTTCGACACTCTACTGAAGCACCTCTCTCCGATCTTTTGTTGGCTTGGGTGTTGTACAAAAGCAATTGTGCTCGAGCGGTCCAAGCAAGCAGCCCTCATGCTGGCCCACAGAACAAAACCAACGCTCCCATAGCTGCAAGTGGGGTATTCTAAATGCTATCTTGTGATATATAGCGTTTTAATTCAGGGGTCAATTTCCTGTAGCTACCTGACATCCATCAGTTCTGACTATTCACTTCATGAGCTGCTTGGCTTCACGAATCACAGTCTCAGCCCACCACGAAATCGAGCGGCCATGAGGATTCGAGCCAACTAGTGTGGGTATGCCAAGGATGCTTGATCTCTTGGCTCGATAAAAAGCAGTTGTTATTTTGTAAAACAAAACAGCAAACAAAAACAAGTGTTCAAGGGTGACGCTGATGTTAAAGGGTGAAACGCCAAATGTTGCAAGCTTGTCTTCGGAGTGAGCGGCCGTCACATGGATCGGTGCCTCTGTGTGTCTGCTTCTCTTGTCACGGCCTGCTGATTTGTTGGCCAGAGCCAGGTGTCGCATTTTTACAATCCAAGAGGCTAGCCGCCTTGCGGCCGCCTTGAATGTCAAGATAGCAGGAAGAAAGAGACGCAAGAAAAGGTAGGCACCCTTGCAGCAGTCTCCGAGTCTTCTATGCGGGGATTGCAAGGGCATTGCCTGATGCGCCTCTCTTCAAGCAGTTTTCTGAACACGGGCAAACACGCTGTACCAGAACTGCCGTCCAGGCGGGGGGGGGGCAATGCTTGATCAGCAACATCCGGCCAATCATTCACGTCTATCATTGTCCTGCCGCTGAGGGTGGATCCCAGAAATTGTACACGCTTTTGTAAGTGGGCACGCCTTACTCCGTGACGATGATCTACCAACCATAGGAACATGATATAGAGGTGGTTGCGGGTCAAAAATAGGTACCCAAATGGAACCCTGGTAAATGGAAACAAAGATTACAACCGCGTAACCCTAGCTCTTTAATTTTGAGCCACACCCAGGTTGCATGTTGGAGCGTGTTTATGACCTGACACGCCCGCATGTCCGTCAAGGCACATCGGCTCTTGATCTCGCGTGGGAATGCAAGCTCCCTGCATGTCTAAATAAACTCGAGGTCAGGAGAATTCTCCGGTGGACGCCTGACGACAAAAATCAACGAGGAATCACATCAACCGACTGATTGATCTCGATCTTCACGACCCAAAAGTCAAGCCCCCACACGCGCGCGCCCGTTTTTCACAATCAAACGCTGAAGGCTGATGGTAGAAGAATCCTCGGTGGCTTCTCAGGGGGCGATCAATGTACCTCTACCTGCCGTAAGCTGCTGGTAAGGTTGCTCTTGAAAATAAGATTCGACCGATGCGCAACGCTTCGGCAGGGAGGAACGACACAGCTCGGAGATTCAGGAGCACACATCACAATCTCTTAGCGACTATATAACGCTTTCCCCACCGCGAGCTTTCATGGAACACAAGCATCGTTCATGGTCTTCGCAGGCCAAATCCTTAGAGGTTCTGCATCAACACGTTTCCGTCTCGGCTGAAGCGCCAAAAACAAGTGCGCTGTCCCTCGGTTCATTCAGAATCGCTACTTCTGAACTGGCACAGCCAAAGGCCAGCAGTGACTCGGATCAGGCTCGCCGAACCTGAGAGCCCGCAAGCCTTTAAGGACGTCGTCTCACCAACGTCTCCAAATTCATCCTGCCATCTCCAAAAAAGCACAAAACGCCTGAACGACAGGCACCCTGAGCGTGGACCCTGTCCCAATCCTGGGATGCACAAGGCGGGGCAGCTGAGCCAGCCACGACATAGGCTCGAGGCGGTCGACTCCACCTGGAGCTTGGCTGAGGAGCAGACTGGGGTTGTCGCTCTAGTCAAATGTGTATAGTAACCCTGCGGCCGCTGATTCTGTAAATAGATTCCGCTACAAGCAACCACCTGCGGGTTTGAGCAACCACTATGTAGCCACTATATGAGGGGTACCAGGACAATCTAATACTCAACAAGATATTGAAATGTCAATTGGGTTTCCTCCAGACCTCAATCGAACAAATCAAACAAAGCTGAGGCATTGCCGGTACTCCGCCAAATAACTGATTGATGGGTAGCCGTTCCTTCGCACGGCACCCTGCTATTCACAGACCAGCTTCATGCAGGAGTTCCATGAGTAAGGAGGCCAACACTCTGCCGCGACCACTTCAGCAATTGATCAACTTTGTACATGAGTTCACGGGCATCCGGAAAAAC